GATCCAGGAATTCGGCACATGATAGATGCATCTTTTTTTCTGTCAATTGCACTCGCTCACGTCTGGACTGCCCCGACTACAGATGCAGATGTCCCTACCATATTGCTCCCAGTGCCCAATAATCCGCCGTGGCCAGTGGCACGGGCCGTGATGATGCAACTCTCCAGCAGGCGTGGGCGCTTGGCATGGCGGGATAAAGGCGCTGGGCGCTCCACGCCAATCCCAAGCCACCTTGCGTAACGTGTTCAGCGAGGGCAAAACGCCTGGTGGTGCTGATGCCGAAAGGCGCCTCACCTTTGGCGTGCGTTGGGCGACGCCTGTTGCCCTGCATAATCATCATCATGTCTGTTGGCCTGCATAGTCCATGGCGGTCACCGGCGTTCGTCTGGTGTCTAGTCCAGACAAGACAACCAACATGCCAGCCCTCTCCCTCCACGGCCCTTGCCCCAGCAGAGGCAGGAGGATGCAGTGCTACGGTTCACCTGGCCGAGACAAACAATGCAATGTAAAATAATCTTCAAAAGACGCAGCTGGTGGTGAGAAACAAACAAATCAAACAGCCTTGGCCAGTAGCAGTAGTGTCGCCGCCCGGGCTTGCCGCGGCATTGGACCGCGAGGGGCGGGACCCGGTTTTCCGTCGTGACAAGTCGCATTGGCCAATCACGGCCGCGGGACAACAAGCTGCTAGCTGCTCATGCTCTGCTGAGAGTCAACTCCGAAACGAAACCAGCCCACCAAAAGCAGCGAGTGATTGAGGCTTGCCAATTCTTTTATTTCGCGGCACTTGCAGGCTTGCGCCCGCTTCCCTTTGTCCTGCGAGTAGTCATAACTACCGAGTGCCCCCTTGGGGCGGAGCGGGTGCGCCTGCCAAAATTGTTCGGGATGTTGCGCGACCCGCGCTTTCCTTCCTACTCAAGTAAGGACAGCTGCCGAGTAAGCCTTGTGAATTCTCCGGAACCAACGTCTCCTAACTCCAAGCCTCCTCTTGTGTTTGATCTCGGTCGCACTTGGAGCTCCGCGCCGAACACCCGCGGACACGTCCATCGGAGACCCAACTGCCTCGTGAACGCACACCGCCCGTCCAGCCGGCCAGGTCTTGTCCGCGGGCGCCGCCGCCGGTCGTGGCCGACGACGTCACGGGTGGGTTTGCCGAGGACGAGGCGGCATGGCACGGCCGATGCGCGTGACCACGACGGCCCAAGTCGCCGTCGAGTGCCGGCGTTGGTCGTGTCTGGCCCAGGACTTCAACTCAATTTCGGGTTCGCTCGTTTTCTAGACACGGCAAGTCTTCGTCGCAGTTTTCGTTCCGCCCCCGACTGTTTTCGCTGCCTGCACGTGCGCCCGGATCGACTCTGCGGGGCAGAAACGTCCTCTTTTTGTTTTACCCGTCTGCCGTTTCAATCTAAGCTTTGGCCAGCCCTTGCAGACGAGATGGGTCCTATCGAGAACGGAGCTGTTTGGGAACGTCCCTGCCAACGTGTACCAAACGCACGTGCATGTCTCCTGCCCGGTTGTTTCCACCTCACCAGCTCTCGTTGTGTCCGGGTCGGGATGGGCTCTGGCCGGTACCAAGGCGCGCGGCCAATGTCGTACACACAGTAGTCTTGGAGCCAATGCGTGGCTATCTGGATGCTTGCTCTGTCGGCCGAGCCCAGGTCAAGAGTCGTCTCTTCAACCAGACAAGAGGGGCGTGTATCCGTCTACAAGCAAGCCACTCAGTCTTGACATCAACCTTGTGCTTGGTGATGTCGAGGCTCGACACTCAACATGTCCCCCGGGCCTCGACTTGACGTGCCCCGACATTTCGTTCCAGTCTTTCCGTCGTCACTGTTCAAGTGATCCAATTTTAAACACCAGTCGTCATTGCTACAGAGCACGCTGGTGTTGAACAGCAACCAATTGTGATAGTAGTTACGCACAACATGTAAGCGTATCTTGTGCAAAGGCATCCAAGCTAGTCGTGCCGCGCTGGAGCTTTCCGACCTCGGCTACATTAATCCTCCCAGGTTCAAAGCGTGCCAGAGACCATCCCCCTCTCCCTCTACTCGGCATGTCCATCATCTTCTTATCAAGTAGTTTCAGCCCATCCAACCTCCAAACTACGTGCACACACAAGCGATCCCACCTCGGCAACGTGCCTCGCGTGCATCTGCCTCTGTTCCAACTTTTCCCGTCTTCAACCCCCACTCACTAGTTAAGCCCTCGTCATCTTCCTCCGGCCCGTGTACTTTCCAGAATCGCCCAACGCAAAGAGATGCAATCACGGTTCCTGTCCCGACTGGCTTTCTTTAGCCGCGCCCGCGCCCCCATTGGTCAACAGGATGCGTCTGCAGTCTGGGCAGACGCGTCACGGCTACTCGAGGATAGCCGCGGACGGCCGCACCGCAATACCCGTCGCGCCGCGAACAAGAACGAACTGTAAGAGCCAGCCAGCCCTTCAACTTGCGTACCGGCCTCTCGAGTACCGTGCCGGCAGAGCCATGCCGCTGCGGACCCGTCCAGTCCATGGACAAGTGATTAGCTAATCAACGGCGTACACATCGACGCCCTCCACCACCCTGTTGCCATCACGAACAGACCTCGCACCGACGAGAAATGCATCCAGCGTATGACGAGTCCGCAGGGCATTCAGTTGCCTCGTGCCCTCTATTTGCAGGCCAAAACTGGGGGTTTTTCTCATCTTCCACAACACACCCTAGCCGGACATTTTCTTCCCATCCAGAATGTCGCCCAGACTACCAACAGAGCTTTGGCCGAACAAGCACATGGGGGGGCCGTGACACTTTTGCGCAAATGTCAAATGTACACGCACGGCTGCAGCCACGATGCCATTTTACCGCCGGATATCGACCCGGTCTCCGAGACCCTCAGCCCCCGGAGGACCAGACATTCTGTTCTCCGTCTTTGTCGTCCTCCTCCTCTTCTTTCAACAACCACCAACTGCTTCTCTCCCCCGCTCTGAAGTCTATTCCGCAATTGAAAAGAAGTGCTCAACACAGGCACAGGCGCCTATTTTCCCACCACACTCTTCGCCTTGTCCTCCGCGCCCTCGACCTTGTTCTTCGCCGCCTCGACGCCCCGTTCCAGGCCCGTCTTCTCCTTCCCGCCCCAGTGGTGGTACGACAGATACCGGTAGCCCTGCGTCAGCTGGGCGCACTCGTTGACAAAGTGGCACGCGAACAGGAGGTAGTTCTTGGGCGTGACGGCCAGCGAGTACCGCATAAAGGTGGCCGAGTAGATGCACAGCGCGCCCGTCATCTGGCCCGAGATTCTGCAACAGTCAGCCTCGTCACAGTATTACCCCCTTCTTTCTCTTCCTCCGTCGCGCGAGGTCGAAAGGGACGGTCGGGTCGCCGGGTCGGCAGGTCGGCAGGTCGGAGGGTTGACGTACAGATCGGGGCTCTTTTGCGTGTCGAGCACTGCCGCGACGGGGATGCCAAAGTTGGACACGGGGCCCCAGAAGTCTGTGGGTTTTCAAGTCTCGTTAATCGCTGTTCTGCAAAGAGAATTTGTGTTCTGGGCTCCCATGTTCGGCAGCCCTGAACACGGCTTCAAGATGGTTTATTTTGCCAACTATTTTTTTGTATATATCTTTTGTTCCTTCCCTCAAGGCGGACAGACCACCTGGGTGTTCTGCTCGTTATGCTCATTTCAGGAAGCACGAGTGCCCAGGAGGAACCCTCAATTCGTAGACGGACGCGTCGGCGCCGTACATTGTTCCACGGGTTCGCAGCTAGGACGGGGAGAGGAAGAGCCAAGGGCAGGAAGGAGGGTTGGGTTGTGCAGGAAAAGCGACGTACGTGTTGAGCAGACGTAGTCCAACACGGGGTTGGACCTGATCTTTGCGTTGGCCGCCTTGATGAGGGCTGCCATTGTGACGAGCTATGCCGGGCTGCGAACTGCAGACTACGGACTGAGGGAGCTGGGAGGGGCGGAGGCGGAGGCGGTTTATTTCGTCGAGGTCCGGTGATGCTCCCCCGTGAGGTGTTGACGGTTCATGGTCACGGATGGATCGCCTAGTTTTTGGCGGGAAGGGGCGTCACGTGGCCTCGACGTTGCCGGCTCCATTTATCGGAGTCGCAGGCATATCCGCGTTATGACCGGGGTGGTGACACTATGAAACGGCGGGAACTAGTACGTAGTAGTGTTGGGAATGCATCGTCTTTGTTTAGTCGTGGAAATTGCGTGATTGACAGGTCGGAGGGATGCTTTCCCGCGTAGATGGGGGCTTTGACTTGTAACTTGGACACGGGCTCGTATTTGCTAATCCCTTGGCTTCGTGCTGGTGCCCTGCTCCCAGTCGACAATGTCAGCCCGCCTGTCAAAGCCGTCGCTCTGGGTCATCCGAATCAGGGGGGGAATACTCTCCTGCTTGCCCACCTGGCTCCATAACGACGTCCGAGAGAATATACACACACACGAGACACGTCTCTTGCTAACAGTATGGCATTGGTACCGATAGTGCTCTTTGGCCGCGGTTGTCCTGGCGCTTTTGACTCAACCATCTCGTCGTCTCCTCGTCGACTGAAGAGCGGCCGGAACTGAAGTTGTTTGCTCCATTGAAAACGTAGCTGCAAGCAGGCATTGGACAAGAGGAGCAGCGGCAGATGGTTGCTCGCCTGACATCACGACAGCCCATCCGGCAGTACTTTGCCTAGTGCTGTACCATGGCGGCATTTTCAAAAACACTACAACTGGTCGCTACCAACGTCTAGCACAACAAGGAGAAAGGAGTATTATATATTACATAAGAAACGAAGCCATCCCGCCGGGATTGCGAACAAGGGAAAAGCGGGAACTTCCCCAGTACTATCAACAACCTTCCCTCTCTTGTCCAAAAGTTTATGTAAGAGTAGTCTCGATGCCTAAATGTCTGGGTCTTATATATCATCTTTTTTTTCTTTCCACGATATCTCTCGTTTGATAACTCAGTCGCTCCTCTTCCCGAGTTCATGCAAGTCGTAACAGATAGCTGGCTTGACGCCGCTAGAAAAACGTGTCTAAACGCCGGGCGGGTTAAATCCAGTGCCCTTGGGCCAGTTGCCCAGACCAGCGGGATCGCCACCGATGCGGACATAGACACCAACTCCGGGAACACCCCCGTCCAGGACGAAGAACTGGTACCAGCCTGGAGGTGCAATGTGCTTGCCGGGAGGTGACGTGACAGTGCAAGAGGTACCATCGCAGGAAACGGCAGGGAAAAGAGTACGAGCGCCCATGGAATTTCCGTGCGTGCTGGAGACGGCTCCCAGCAGAGACACTCGAATGTCGCCATTTTGAGCTGCAGATCCCAGCGAGAAGGTGACCTGCTGACCATAGGACCAGTCCTTGTTCGTAAGGGTGAAGGTCGGCCGACTCTTGCCTCGCTTCAGATACGGGGGAGTAAAAGTCTCAACACGGTACTCCTCCGGGTTGACACCGTCCTGAGGGTCTGAGCCAGAGACGAGAACGCGGCCGTCGAGCAGAGTGATGGCCTCGGAGTGGTACAGACGGGCCACAGTCGTGTTAGCCATGACAGTAATGCGAGAGCCAAGAGGCTTGGTGGGATCGTAGAGCAAGGCATTAAGGTTGGGATCCTTGGCCAGGCCGAATCCAGCAACACCGTGGTGGGCGCCGTTTAGAATAAGATAAGTGCCGTCGGGAAGAGGGGCCATGCACGTCATGACACGCTGCGAGGGCATGCGCTCGAGCTCCCACTTGGGGTTGGCAGAGTCCGGGTAGGTGCTCACACAATTGTCCAGGGCATTTGCAGCGCCATTGGTAGAACCGCCACATATGAGGATTCCCAGAGGATCAGTATACGGGGCATGCTGAGGGAGGAGAACAGCAGTGCCTTCGAGAGGATACGTGCGGCCGCCCATAGGGTCGTTGACGGCACCGGGAATGTTGGGAAGCGTCTTGATGGTGTTGAAGTTGTTCTCATCCAGAATTCTGGCTTCGTTGTAGTAGGCGACGAAAATACCCCCCGACGGCAGGACGCAGGCGTAAGGATACAGGTTGTTGGGGTCGGTCCGCTGAAGCCATTCCATGTAGAGAGGTTTGGTACCAGTGTACGGGAGGATCTCAAGAGTCGGTACCGGAGCACTGTTGGAGCCAACTTCACCGCCAATGACAAGGATGGAGCCGTTGGCCATGATCATGGCGGTAGGATACCAACGACCTTGCTGTAGCTTGAGGACGGCCGCGTTTTCTTCCCAATCATTTTTCCCGGGAACGCCAGGGGAGCCGTCAGGAGTGTACAGGCGGACTCCGTACGTCGAATCACCAGACCAGCCTCCCACATTGAGCTGTCGGCCGGCCTTGTCGGGAAGCGTCAAGCCACCAGCGCAGAAAATGTCCGTCTTGACGTGCATTTGCCTCCAGGCAGCCTGGAAATTGTCGACTTGGGAAAGGTCCAGCTCGTAAGCACCAGTTGAGTTTGGAGGTCCAGTTCCCCATTTCTCGAGGAAGGTGACTTTGCCCGTGATGGTCTGGGAAGTAAGCAGAGGGACGCAAACGCCGCCGATAAGAAATTCGTAAGAACCGGCATCGGGAGAAGCAGGGTCGGGGAAGTTCCACGAGTAGAACGGGTCTCCCTTCCAGAAGTAAGTGGTCAGTAGACTGCCACCACCGCAGTACGCAGACGCGTTTCCGACACATGGGATATTGCACTGCTTGTCATCAACCTTTTGAGAGCCGCGAACGGCAATATTGGCTGGGTCACCGCAGTAGCACTCTTTGCCGTACTCGAGGCCGGCCGCCATGTAGCCAAAAGAGCCGCAGAGATCGAGACACTTCTTGGGAGTCATGTCGGTATTCATGAAATTCTGCCAGAAGAAGGTCCTCTGCTGGTTGACATTGTCCTGGTAGCATCCTTGGTACTCCCACTGACCAACGGCAGGAATAACGCCCGGGGGGGCAACGGCCCGGGGCTCGCCCATGGACATGATGCTCATTCTGCCGCCGCCGCCGCAGAACTGGTTGGAATTGCCGCCACAGGCAGTATTGCACTCGGTATCAGACTTGGCTTTCACGCCGCCGTTGACGATGGAGTTTCCGCAGAAGCACTGCCGTGAGTACTCGGCGCCGGCAATAGTAAAGCCCTGGTCGTTACAGGCCTTTGCGCAAGACTCGAGGGTCAAGTTGGGATCATCGGGGAGCTGTTTGTTAAGTATACGGCCATTGACGCCGTCCACCCAGCAGCCGTAGGCAGACCAGCCGGTCGGGAGACCCGTGGCAGCTGCTGCCCCGGTCGAAGTTGCTGAGGCACCAGGATCAGAGGACGAGGAGGTGCCGGCATCGACACCGCCACCCCCGAGGGTGTAAACGGAGAGACGGTCGCCGCCCCCACAGAGGTCGCAGCTGGACCCTGAGCACACCATGCTGCAGTCAGCCGCAGGCGCCTTTTTGGAGCCCGTATTCAACGTGTTTCCGCAATAGCATTCGCGCGAGTACTCGACTCCGAAGTACGTATGCCCTTGGCAGAACTTGGCGCAAGCGTCCAGCGTCATCTCGTCGCCAGAAAAGCTCTTGCCGCTCAGAGCTCGTCCGTTTGTGCCCTCGGTATGGCAGCCAAAAGAGAACCACGTACCAACCGTGGGCGGTTGCGCTGGACACGCGGATGGAGTTCCTGTTGGGTCGGCACCTCCCGGAGTGCTGTCGGCCGCGTTTCATCCCTGATCAGTCTCTTTGGTTCGCGAATCTAACAAACGTCATGGCTCGTGCCTGGTCCATCATCTCAACTCACCTCGTGGGCAATGTCCCGCCACGGCTGTAAACGTTCAGGGCACCTGGGCCGCCGCAAATCTCGGTGCTGTTGCCGTTGCAAACCATGTTGCACCTGGTGGCCGGCGCGGGCTGCGCTCCATTGGAAATCTTCTTGCCGCAGTCTGATTGTCAGGGAAATTAAAAACACGAGCCTTAGTCTTGGTTCTCAAGTCGTCGAGTCTGCGGGTCCTGACTGAGTCCTGACCACAGTCCGCCGTTACTTACAGCATTCGCCTCCATACTCGACGCCTGCCAGAGTATTTCTTGCATCTGCCGCTGCACAAGCTGCCGTGCATTTGGCCACGGTCATCTGAGCTCCGGGCACGGAGCCAACGCCCTGCAGCAAAGCGCGTCCTGTGCTACCCTCACTGTCCGTCGGTTAACGAGCAGTCCCGTCACAGTCGAGGTTGCAGGACAGGCGCTGGCCGCCCGCTAGACTTACGAGTAACAACCGCTTGATTCCCAGCCGTTGACGCCTGGATTGACAGATGGCCCTGTAACTTGTCTCGTCTTCCAGAGCGTCAATCTGCTTGGGCCTCCGCATGGCTGAGTTGAATTACCACCACAGGCCATCCCGCAGTCAGCGGCCGGAGCCTGTACGCCGCCAGTCGCTAGCGAGCTACCACAGTAGCACTCCGAGGTAAATTCCGTCCCAGCGTACGGAAATCCTTTTCCAAGGCAGAATTGTGTGCACATCTCGTTTGTCATTTTCGTGTCAACCATATTGGCCGAGCTGATGGTCCTACCAACATCCCTAACTCGACTGTTAGCTTTATGCCAAGTCCACAAATATCTCACGAGGAACGCAAGGTCCGTACAGGTAGCAACCTTGATACGTCCATCCATTTCCAAGCTGGGCCTCGGCTGGTGGCACGAGATCGCGTCTCTCAAGAGTCGATGCATGGCTCGGTGCCAGCGATGACAGAAAAGCAAGAGCCAGGAAAGGAACAAGTGATGAAGCCATCATGATGGCCACTCCTTTCGCTCAGCGGCGAAGAAAGATTACTATGCACGACAAGAGCTTACAATGAAAAAAAAAAATACAAGAAAAGGGGGGGTACGATGTACGAATGTACAGAAACAGCAACTCTACAAGATGAGATAGAGCCGCCTTGTTAAGAGTATAAGATAAACCGCATGGCGGCCTGCATGTCCCATATATTCGGTGCAAGGGCCGGCTGTGTCGGCGACGCAGGCCCATTCACCCGAACATGCATGGCGGATGGGCTCTCGGCGGGTCAACGGCCGAACAGCCCAAAACAAGCAAAAAGAAAACGGATTCAGGCCAGCCAAGGTGGGAACAAGGGGCTGGACATGCATGATGTAACGAGGGGAATGAGTGGGTGTGGTGTGATGCGACAGTGAGGCAAGGCAGAGCACGACGGTCCGACTTCTTGGGAGCCCGGCCCATGTGTTCGAGTTGGAGGTTTAGGAACCGATTGTCAAGCTCGATTAGCTGAGAAAACAGCCAACCACAGCTCTCAAAGTTGCGCAGAAGAAGTTTCCGTGTGCCCGCGGGATGCAGCAGCGAGGCTGAGACTGCTGACGCCTTTCCAAAGCGGTTCCAATAGCAATATGAGACTCGTGATATATGTGGGTTCGCCCGCGAACCGGGGCCGGGTATCTCATCGAGAACAGCCCAAGGTGGGGCTGACGCGCTATCCAGACTCCAGAGTCGTAGGGAATACGAAGCAGCCCTACGAAGTAGGTCGTCGTCTGACTTTTTTGACCGGTAGGAAATTTTGGGGTGTGTTGATGGTTTGGGGGACCGCCTGTGATCTCGTGGTCCTCCTCTATCCATCGAATTCGACGGTAATACCGATGGTCAGATTATGACGGGTTGTGCGGTGTCGTCACGTGGTATTGACCAACAAACCCATCATTTCTTTGAGATCCCAGTTGATCTCCCAATAGTCAAAGCCTACAACGTGAGATTCCAGGGCCGGGGGACGTACTCAAGTAGCCGGGTGGGTAATGTATAGTAGTTAGTAACCTTGGAGTTCCAATACAGTGCCCTGTTAAGCAATCAAGCAGTAGCGGTTGGTGGTACGAGAAGAGAGAAGCCTAGGATAAATTTCCGTTCAGGCGGCTATCCAAGACAGTGAGCACGACCATTCCTACTTCTGCTTCTGCCATAGGTGCTGCTTTGGGGGAGAATCGATAGCAGATGGAACATCATACGTATACAGCTTCGACCTGTACTGTACTCCGTACTTGCTCGGTACAGAGTCTTTGAGCATGACTGCGACACCGGTTTGAATCTTGTGGCAACTAGTAATAGATGTGGGGTGCGGATAGCGGGCTTCCTGACCGAATTGGCCTGGGGTCGCGCAAATGTCGATTTCTCGTCGCTCAAGGGACAGGGCCAGTCCTGTCGATGGCGCCTGAGCCCGGATAGTTGGCCCCTGCAGAGATTGGCTTGACTCGGCTTTTGTCAAGAGCCTGGGACGAGGCGTTGGCCAAGATGGAGCCAAAGCACAAGATCCATTGATCATGCGTGTCGCTGAGGCCCAAGGGAACAGGGAATAATAATCACGAGGCCAAGTCTCCAAGACGACGAGATAGATGGCCGGCTTGGCCGACGGCAGCTCACACAGTCTCGCGATTCTCGTCTGATTGTCCCACGTGACCGGGCAATTTCACTGTCTGCTGGGGTTTCAGCTAATATCGGACAATATTTCAGTTCGTCGACCTGTCCAAGGGGGGCCTCAAGAAACTGAGGGTAGCACTGCGCATACACGTCCAGTGATGCAGCAAAAGGCGAGAACGGACGATACCAACAAAAGTGGGCGCATCAGCGCACGATGTAATGTAAGCGTGCAATACTTACGGGGACTTTATTCACGATCGTTTGCGGAATAAGGACGGCGTCGATGTCGCCATTCGCCAGCCCATCTACGCTTCCATCGAATTTAGCTCCAGAAAAGAAAAAGTAAGTCGTGGGGCTGAGTCGAGTTGCCGTCTAAGTACTATATTTGATTATGTCAGTCAGGGGTACCCCGGCTACGGCTGAGGGGTACACCGCGTCTCCACTCGGTGGTTTTGGTTCTGATTTGTGCGTGCTCCGTAGTCGACCCATTGTAGGACGGGTGGCTTTTGGCTTCGGCGCGGTTTTCAACTGGGCCTAAAAGTAAATCAGATGTAGGCTTCGTCAGGGAAAGCACTAGCCTGTTTTCTGCCGAAGGAAGTGGCGCCAAAGCTGGTCCGGACCAACTTGGATTTTGAGCAAGAGTACGGAGTACCTGCCAGGTACGGTGGCTCGAGGTTTTCCGCGGATGAGGGGTCAGTACGGGGTACGGTACGGGGTACGGTACGGGGTACGGAGTGCCGCAGCCAAAGGCAATGTCCATCGTGTTCCCGGCTAGCGAAATATGTATGATCCATGGACGAAAAGGTGGCCGAGATGCCATCATCTCGGAGAGAGATGGGTTTGTTCGAGAGTATCAAAAGCAGGGAAATGAGTCAACGTCAGCAGTGGGCGGTGAGCACTGCGTTAAGCCGGTTGCCCACTGTGCATGTGTGCACCAGACCAGACTCAACGTGGGCATTGGTTGGCGCACTTGCTGTCTTGTCATCAAGACCGACAGGGTACGGCGTACCGCCGCAAAATCAGACAGCAAGTGCGAGCATCCTCCATGTCACTTGCCAGTTGACCTACGTACTCCGTACCCTCGTCGTATCTCATGGACAAAATGTGGAACATCGAGAGAAACGCAGCCCCTTTCTTTAGCTCTCTGTCTCTCTATCTACGGAGTAGGACCGGAGCATCTCGAAGCCGATGAAGGAGAGGTCAACAATAACTACGTATTCATCCAGGTCGACGTCGCGAGCTGCAGGCACTAATTATGCGGCGTCTGCAGTCTGCATGGCAACCCAGACCTGCATCTCGTATCCAATGGGCCCCCCTGGCAAGTTGCGTTGGATAACATCAGCTGTGAGGAACCCTATCACCTCTCTGTGTCCTGCGGGAGATGCCGCAGCAATGTCGTTTGTGCTTCAAGTTCTCGGGCGGTTTTGCCACGGCATGGGACAGAGACACGGGGGCCGTCGCAGCCTGCCTAGGTAGGTATTATGCTATTTCTCGCCAATCGTGCACATCAATGGCATCGTCTTCTTGCTTTATTCGCAGTTTTCCAGAGCCTGGTTGATACAAGAACAGTCAAGGTTCAGATTGACGATTGACATAGCATAGCCGGTGCCCTGCTCCCCATTTCCCGACCTGTCCTCGACGTTGGTTACCCAAGGAGTTTTATTTACAGGACTGGTGATGTCAGTATGCATCCCTCACACCGTCTGACGGAATACTGATTGTTTCCTGTCGCGCACATGGAATGGACCTGAGCACTGTGAACTGCCGCTGCATGGGAGTAGTACTCTGTATGTTGAGTGGCATGACCCGTCATCTTCAAAGTGGCACAGACACGTCGTCCTTGTCCAGCAAGCCCAGAGGATTTCACAACTGGGTTTATTAGTGTGTAACTTCTGGGGGGGGCCGATTCCCGGCCGGGAGCCTTTTCCCAGCGAAACCTCGAGGACGAGTCAATAGACACAGAGCCCATCATGAGATGCGTTGACCGTTGGACCAATATGATACCAAAGTTCCGTCACACGACTCCGTGCAAGCTAGCCCCCATTCCCAGTCAGGCAGGGATATGAGTACTAGTCGATATGCAAGTTGGGCCGACAGTTCCGGTGGAATCGTTACCATGATTCTGAACAATATGTACGGGTTGCGGCGGGGAGGTCGTGGAGTTTTCTGTAATACTGAAGCAAATGCGCACCGCTTCTTCCACAACCTAACAATGTTACATGAGTAAATATGAACGGCGGGGAAACGTGTATACTGACCACTTGGAGATACTGTAGCTGTGCAAGAGATACGGAGTACAGCCGGTCGTCATCCGTATTCGACCACGCACCTTTGGTACCGCGGAACTGGACTGCAGGTCGAATCGATATTTTTGACTCCTCACAGTATATACAAAGGGCATTGTTAGTATCGCAGCCTCGCAGGCGAATACTCCCATTCTGGCTTCGTAGGCAACCTTTACCTGAACATGTAAGCTGCAGGCAAATATTCGATGATGTATTCATGTATGAGCACGCGGAGTACGCATGCACCCAAGTACGAATATAGCTGCGATCATGTGCCAAGCGGTTGGTCCAATGTGGTTGCGAATCATATCCTTTATTGATGCCCCTTCCCCATGCTGGAGACTCTTTGGCTTGCTTGCTACCCTTCACCCGTTGCGAAAATGTCTCACGCGATCATGAACTTGCATTTCTCATATTTTCTCGAGAGAGAAGGATAACAGCATACTGAAGCCCGTTTCCACATTTCCACACAGAACCAGAGGTCAAGCGTCCACCAGCAGGCGCTGCGCAGCTTTACGCTTGTCTAATACGTGGACGGCGTAGGGTAGGCAGGACGCATCCAAAAGGTTGGGTAGGTGCTAAAGCACCATGTTTAACAGAGAAAAAAGGCCCTCCGCACTGTCCAAATTCCGACTCCAAATTTCGGGTCCGGCTGATTGGCAAGGCCTTTTTTCAAAGACTGCCTTCGGGAGCATTAGCGGCCAGCGTGCGGAATTGGAAAGGGTTCTTTACTTTTTTTCCCATCATTATGACTCCTTCCAAGGTGGGCATGCGGAATGGTTACTGGTTCAGCGTGCTGGGATTGGCCAATTCCAACCCGGGGCGGCAGCTTTGGCCCCTCTCGTTGGTTGGTGACTCATTTTCCAGTGCCTTTGGCACATCGCTAGAGCCTTTGTCAGCTTGCACAGGCGACTTTGCCACTGTTAGCGCCGGTTTCTCGCAAAATTAATCCAACGTCCAACTTCAAGGCCCCGCTCGAGCTCAGGCGTCTGCGACGACAGGCGACATATCAAAGGAGTCAACGCCACTCGGCCGGCTCCTTCTTCTTCTTTTCTCCCTTGCTCCTCAATCTTCAGTTGATCCTCTTTGCCGCCCTAGTCGACGTCTTTGCAGCTTCTACCTTGCATCGTCTTAAGCCGTCCCAAGCAAAACTCATTCTCCAACAGCGCAGATCCCACAAATTTCAAGCCCGAGTCCTAGACCTACATTGGCCATCTCAACTCTTTTGCCTCGAAACGCCTCTGCCCGACCACAGATTATGACCGAGGCAGAGGGATCTCAGGCTCAATCTCAGTCGCAGCGTGTTAACCGGGGAAGAAATCATGGTCACCGCAGAGGCCGTGGTGGTAAAAGTCGCCAACCCATAGATGGTTTTCGCTCCGGTGGTCCATCTGCAGCCGCCCCGAGCGAGACTTTTGCATCACAGGCCGGCACACAAGCGTATACTCAGCTATCTTCGCAAGAGCCGGCCAGTCCAATCCCGTTTGATTCCAACTCGAACCAGAGAGGGAGGGGTCGAAGGCCTCGCGGTCCGCGACAGGCTGGCCGAGGCGCAGCAAGGAATGATGCTCCGGGATCGTTTGGCCACAGGTCATTTGGTGGCCATCTCACCGGTACGACCCCTACAGCTGCTGAAAATGCGGCTCATGCTACCCCAGCGCTGAGTGCGGACGCGCCAGAGTTCATCCCCGGCGAGGCTGTAGTAACTCGGAGGTATGCGCTCCCGCTTCCATCGCTCTATCCCGTGAACATGAGGCAGTGAGGTCTAACCTGCACAGTAGACCTGCCAAGACAAAGCACAGGGTTCCCATAAAGCCACCAGTGAGGCTTCCAAAATCTACGGCAGAGGACCTGGGAACTAGGATTCATGAAGACATCAGCAACTTGAACTACGAATGTGCGATTTGTACGGATGATGTTGTGCGGAATTCTCACGTTTGGTCATGTTCCCTCTGCTGGACTGTTGTTCATTTGAAGTGCGTCAATAAGTGGCACGATAACCAGAGAAAACAGCAAGATCCACAGTCTTCCGAGCCTGAGCAGGACCTCACCTGGAGATGCCCAGGATGCAACTCGAAGTTATCTGACGACCCTGGGTCTTATCACTGCTGGTGCGGAAAGGACATAAACCCTCGCCCAGCACCTTCATCTCTCCCTCCACACTCTTGCGGTCAGACGTGCTCGAAACCGCGCCCGACATGTCCACACCCTTGCCCCCTTCAATGCCATGCCGGCCCCTGTCCGCCCTGTGGCTTAATGGGACCGACTCAATCCTGCTTCTGTGGAAAGAAGGAAACTCGTAAGTTGTGCAGAGAGACCGACTACGAGAACGGATGGAGCTGTCAGGAAATTTGCGGAGATTTGCTTCCTTGCGGGGAGCACTCTTGTTCGAAGCCGTGTCATTCCGGCCTCTGTGGAGACTGTGACATGACTGTTGATGCAAAGTGCTATTGCGGCCGAGTTGAGAAGCAGATGCCGTGCTGCGAACGAGAAGAGCCACAGATGTCATACAACGTTGCGAACCAGAGTTGGTTCGATGGAACCTTCACTTGCGCCCAGCTCTGCGAGCGCAGTTTCGACTGTGGTGTCCACAAATGTTCCGAGGCGTGCCACCCGCAGGAAGAGCAGCCAGCACACTGCCCATACTCGCCAGCATCTGTCGCCCGATGTCCTTGTGGGAAAACACCCCTCGACGAGCTGCTCGAAAATGCTCGGACATCGTGTGAAGATCCCATTCCACACTGCGAGAAGCCTTGCCACAAGAAACTACCGTGTGGGCACTTGTGCGTTTCCAAATGCCACACCGGAGATTGTGGGTTCTGCAACGAGACCATGGAGGTGGCTTGCAGATGTGGCCGGACAAGCACCCGGAGCGTCTGCCATCAGGGCAACGTCCAAAACCCCATGTGTATGAGGACTTGCCAAGCAACCTTGAGCTGCGGTCGTCACAGGTGTGGAGAGCACTGCTGCGCAGGCGAGAAAAAGGCCGCCGAGAGGCAAGCAGCTCGAAGAAAGCACAAGCTTCCCGGTGCAGCAACGTCCATCGAAGCCGAGCACATTTGCATCAAGACATGCGGAAGGCGGTTGAAGTGCGGCAGCCACGAATGCCAGCAAATTTGCCATCGCGGTCCATGTGCCAGCTGCCCAGAAGCCATCTTCACCGAAATCAGTTGCGACTGCGGCCGAACCGTCCTTCACCCTCCACAGCCATGCGGTACTCGGCCTCCAGATTGCCGCTTCGACTGTCTACGACGGCCCAGCTGCGGACATCCGTCTGTCCAACATAACTGCCACGCCGGAGACGTATCCTGCCCCAAGTGTCCCTTCCTTGTCGAAAAGTGGTGCGCCTGTGGCAAGGAAAAGCTTCATAGCCAGCCGTGCCACCTCCAGGAGGCACATTGCGGAAGGGTCTGCGGGACGAAGCTGAAATGCAGACTGCACAGCTGCAAAAAGCTATGCCATCGACCGGGGGAGTGTGAGGATGCCAATCTCCCAGGCAAGCATTGTGAGCAGACTTGCGGCAAGATCAAGTTGTTCTGTGAACATCCATGCCAAAACGCATGCCACGGACAAACTCGTGAGTCAACAGACGTCCCAACATGATGCTCTTCAACCATCTGCAGGGCGAAAAAAAAAAAATACGTACAGTGAATCAAAAACTAACAATGACAGCCTGCAACGAATCGTCTGCCTGCACCGCCAAAGCCGTCATCTCCTGCCCTTGCGGCATCCGTACCCAAGAAGTCAAATGTCTCGCCAGCAGCTCTAATCCCACACCGAGTCGCATCGAAATCAAATGTGACGACGAATGCCTGCGTCTCGAACGCAATCGCCGCCTCGCCGCGGCCCTCAACATTGACCCTGCCTCGCATCAAAGTGAGCACATCCCCTACTCGGAAACCACGCTGCGTCTCTTCAAAGCGAACACATCGTGGGCCGAGACGCAAGAACGCGAGTTCCGCGTCTTTGCCCAGAGCCCCAGCGAGACGCGCCTCCGGTACAAGCCCATGAGCGCCACGTACCGCCAGTTCCTGCACGTCCTAGCCGAAGACTACGGGCTCGAAAGCCGCAGCGAAGACGTCGAGCCCTACCGCTGTGTCGTCGTCTTCAAGGGCTCACGCTTCGTCTCCGCCCCCGGCAAGACGCTCTCCCAGTGCGCCGAGATCCGAGCCGCACAGGCCGTGGCGGCAGCCAGCGCCGCCGCGTCGCGCGCTCCCTCTCCGCCACCGAGAGCGCAGGACCCCCTGAACGGATTCCTCCTCACAAGTCCCCGGTTCGGCCTCACCATCGGCGACGTCAGGTCCGCCCTCGACGCCGACCTGTCATCCCAGCCGTCCGTCCACTTTGAAACCACGTTCCTCCCCTCGGACGAGGTGCTCCTCCGCGCAACGACACCCTACTCGTCCTTCTTGTCGGCCCCGGCTCTCGAACAAGCCCTCGTCACCCTGAAGCCCCGTCTCGCCAAGACGGTTCAGGACACAGCCGTGGCAGGTAAGCTGTTCCTGTGCCACGTCGACGCCGCCGGCCAAGTCGCGAGACGAGACGACGCAAGCAAGACAGATGCCTCGGGGTGGAGTGCCGTCGCCGGAAGGGCCGCCGCGAGGCCCAACACCGCCGCCGCCGAAGAAGCCAGCACAACGACGGGGCGGCGCCTGTTGGGCCTCAGGAAGAAGAAGATTGAAAAGGAGCGGCCATGGACACAAGCGCTCGACGGGGACGTCGAGTGCTGAACTCCTCGGCACGGCATCGCTGTAACATATCCTTTGGCCGTAATACAACACACTTGTAAGTTGTAGCCCGTGCACATGCCATGCCCGTCGAGGTCCAAGACTCCGCTCGAGCATCATCCATCCGTGGCCACGGGCACCAAGGCCCCAGTAACCCGAATCCATCCCAACCGACACGACAAAACGAAGGACGCCCAACTCCCGCCGGATTCAACAAAGAGAGAAGAGAACAGGACAAGGCAACAACATGGCCTACCCTACACCAAGAACATGGTCGCATCCCCCTCCACGGCATCCTCCCCTCGTGCACCTACGCATTCGCATTCCCCTCTACAGACACCCCACTTTCACAAACACCGCCTTTCGAATACCACCGCACATCACGCGACCCAATCAGCAGCCAAGCTGCTGACCCCTCCGGGCGTCAACAAGTCACAAGGGCAACCCCACCATCGCCCACGACTCCTCGCGGCGCCGCGTCAACGTGCATGTAAACACGCGACAGAAAATGACGCAACCGAGCCGGGCCGGTAGACTAGGTCCTCGTGGCGTTGTATCCACAAGCCTGCCCTCTGCGCACGATCCTCAGTGAGGCCTCGTCGAACAAGAAGGGACCAACGTGCCAGACTGGTGCTTGTGCCGGGGAAAACCATCATGTTTCTCTTCCCCCTCTGCTTATGCAAGAGAATGGTTCCTGTATGTACAGATGTACGGTGTGTGCTCTCAGCAATCTTGGTCTGAGATGTGGGTATCCATCATGACGACTCGACTGCACTTTTTTCAAACAGACATGACTGGTCAGGCCATTAGTTATACATTGATTAGGGTAGCGCCGCTCCGGCAACACGATGCATGTACGTATGTATATGCCTCATTGTAGCATTCCTATAACAGCGTCTTCTCCTTGGATGATTCGCTCGTGACATCGGCAACGAATTCGGCAATGGCCTCAAAATAGCCCTCCTCGAGGACGCTAGAGTTGTGGTCACCGCCTGGTAGTGGCTTCCACCGCTTGTGGGGGGAGTTGCAAAGGTCGTATAGCTGGCGCATGTGACCGGGCCTATCTCATTAGCGAGCACAACTTGGTCAGTTTGACAGATCTGTCAATGCAGTACTTATTAGGGTTGAAGGTGTGGCATCAAAAGGATCCAATCAGACGAGAGATATGATAGTCTCAAATCAGGACCGCAAGCGGTTCATATTTTGTGGGTGTGGTATTTGATCCATCACATGATCCTAGGCGGTGTTTTTCTTTTCTTTCTTTTCCGGTCTCTTTTGCGTTTCCCCTACAGAGACGCAAGTCGTGTGAAGGAGGAGGGAAGCAAAAGGTGAAAACTTACGGCACAATTTCGTCCTGTAGACCGCTGAGAAACAGGATTGGAACCTTTGTTATGTTTGGTAGAGTCGCATCACTGGGCCACACCTGATGGCAAAGCAGCGTGAGGTACTTGGCAGGTGGAATGACGGATGGGATCAGTTTCCTCATGGACAAGAAGGTATTCTCAAGCACCAAGCCGATAATGTCGCCAGCGTCCTGGTTCTTGGCCACTAGCTGGATGCTAACGGCACCGCCCAAACTCTGACCATAGATGACGAGGCGGTGGTTTCGAGTCTCGGCTCTTTCGCGCAAATATCCCAAGCCGGTTTGTGCATCCACATTCAATCCCGCCTCGTCGGGCTCACCAGTTGATGTGCCGTAGCCTCTGTACTCGAGCATAAAGACGTTGCAGCCAATATAGTTGATGAGCATTCTTGCTATAGGAAGCCGGTGACCAATGTTGCCGGCGTTTCCGTGAAACATGATGACGGTCACGTTGGAGTTCCTGCCTTGGCGAGGCCCTCGAATGTAAAATGCAGAGAGTTTCTCACCATCGTCGGTAGGGATGACAAGCTCTTCGAAGTCGCTAATACCGAATTGGGAAGGTCTCGGTACATCTGTCCGGGAGTCCGGGGGCATGTGGGATGGGTATATCAAAGCTCTGGTGAAATACAATACAATGTTAGCGACCGGCCCAATTCCATCCAATGGTGGTCTGCTGGGCACACCACCAACACACCGATGGGCATATGTCGTCTGCACCAAGACCCATCACGCCGCCATCTACATGTACCGGCCGGTCATCACGGCTGCCTCGAGGAAAAACGAGAATGATCATACTTTTGCTTGAAGTAGAGAAGCGACGTCAGCGCGGCAGCGATACCCTGTAGACGTACGTGAGCGGTCAGCTTCCGTACAACACGAACATGACGTAGCAACAGCTGCGAGATCCAAATCTCACACCCTCACGTACCGTGGACGCCAATGCAGGAAGACGCATGTAGGAAGCTACTGAGCTGAGTGCAGAGGCCGTCTGCTCCAAGTAGCCGCCGAGGGTAGAGGCGGGAGCAGAGTTGGGGCTCGTCATTTCGGCGCGGTCAGGCATAGGGAGCCTTTTGTTTGGCGACAGGCAGGCCTGGGATTGGGCTGAAGTTTGATTTCTTTTTCAGGTCGCTACAAGGCTGAGCCTCGTCGTCCCCGGCCACAGCAGCAGTGGCGGGCGGGCCAATGGTGGAATAGACGTCGAGGAGAGCAGAACAAGGCGGGACGGTGTTGAGGCAGGTGGCCCTCGGCGACCATGCAGCCCTGACACGGAAAAAAGACAAGACGAGTGCCCAACGGTGGCAATGCACGAGGCGACGGCTTTGCGTGGCGAGGCTGTGGGCAGAGAAGCGGACTGCAGAATTTCGGGGTGCTCGCGCTATTGGTGTCGTGAATGCCTAAACGTGCCGGCTGCCTGCTGCTCGCTTCACGACATGAAGGTGCCAGTCATTGGAGCGTATCTGAGTTGCGAAGGCGGGAGCGAGGGAGGCCGCGAATCGAATTAGAAGGGCCGGGAGATGTAGCGCGAGGCCTTGGGGACCGTTGAGGGGACGTGAACAGACGACAGAGACAAAGCACCAACAGATACGGACTAGCAAGCAGCACAACTGGCACCTTGGATGAGGAGAGGTCAGGCAGCTTGGAGTTTGCTGGGTCGAAATGTGCCGAGCACAAGGGGAGGATGGGGAGGCAGGCACGCACTCGGGGGGCCCTCGGCTCCACTTCTCAATCACTTTTAATTGTCGACCTGCCTGCGGAGTGCTCCGTAGGTACCTAAGTACCTATTTACATCTGGGTAGTGCTCCGTACGTGGATAGGGAACTGCGTAAGTTAGAGGCAGGCAGGTACTTTTTCAGTCAGTACTAGGTGCCCGGGCGAGGTACTTGGTACTCTGTGCATGAGTGTTCCTTTCCACCAGTGCGCTCGCTCGCTCGCTCGCTCGGTCCCCAACTCTTGTCTGAGGGGGTGCTGGCTGGCGCGTTAAATTAAATGAGCTGCCAAGCAAACACTCCTTGCTCCCGAGTTCTGAGTCGTTACTCCTTGAACTCTTTCACGCCGGCCGTCACAAGCCACTGCTGCTCCTCCAAGTGGTTGCATGTTTTGTTTCTGAATCAACTGGGTACATGGCTCACGGATGAGGTTATGCAAAGGAGAGAAAAAAAATAATTTTTTTTTTTTAAAAAAAAGGTCAACAGGCAAGTTGCACCCTTCACGCCCCATGACAAACCCCAACGAAGGAGGGAAGGCTGCGGCCATGTTTGCTGCTCCTTCTTCCAACGCCTTTCTGAAAGGGGCCATGATTGACCGACGCATTACGGAGTACGAACGCGCTGCTACCACCACCACCACCACTACTAGTCTGCTACTAACTAGTTGTATGGAACCCATGGTTTTGACAACGAGTATGTATAATGTGTCCCGAGTACGCGCATTTCTCTCTGAGCCCCAAGGCCGAGCGCGTGTCGCCGACTGGACAAGCAAGCATGAAATACACCAGACGGCATTTACTACTTAATCACATCGAGGCTTGACCCAGCCCGCGCCAAGCGTCGCGCAAGCAAGACACATCGCGGGTCGAACGCCAAAGTTGGCCGTGTCTCGGACGGGACTTGTCTTTGTTCTGTCCTCCAAACTAAGCTTATACCAAGTTACGACCACCCAAGTAACTTACTTACTACAGTTATGTGCATGGGTGCAATGGCTCCCTTGATTTATCTGGGATTCTGGGCTAGCATGATTTCCCGCCGAGTGCGACGCATGCTCAAAAGTGCGTACCTCGGACGGGTTTGTGGGATGAGCCTTGTGGCTAGATCTTCATCTGGCTTCCGAAATGAACACGCTGTTTCCCGCACGCTCTAGTCGCATCTACTCGTGTGGCATTTTGGATACAGAAGGGCCACGCTGAAACATGAGGGCATGACGCTCAAACGCTGCTCGAATTCGCCGCGGCACCCAACATTGCTTTCAATGTCGACAAAGTGGACCAAGTTCGTTTGCCGTTGGAAGCCGACCCCGTTGGCTCCGGTAGTATGTCGAGTATTTATTTGGTAGTTTACTATAGTAGGTAGGTCTGGTCAGTATTGTATGAATACCCAGATGACTGGCTTCTACCCCGAAAGTCGAGACGAGTGAACCCGGTCGGTTTGGCGTACCAGGCCATCTCGATAACGTGTGACAGTACGTACTCCGTAGCGTCTATGCAATAACTAACCCCCCGGGGGAGGGGGGACCTCCACAAGTGAGCAGCACGAGACTGCCGAGCGCATTCCCGGTATTAAGTTACCATTTAGGTTTGGATGACTCCACGACGAGCATCTTGGAACAGTATCGCGAACCCCATCTCATGCAAGCTGTAAACACGCATCAGTGAAGCCGAGTATGTTCGTCCGCTGCCCCTGCCGCAAACAGGCCGGCGTCTAAAGGGAGACGCCGAGGCGTAGTTGCACCGGCGCATGTCCAAGCATTGCAAAACGCTGATACGACGGCATTTACTGGCCAAGGAAAGAAAGAACATTGGCAAACAAGGGGGCCGGTTGAATGGTTTCATGAGTTGAGGTTGTTACCAGCCAAGATACCGCCCGCCTGAATCAACGACAGTGAGCGACAAGTCAGGATAACAATATGATGTGTACTTTTGAGATTTCTTTGAGTAACGACTCGTTTCATGCTGTAAATATTGGACGAGCACTGATTTATTCTTTGTGACTTTTTGCCTTTTCCCTTGCGACCTTGTCGACTACACCACTACTGGCTCGCTCTTGTTTGCGTTCGCCTTCGCTTGTTGACTTGAGTTTAGTGGCCGCTTGCACAACAACAAGTGTCTCAGTTCTCCCCATCTCTTCCCATCGCTCGGGTCATCAGCCACTTGGGCTGCGGTGCGCATGATTATGCTGCCCCCGTCAGTGATCCATGCTCGAAAGTTGTAACTGCGGGCTTGAACGGAGTCTTCCGGAGATGGGGGCGAAATTGCCAAATTGGTGTGCCTGGGCACGGCGCACAAAGAAAGCCGACAAGTTGCTCGTTCCTATGATAGCATGGGGTGAAGGCGTGGCTGTGTGCTAATAGCCTAGAGGTAATTGGCTTCGTCTCAGATATGGGAGGGCATCACATCGATTAACATTGGTCGTCGCCGCCGACGTCGACAGCGTAATTAAGACTGGAATAAGACGGCATGAAAATCGACTGGCGATTGGCCCTCAAGTTCCATGCTCAGAAGCGGAGAGCCTTCCTTGAACTTGCATTACTAGCCGAAAGCGCCGTGGCTTTCCAAACGACGGCAATCCCAGTTGGCCAGACAGCACTCAGCTTACGGCAGCGGCGCAGCCAGTGTCGTCGTGTCGTCGTGTCGTCGTGTCTTGTCTAGCCATGTGCGCGTGGTGTATGGAGCAAAGAGACAGAGAGGGTTCCTCTGAAGCAATGAGAATCCTGGTCTTGACATTGCGTGTCTTATGCTTTGACGGCCGCACCTGCAGGTCGAGATTGGCGGGACTTGAGGCCCCGGTATCTGTTGAGGCTGCAGGAGTTCAAAAGCCGTCCTGGTGTGCAGTGTATTATTGTGTTGTATACAAGGAGCAAATAAGTTACATTACAGTAGAGAAGTAGGAGGAGCGTTTCGTGTCGACCTGTGGGAGTTTACGACGACCCTGGTGTTCGCATGACATTGCTGCTGTCCTTGGTCGATCCCATCCCTCGTCACCGCAGACCAATCAGGCGACTGCTTCAGGCGAGTTTGAGAGTTGGAAGGAGCGATCTGGACCCTGGCTTTTGCAGGGGTGGCAGATGGACAGCGGGGGAGTGGGCTGAGCAGCTGAGCAGGCAAATGCTCCATGCCAGGCGCTTGAAGTTTGGACGGCTGGCGTAAAGAAGGAAGGGAGGAAGGGAGGAAGGGAAACATAACAAAACAAAAAAAAATCTCCAAACAGACTTGGTGAATAGAGAAGAGACTGTCGAGAACTGAATTGTAAACAGAGTACTTAATACATGAGCATCGCATCAGTGGAGCATGCCAAACTTTGCGCGCCATGGCAACGACGTATTATCATGTCCTGCGCCAGCAACCTGCACCACATTTTACAGCCCGCGTTGATTGATCCGCTGGGCAGAGACGCACGTCACGGCCGCAAGGGAGGCGCAACACAGGCACAGCACAGGCACAGCAACAGGGCAGGAGTCAGCACTTGCCACTTGACACTTGCAACTTGGCCTGGCCATGCTGGCAATTGAGAGCAGAAACTTCCATTGCCGCACAGCATTTGGGATTCTCCTCGAACCACATCAGTCCGCTTACCAAGCCCTGGCACGTCGTCCGCCGAGCAACGCAATTACCGGCTTTGACGTGCTTCTGGGCCCATAATAATATCGATAAAGGCACAACATCCCTCCCAGAGGTTCGCTGCAACTGTTTAAAAATTTCGCATTTTCCGTTGCGCACTGGAGCATCGCTCGTATTATCCTCCCAACTTTACCGCGGCTTACGGCGCACCGCCCACGATATACTCTTCATTTCTTCAGGCTTCCTTTGTCTCGCCTTGGTCTGCACGGGCTCTGCTCGTCATTGCCGGGGTTGTCACTTTCTTTCGACCAGACGCAAGCTCAATTCCCATCCCGCCCGACAGACACCACACAGACACTGGTCCCCCCATCCCATTTTTTCATTCCAATTCCTTCATCTGGCCGCCAGGGGCTTGTCCTTTTCGACGTCAACTGTGCCTCGGGGCCTGAAACGCATTCCTCTTGTCTGGCCACGCCCTGCAGAGTACACCCTGCTCTTCCTGGAGGGCTCGCCTGCCTCTTGCTTGCTGCCGAGCAAAGACATATCGACCACCGTCCGCCCAGGCCACTCGAGCGACTCTAACAAATTATTACTTACCTTGACTTCACAGTCCAACACTGGCCATTGGCTCCTGCCCACCACCAACCGGACGACGACGTCTGGTATCGATAGCATCGATTCCTCGAGCCCCCCCCCCCCGCAGAACAAGGAAGGCCCTGAGACTGCTCAAGCGGGCTTCGAGCTCTGCCGCTCTTTTGCGCCCGTGCAGCGTGCTTCCCCAACACCATCTATCCAACAGGGGAGGGCCCCTCGTTCTGCCTCGAGGCTCAAGGCTCATCTCGTCCCGTCCTTGGGCGGCCTCGCACCCCATCTTCGACTTGTCGTCCCCTCCACTCATATACCAGCGTTTGGCCTGTTTTGCGAGCAACAAGCCTCCGCCCGCACCGCTCCCGCTTGCTTGTTGCCCTTGGGCTTCTTCATCACACACTGGCATCATCGCGTCCACTCACGCTCTGCTTCTGCCCAACCCAAACGACGTCGTTGGCCAATCACCAGCAAGCCCGGTATTACCACAAAAACAATGGTCTCCTTTCAGTGTGAGGTGAGTGAGGCTGATCCCAGTCTGTTTCCTATTCCATTCTTGTCCCGTTCTGGTCCCATTCCTGCCTTCCTGTCCTCCCACCCCCAACGACGAGACCTGGCCCTCGGTCTGGTGCTTGGGCTTGTCCTGGTGGCCCCTTGTGAACCCCCTCCTAACAATCAGGACCTGGCAGTGCCTGGCTCCATCATGCCACGCTCTCATGTTTCCAAGGCGCATCACACATGCCACCACACCCCCTCCATCATGCCAATGTCATCCAGCCCTGACATCACTCCCGCGACGTCGAGAAACAATCGCCACAAGCTGGCCGATGGCTGATGGTGCTAGCACCACCGAGTCCCTTTTGTCTCTTCGATCAAGCAATAGCATTTTACCCTGTCCTATTCGGATGTTCCCTTTATGTTCCGCTGATCCCCTGGCCCACCTGTGTGTCGCTTGTCTGTGAACATTCATCCCCTCGCCCCCTTTCCGTCAACCTGTTCAGCAGCACGCACACCCCCAGCACCTTGATCTGGCTATAATATCATACCCGCTTCCCGCGTCGCATACTTGCCACTCTGGACAATTTCCTTTGCCTTCTAACCTAGCTTGGTACAACAGGCGTGTGGTGACGTCTTAACAAAAAAGAAACTCGATCCTCACCGCAATCGTTGTCGCGAAGCTTCCTTTTCCTGCCTTGATTGTATGGTACATTTTGAAGGCATACAATATCGCTCTCACACTGTATGTGTCACTCCGCGAACCAGCTCTCACCACAGGGTTGGCCCCGACGTGTGGTCTCGGTTCGGACGGCGTCTAACATCCTGATAGTCTTGCATAAGCGAAGATCAAAAATATCAAGGCGCATTGTACAAGGGGAAGAACAAGAAAGTCAAGCTCAACAACCACAAACCTGACGACTGCCAGCACCAGCACCAAGACGATCGGCCCAAGAACATGGCTATGCAGCCTTTCGTTGAAGACATTGGTGAGGACCGGTCCTATGAGCCGTGGAACGACTCTGTTGGACAGACTGAAGACGAGCGATCTCCGGCTGAAGGACTTCCTGAAGCCCCTACACCACCTGCTGCTGCTTCTGAGACTCATGTCAATGTATTTGACTACCTCGTCGCCACGGGACAGACTCCGAATGCCTCCAACATGAACCTGCCCTTGGATCAGCAGGGACCAGACGCCGGCGACGGCAAATCTTTGCTGCGATACGAGTCCGATGCCTCGAAATATCTTGTGGAGGGTGGTGAACCCCTCGTCCAGTACGGCTCTGGCCCCGTGCAGACGGATCCTGCATTTGTGACCCCAGGTCCCAAGACTGAAAGACGACGAAGCCGGGAAAGCCAGCTCAAGAAAGATAAGAAGCGCAAGCGTCTCCATGTTGATGTTCCTGGTGACCAGATCATGACGGACGCGCCGCCCGTTCTTCACTCTGGACTCACTGGTAGCTTGAAGGGGTTGTTGCGGCCTGCATACCCTCCGTCTCCAGACTACTCCGGCGGCGATGCAGCCGAAAACTCCCCTGCAAGTCCTCTGAAGAGCACCATACACTTAAAGCACTCCAAACGCGGACAACCCAGCAACGGCCTGCTCGACATCATCGCGAATAGTGTCATCAAATCGTCCAAGAAGTCGTCCAAGAAGCACTCTCACCGTCATGCAGACCGCAAGGAACCCAAGCTCATTGAATATCGACCGCAATCCAAGGATAGCAAGCACGGCGACAGTCAAATGGTGGTTTTCAAGCCACATGCTGATGCCTTTCTCTCCATGGTGAACAAGGGACCTGAGAGCGGAAAGAGCTGCAGTATGAACAAGGCCTTGAGGCGATTCCACCGCGCTCGCCAGGCCTCTGGCTCCAAGGTGACCAAGGCCAAGGAAGAAAAGGAACTCTGGCGATCCCTGCGCCTGCGCCGGAACGATCGTGGCGAAGTTGTGGTCTTTAGTAGTGTCAAGTAGCGAAGCCAGCATGCCTGTCAAAACGTCTTCAACGGTAGCCCTGGAGTTTTAGGAGTTTTTACATTTTGAGACTACACCTGACCATTTCACGATACCTGCATGGAGCACACCATCCACATCTGCATTGCGCGTTTCTATGTTGTTTAAAACGCTGTGTTTTGAAGTTTTTTGGTTGGCATTAGACTACTTTGGCTTTTCTTTTCAACGTCGCAGGATGGCAAAAGATTCGAGTCGGTCGGTCGACTTGAAGTACCAAAAAGATGAAACAAAAAAAAAAAATTCCTTTATGGCTCGTTTAACGAAGCCCCCTCACCAAAAAGAAAACTGGTTTGATGCCAGACCTCAAAAGGGCTAGCGAGATCGGTTGGCGTGATACGTCGGATTATGCGACCATCTTGACTGGGAGAAGGGATACGTGCGCAGGACGTGGCGGGCGAGCGAAATCATAATGACCCAGGAGAGTAATGACACCATGGAAGGGATGTTTTTCACGAGGATTGAGTAGTATCAAAAACACCATTGACTGAACAGGGCGTGAGGGAGATGTAGCTGATCCTTTCGTTTTCGTTCAATATCACACAATTCACAAGTTGATTTGGGGTTCAATTTCCACTTGGCTTCTCATGGTTGTACAATTAGCATTACTAGCGTTGCGAGAGCGATTCCGCACTGGAGACTTTGGAACGGAGTGTACATTATGATGTAGATTGGCATGGGCCATCTGCCAATTATATAAAACAGGCCTGGCCTGTTCATAACAGCACGCTTTGTTTGGATTTGTGCTTGGAATCGAGCTGGCCTTCAATGACTGGGCGCGCAGTTGACCACGCATCACGCCGTATAGTAACTATAATGGGCCAACTGTATCGGGAATGTTTTAGACGACAACACTGTGAATGCACTCATTGCGCGTCCATACAGGGAAGGACGGGGGCGCCGGGGGGCCGAGCTGCTTCTTCCCGGACGGGGCAACGGAGGAACAGGCTCGGCAAGGCGGTGGCCTCGGAAACGTTCTCCCTAATGGAACCTTTTTTCTCTTCTCTCCTTCGTTTTTTATTTGTGCTGTACGGAGCAGTACTGTCCTGCCGAGAACCAACGGAGAGGAGAGGCTTACGCGACCATGACCCTCAGGGGCAGAATGTGCTGCAGGGTGGCCTCCCGCCTGCACAGGGGGCACTCCGGCTTCTCTCTCACCCAGTCGCCTATGCACTCCCAGCAGAAGACGTGGCCGCACTGGGTGGCCGAGGGGTCCTTCATCTCCTCCAGGCAGAGGGTGCACTTGCGCTGCTGGGGGCCCTTGACGTAGCGCATCGACTTGGCGTCGGCGAGGTCGAAGCGCGCCGAGGGGGAGAAGGGCGTGTGGGTGGCGAGGGCCACGTCCACCCTGCTCTCGTGGGGGCCGCGGGCGCGCCCGAGATCCGCGAGGAGGAGGTCGCTGTTTGCCGAGTAGGAGTTTGCGTGGTCGAGGGACACGTCGAGCGTGGAGGGGGGGAGGGCGCCGGGCTCGCGCTCGCGCTCGCGGCGGGCGGCGGACGAGAGGGTCGACTGGACGTGGAGGTAGCTCTGGAGGGCGAGCTGGATGACGAGCAGCACGCCGAGGACCTCGTAGCCGCCGCGGTCGGGGGAGTCGGGCACGGCGCGGGTGAAGACGTAGCGCAGCGAGAGGAGGCGCTTCGTCAGGTCGTAGTAGGTCCCGTTGAAGTAGAAGAGGGCCAGGGTCACGGCCTGGACGGGCGCGGCCGACGTCAGCGACGGCAGGTGGCTGGACAGGTACTCCCAGGCGCGGGCCTCGCGGGCGGCCTGGTCGCCTTTGCGGCGGCTGCGGAGGCGGGGCAGCGCGCGGCCGGCGAGGTACGGGAGGAGGATGGCGCCGGCGATGTAGGCGGCGCGTTTTCTTGCGTCGGGGAGCCGGCCGGCGGGCGCCTCCACCTGCACGAGGTCGCAGTATTCTTCGCCGAGGGTGCGGTTTCCCGGGAGCGTCGTGAGGCCGAAGTAGAGGACGGCTGCGAGGGCGCGCAGCTCCGGAGCGAGGGAGTGCGTCGCGCGGGCGCCAAAGAGCCGTCGGTAGAGGTCGGTGATGGTGTTGGCCAGGTGGCCTGTGAAGTAGGCGTCCTTCTGGTGCGCGCGGACAATGTCTGGCGCTGCGGCGAAGGGGTAGGGCGATGCGGTCGGTGACGCGGTTGGCGAGGAGGCTGGTTTCGAGGCCATGGCGGCCTGGGGTGTGTTGGCTTTTTCTGTTGCCCCCAGGAGAAAGTGCAGGTAGATAGTTTGTCGACGGTGATTTTCTCGCTGATTCCGTGATGCTTGGGGGGAAAGGGCGGCAAGCGGATGGGTATTGGGGTCAGAGGGAGGATTGGGGAGCAGATGTGGTCGAGATGAAGGGATGGCATGTCCGTCTCTGAGCTTCTAGTCCGACTCCCGAGGTTCGGTGCAACGCGGGGGCCCGGCCTCATCTGCCGGCGCCAGAAACAGCAGGCGGTGGAGAGTCGAAGATTGTCTGTCCGCTCGTCCCATCTTGGCCGTGACTGCAGCAGGGCGGAAGCTTGCCTGGGGTTCAGAGGCAAACGTGCTGCAACTCCTTGATATTGCTGCCTTGGTGTTCCGTTGCTTTTCAGACATCAGGTTCAAGCATGCCGCAACGAGGCGAGGCGGGCTGATGTTGCTGCCTCCGCTCGCGACGTTGACGAGCTCGGAAGGCCTCCCGCGCCAACGCAGTGTCTCCAACTGTCTGCGCTGCACAAGAGGCCCGTAAATACACACCACTTGTGTCCGCAAGAAAAGACGCTCTTCTACGTAGGCACTTGCTGTTGGACTCGCAGAAGCATTTCCTGGTCCCGTACTCCGTAGCCAAAAGGGAAAACAAAAGGCAGCCGTCAGTCATCAGTGGGTCTCGAACCAACCAGCCACGGCGGGGCGTGACGTAGCTTCCAATTGGAACGACGGGTCCGAAACAAAGTTGACGTGTCTCTCGGCCCCTTTGCCGGGAAGCGAAAAAAGTAGTCCGTCGACCGGTGACAGTCTGCATCGACGACTTCGTCTCGCAACCACGTCCACGTCCTGCTCTGCAGCTCGCGCGGCATCGCTCATTTACTGCCGCACCACTGTCCTCCACCTCCCACCGCTCATCCACACCACACACAACCCAGCCAGCGTCCATGACGCGCCGTCGCCATGGACGGTGATCCAGCAGTCGAGTCCGAACTCGACGCCTTCAGCCTCGTCTTCCCGCTCCCCTACCGCGTGGGCTTCATCGCAACGCTAGGTCAGTGCGGTCCTCCCTTCCTCCCGCAAACGGGCTTCGCAGCTAGACGAGAAAGCTAAAGCAAACCTCCGTAGCCGTCTGGGGATGGGGCCTCAACCTGCACTCCCTCCACCTCGCCAAGGTCGACGTCCCAGCATTGATACGCTACCCGGGCCGCTCCTCGCCGCACCACCCGCCGCACCACCTGTCGACGTACCGCCTCGCGACCGTACTCTCGGGCCTTTGGGCCGTGTCCTTGGTGCTCTTCTGGCTGTGCACGCGGGGGACGGCGTCGCGCGTCATCGAGTACGACTGGATCCCCATGACGTACCTCGTCGGCATCGTGGCCGCCTTCCTGGTCCCGCTCAAGAACCTCCCCGGCGGCGGGAGGCGGCGCTTCCTCGCGACGCTGAAGCGCGTCAGCGTGGGGGGCATCGCCGAGGCGCACGACGGCAAGTTTGGCGACATCCTGCTGGCCGACGTGCTGACGTCGTACGCCAAGGTGTGCGGGGACGTGTTTGTGACGCTGTGCATGTTCTTCGCGGCCGGCGGCTCGTCCACGAGGCGCCCGGACCGGAGCTGCGGCGGGACCGTCGTCGTGCCCCTGTTGATGGCCGTCCCCAGCGCCATCCGCCTCCGGCAGTGCGTCGTCGAGTACCTCCGCGTCCGCCGCGCGCCCTACAAGGAGTCGGCCGGCTGGGGCGGCCAGCACCTGGCCAACGCCCTCAAGTACTCGACCGCGTTTCCCGTCATCGTGGCGAGCGCGCTGCAGCGCAACGCGCACGACGCCGCGGCCAGGGCGGCGTACAACCGGGCCTGGCTCGTCGCCGTGCTCGTCAACTCGCTGTACTCGTTTTACTGGGACGTCGCCAAGGACTGGGACATGACGCTCTTCTCCTCCCGGCGGGAGCGCAACTCGCCCCAGCACCCGTGGGGGCTTCGCGACAAGCTCGTCTTCCGCCCCGTCCTCTTGTACTACGCCGTCATTGGGCTGGATTTGGTGCTGAGGTGCACTTGGTTCTTGAAGCTGAGTCCCCGTCTGGACAGGTTTAGCGATTTCGAGAGCGGCATTTTTCTCATTGAGTTTCTCGAGGTGTTTCGGCGATGGGTGTGGATATTCCTCCGGGTGGAAACGGAGTGGATTAGGAACTCCTCTACAGGGCTGGGCGTTGATGATATTCTGCTGGGCGATTACCAGGGCAAGGATGACGACGACGACGAGTAATGCTATGTATATGTATTTGCCAAGCGGGACGAGCAGGCGACCCTTGGCAAAGGAAGAAGAGGCATGGCGTGGCGTTGGAATCCCCGATCCGTGACGAGCCCCCGGTTTCCTGACCGTGTGTATCTACTGCATCTGCAGGCAGTGGTGTGCCGTGGCAGCCGCCCACGTTTTTAATTTACTTGATCCCGTCGTATCCTGTTATTGTTGATAAAAACGAAGGAGAAACCAGGTCAACCTGGCGCTTATCTCCGCCCTGCGCTGTTGCTTCCTGGGAAAAACAATGTACGGGGTACGGTGTAACCGTATGACACTTGAGGACGAGCAAGGGCCAGCCTGAAGCGGCGTTTGGGGAAGCCAGGCAAACCATGCGGAGAGCGGCAGCCAAGCATTCACTTGCGTCATCTTTCAGGCGAGCACACTCCACAAGCGTCGACAGTCAATCCAAGTTGCTAGGTGCTTGTATTTATCATCAAGCATTTGGCATGTAGGCGACGATGCACAACCGATTCTGCACTGTAGCGGCAACTCGGCTGATGATTGAGCAAGTTTGCCCATCTAGGTTTTGGAAGTCCATCGTTCATCTTGAACTCAAGCGTATTGTTCCTGGTGCCCGTGTGTGTGCGGGCGTCTGTCCGAGCAGCCAGGCCAGCTCTCCGCCACCAACAGCGTCACGGTACGGAGTACCTGTTACCTCCAAAATACTCGGCGGTCTGTATATTTGCAGAGCCAGCCGGTGGTCTTCATTGTCGTTCTGCTCCCATCAGTAAGCCGTGCCGCAACCGTGTCCATGCGGTGTTGGTCTGGGCCAGTGGTCGACCTCTGATCTTTACGTGGACCTAGGAACGCACGGGAAAAACAAGTCGGTAAACGCGTTCGTCGAGCGGGCGGCGTTTTGAAGTCTTCATCCGTGCCGGCGGCACGGCCCCTTGTCAATCGGCATCATGGCACCAGATGCCTGCGAGAGGTGCTAGGCTCGGTAGTATTTCCAGAGCGGCCCAGCTCAGGCTGTCAGCTGACGAAGGCCGAACAACGTCTTGAATGTCTCGGTCGCAGACTCATTCGGCCTTTGGGCGCGCGATTCAGTCCGGTTGACTCTCTTAATGTACCTACTACCTGCCACTGGCATTGAAAGTTGCATGAGCGAGGCTATTCACGGCTCTCACCCACATGCCACGCTAAAGACGATGATGCATTGAAGCTGAACGCTGAACTAGTCTCATTGGCACGGAGCTGGCCTTGTTGGATCTAGGTTGCATTGCGACTAAAGGGCCCACGGCGATTCCGTCGCCGAGCTCCCATCAGTACTAACTTATTCTGTGATAAGGCGTGCGATGGTTCGCGGTCCGTGGTCCGTGGTCCGTGGTTCTAGAAAACAAAAACAAAAAAGGAAAAACGATCGACGCCTCGATCTTCTTTAACGACCACAACAAGTAGTAGACCACAACAAGCAGTAGAGGGAGAGAGAACGCCAGCCGTCAGTCAGCGTTTCGAATGAGAGAGTGGTGGGAAAGGTCTTAGCTGGGCGGTTTCACGAAACTTGTGTGTAAAGGTGTCCACATTTGCTTTGCTGCTGAGTCGTTTGAAATCGCCAGATGACCTCGTAGTTGGCATCGAGGCTGAATAGATGCTGGTGTGGAACTTGGAAGCAGTCATGGACTCGTGGCTGAGCGGAGGACTGCTGACTGGTGGGAGTTCGTGGAGCGATGCGTCAGGGAGGTGGACTTTTGGCTTATGGCCCCCCAAGAGGGAGTCGGGAGTGAGGGATGCGAGGTCCCCAGATCGTCTGCGGAGTACGGAGTACGGAGACACCACTGGTAAGCAATGTTCCATCGGGTACGGAGTACTCCGTACGTCTGGTGTGCAGGGGCGAACCTAGTACGGAGTTGAAGAGTGCTACAGACTGACATGGTTGGCAGGGCAAGACAGCGCAAGGCAGGTGCTACCTGGAAATATGTACACACACTCTGTACTCCGGATGGTTGAGTACCGTGCACATGCAGACCTAGGTACACTATGGTGCGCCGAGGGGCATCCTCAGGACTGTCCTCAGTTTCACCAGCCATTGCAGGACAGCTTGCAACAATTCTTGACCTGTCTCGCGATAGCCCTGCTGTACTTGGAAAGAGGCCGCGCGTGTGCATGTCCATAAATGCTGGTACCGAGTACTCCGTACGTACCTAGGTATTTAGCCACAGCAACAGTGGGGGCCGTTTTTTTGCTGGGGCGTGTGGATGCACACAAATAGGAAGGTGCAAGTGTCAGGACTGGGACCGGGGTCTGGGGATGCCGTCGTCCGTGGAATGATGGAACCACCACCATCATCATCATCCATCAGCCATGGCTTATGGCTGTAGCATCGCGCATCGGCGCCGTCTCTCTTGTAACAATCTCGAAATACCAGGCTATTGGGCAGCCCGCGCTGCCTACAACGCCACGCAACGCGAGTGGCTGCTCTGCCATGCGTCCCGTCTTCTTCTGGACGCACTCTCGGCACGCCCTACTCCGTCCGTGCTCCTTGTTCAAGCGGTCGCATGCACCCCACAACCGGGAGAGAGGACAGAGGGCCCATGGCGACAGACATGGCGACATAGCAGCAGGCAGCAGGCAGCAGGCAGCATGGGCAGCATGGCGCAAACATGGATTGCCCGGACCATGACCATCGCGATGGATCCACGACGGCGTCAGAAGACCGGGGGGGCAACCCCCCCCCCCCCCCCCAAACCGACCGCACCTTATTTTATTTACTTCATTAGCAACTCGCCGCCTCTTGTTCTGCCATGACTCTTCTTTCTCCTTTCACTGGCCCTGTCTCGCTACTCCCTTGGACCTCCATCGCCGCGTCTTGCTCCGACGATTTACTTTTGATCCAAGTGTATCACTTTCTTCCTTGAGGAGACTCTTGGCCATTGGCTGTCGCACCAACATCCCGCCATCCCACGCGATACTCGGCAGTTGACGCATTCGGACAACGTCTGACCGGGCCCTTGGAGCGACACAACAAAGAAGAAAGAAGGCTTCTTCTCATACTTTTCATATGGTTGGGCGATGAATCGAGAGGATCCCCGCATACTTGTCCTTCTTTCAACATTTCGAGCTATTGTTTGAGGGTCATACTATCGGCCACCCCGTCAGCAGGTGCAGCGGCCGCCGCATTCACCGGCTTTTTCCTGCCATTGTCATCCGCGTGTCAATCAACTCGAACCCTGCCTGATTGACAGGCGCCCGCAACAATAGCCCATTGATACTTGCACCGGATCTGTTTGCCGTTTCAAATGCAGACGGTTAAGACAGACCAACCTCTCAACCACATCATGGACCAACCTACTTTGCCAGAGCAGCCACCTCAAAACCGCCAATTCCACCGCCGTCACCGATATAGCGCATCGACGCCCGTCAATATGCAGGCCTACGCAAACAGACCGCTGCCGCCTCTTCCTCTCACGCCGCCATCGTCAACCCCGAGAGCCAAGACGCCTCAACCCCTCGGGCGGAGCGTCGCGGCCGCGCCAGCGCCATTGCCGGCCGTTGCCCTCCACGGAGCCTTTCCTATGAACGGGAGAAACACTGTGCGAGCGGAAATACCAACCTCTGCGCCCAGGCAATTGCCCTCTGTGACCGTGTCCCCTTCACCCAAGTCTAGTCACCCTCGCAGGAACAGCTGTGCAATGTCGACATGGCCCCATCGCTCTTCTCATCAGAAGATTTACCAGCTTACTGGTATGGACGTCGATGTAATGGACGAACAAAGCTCTCGTTTGGGAGGCGCGGACTCAGACTCGTCCTCGACAGGTTCGGGAGTGAGATTGGAAGAGCCAGCGACCTGCGAGACTCCAGACTATCATCTCGTGCCGGTGTTGGAGACTGATGTGGACGAGTCCTCTAGCAGGGGAAGCTCATGGGGCCCCACGTCTCCCGGCATGTCTGTTGTACCGCCACCTCTGACCATTCATAAACAGCCAGTGCGCGACGGAGGTGAGGGGCAATCTGGAGGTTTGAGCAGCTCGTTTGCCCAGCTACACCTGGACGACGGGGCGATCCGCCCGTGGGACACGGCATATGGTCAGTTCAGCGATTACGCAGCTGCGGGAGAATACCACGAGTTTGCGGCTCAGCTTGCGAGCAGAGATTCTTGTCGACTCAGCGACAGTTGTCTGCAGCCTCCTACACCAACCAAGAAGAAGCGATCGTCATTTAGCCTCGCGCTTTCTGCTGCTTCTCGATTTCGTCGTCGAGATACTTCTCAGCCTCTTGACCTTGTGGCTGCAAAAACGAAACAAAAGGGCTTGAGCAAAGGATCTCAGCTGCCCAGGCAGAAGGCGGAGTCGGCATCGCAACTGCAGCCTCCCAATGCGCGCGACGCAGCCAATGGTTCGCGTGTGTCTTCGCTCTCACACTCGGCACCCACTACACCGATACTCAGTTTGGCCGCGGCGCCGCCCCCCAGACCGAGTCCCGCCCCGCCGCTGATGAGCGCGTGGGATAGCGACTCTGATGATGATGGCGATGACACTGCTGATGATGGCCACGTCATGTCCAACCTGAAGGACTGGTTCACCAGCCGAACGTCCGAGGACAGCAAGCTTCACAGACGGACATCCAGTACCTCTCGTATTGGATCAGATGGTCAAGTGGCGGGGCTGAAGCAGGAACTAGTGCGCGAGTCAATTATGCGCCAGTCTGCCAGGCACAAGCAGACGCAGATGGAGAAGGCAGCGAAGCGACGAGAACAGATGAAGCCGCGCACCAAGGTAATTCCCCAGGGACTTTCATTACACAATATTTACCGGTAAAAAGCCACTGCTAGACGGACAATGAAATGATAAACGGTACTGAATCAGGGTAAAGGGCACAGGACAGGGCATGGTTGCTTTATTTTTGCCGCACTTTTTTTTTTTTTCAACTTGAACGGAAAGATTTCAGACACGAGCAATGTCAGAACCATTGGATTCTGGGAGTTTTGCGAGCATGGCGTGCGTACATTGGGAGTTGACTTGGCTTCCCCCAGTCCCCTCATCCGCGCCCCTTGGAGGTAGAAAGTGCTCTGGTCGCTACCAATTCGCTCCATCTGAGCCATGATCATTTCTGTTTGGGTGTGTGAAAAATAGATGGACTTGCAACAAGTGTACCATGTAAATTTCGCAGTCAAGTTCCACGAGCATGGCTATCAAGGAGGGAGCCACGAACCGAACAGATGTCACTGCGCCGCCGTCGATTTGTAATTCGTCGATTTGTAACGTAATTAATTTGACGTCCGGGGGAAACCAATTTTTTTTTTTTCATTTGCCTGCCGCCACAAGCTTCGGCCCCTTGGAACTCGTTCCGATTAACGTTGGGCGATGACCGATCCGAGGCCCCGCACAGCCGGACCGGATGAACTTGGGCAACGCCCAACTTGAAACTGCCAACCAATCGCTGCCAACGAAACTGTCGACCGACCGACACCGACACTGCCAGAGACCGCCAACCAATCACCAACGCGACCCAAGCAACCAACTCGTTCCATCACCAAGTCGATACGAGTCACTTGCACCTCTTCATCTCCAGGTCTCGAGTTCATCCATCCAAGCATGCCGGTAACGGCCACCGACCAGGATTCGACGGCGCCACCATCATCACCTCCGCCACCACCACCATCAAGCAACAGCAGCAGCAACACCATCACCACCATCACCGCCTCCGCCGCAGCCACAGCCACAGCCTGCACACGAGCAACAACGCCGCTCAGCAGCAGCAGCAGCAGCAGCAGCAGCCTGGTAGCGGACGCAGACGCAGACCCGGACACGGCCAGGGACTGCTTCAATCTCCCGCGAGACCGAGACCGAGACAGCCCAGCCCTGACGGACGGTGACGTCGCCCATCTCCGGCACGAGCTCGAGCTCACGCGGGCCTCGGCTGTGGGGCTCGCGCTCAGCCGCCACGACGACACCGATGCTGCCGCCCTCGACGCCCGTCTCAACCTCGACCAGCAACATCTTCTCGCGCGCCTCGTCGACGCCTTCGAGGAGTCGTTGTACTATGATGCATCTACAATGGCAGGCTTGAATTCATTTTCCTTGGTACGTCGTGTCCCAATCTGCGCCCCTTGCCCTTGCCTCGCCGCTCCCGTCCCCCACACACGTTTGCATCTCGATTCTGCACCGTCACCACCACGGGCAAAGCCAAGGGGACAAGCATGCCCGCGCGATGCAGGGCCAAACGAACAAAAAAAATCCCGTCCTTGAATTCGTCCATCCATCCGTCATCTCGTCGCAACAGCTCACCCGCTCACGCCCCCTGCCCAGGCTGCCCTCAACCGCCTCCGCGCGTACAAGCCGCCTCCGTTCCCCCTATGGGACACTCTGCCCGCCCCGAGGCGCGCCGCCGTTCTGGTCTTGCTGTATGCAGACCGCTGGGGCGACTTGCGCGTCGTCATTACCATGCGGGCCGCGAGTCTGAGAAACTTTTCCGGCCACGCGGCTCTCCCGGGGGGCAAGGCCGATAGCAGGGACGAGACGCCTTGTAAGTTTCACTTCCCTCGGCCACGTGCGTGTCCTGTCTGTCATCTTTGTTTTCTTTCCTTTTGTATCTCTCCTCCTCCTCCCTCCGTGCAATCCGGACCCGGACCCATGCACAGTTTCTCCCCCGGCGTCGGCGTGGGAGGGCGAGGCAAGAAAAAGTCCTCGCAGGAGCTGACTGGCGCGCTGCCGCAGACCAAATCGCGCGTAGGGAAGCATTTGAGGAAATCGGCCTGCCAATGGACGACGCCCTTCTTCCCAAGCCCTTCCGCATAGAGCCGCTGTGCCATCTGCCGCCCTCGCTGGCGAGGACGCATCTCGTCGTCACGCCGTGCGTGGCCTTCCTCCACGCCGACAGGACGCACCCCGGGTCGCCGGGCCCGCTGGTCGAAGAGTCGCTGATGCCGAGACTGGACGCGCGCGAGGTGGCTGCCGTGTTCAGTGCCCCGTTCTACAACTTCCTCAAGGCGCGTGACCTGCCGCCCAGGCCAGGGCAGGACTTGCCGCCGGGGACGTGGTACGACGGCGAGTGGATGTCGTGGAAGGACGTGCCGTGGCGGATTCACAACTTCTACGTGCCCGTGAACAACCAGCGGGTTGCGAAGCCGCGGCGGACGAGCGCGCAGGGCAACATGGGCGAGGCGCTGGAGGTGCAGCAGGAGCAGGAGGGGAGGTTCAAGGTATGGGGCATGACCGGTAGGCTGTTGGTTGATGCCGCGAGGATCGCGTACGGGGAGGAGCCCGAGATGGAGCACAACGACACGCATGGCGATTACGACATCATCCTGAGGGCCGAGGAGGAGGGCGTCTTCAAGGATGCGGCGGGGGTGGCCAAGAAGGGCGCCAACGAGCCGGCCAAGATGTGACGACGATGAAGCAAGCATGCATGCATCCGGTCCGGATGAACGGGCCGTGGGACCGGGACCATATATCACGAGACATGTTGGCACGTGTAGACCTTTTCTGTCTTTCCCGTCTATCAAATGAGCAAATACCACTGCGGGCATGTAGGCTGCCGAAACCGCTTCATTCACATGGTTTGTTTATATAGAGATGGAGAGACACAGGCTACAGCCGTGTCATTTCACTGCGCCGCCCACGCCCAGCACGTCTGTCCCGCCTCAGTGGCACGCGCCGTCCCTGGTAGCGGGCGTGCCGTGCCCAAAGACGAGATAGCCCAGAACGGCACCCAGCGAGACCGAAATCATGACCCAGCCATTATACGTCATGAACACGAGCCTGCTCTGCCCCCCGGGGGGGCCCGTCAGCGCATCCACGCACCTCGCCGCGTCACGTCACGTACCGACAGGGAGGTCGACCGACCAGGGGCCGTCGCCGGACTTACATGAGCATGAAGGCGTACAAGTTCTGAAGGCCGTAGAAGACGGCCTTGACAAGGTGCCCCCGCCTGCTGGCGTCCGGATGGCTCGACCCTGGCGCGAGGAAGGGAGTGATCTCAGTGACTTGCTCATCGTCTCAACGCGTGTCGCGCACCAGCCTTAGCATTGGCACAGATCCCATGACCGTCCGGGGGGGGAAAAGCGTCGCAATGAGATGTGGATTCTGGAAGAGCTCGGGCACGGAGCAGACGGGCGGACGGGCACTTACGAGGCATGGCGGACAAGCGCCTGTCGACGCGTGCCTCCAACTGCCGCGACAGGGCGCGCAGGGCCTCGTAGCCCATGGAGAGGACGACGACGGCGGCCAGCGAGAAGAGGAGGCCGGGCGTCGAGCGGACGTGCCACTGGCGGAAGACGATGCAGAGGTTGGTCGTGTCCCATGTGAAGAGCATCTGGGGAACGGTTATGCGACGCGTCGAGGGAGCAAGGGGGGGGACGAAGTGCGTACGCTCATGCTGCACATGTCCTCCATGCCGTCGTGGCCGTGGCCGCCGTGGTCCATGGCCGCGTGGCTCATGATGGTAAAGTGGCAAAGTGGGAGTTTGGCAATCTGGCGACGATTCTGCGGCGCTGGCGACGGTGCGGGGGCGAAGACGAAGACGAAGACGGAGACGAAGACGAAAACCGGGGCGAGGACGTCCGTCGCAGTCGTAGTCGTGCCGAGTTTAAACGTCCAAGGCGAGGGGGTTTTATGCACGGGACGGGACCCCATGGGAGGTAACTACGGTGAGGTCTGTCCAAGGCGAGCCAATAAGAGTCGAAAGGAAAAAAAAAAAAAAGACCTAGCCACAAGTTACAACGATACGCTGCAGAGCAGCCGGAACACGTCGAGCTCGTTGGCGACGAGGAGCTATATTGAGCACGTTTTATCTGCATGGCTTGGCGGCGCTGGGTCGCACTGCGTCGGCGCGCGGTCACTGGAAGGTTTCGCCACTAGTCGCCCACGGTGCGCCGGGTAGCTCCTGCCTGCCCGCTGGCGAGTGGCGGTCCCGGCAGACGGCAGGTGCGGCGCGCTCGTTGCGCCAACGGGCCCCGAGACCGGGCAACGTGCGGCTGTCACCTGTAACGACTGTCCGACACTGCAACACTGCGACGCTGCTTGGCCCTTTTTCCTTCACTCTGCTCGGTACGCGGCCTTTTGTCTTTACCAACGGCCAACAATCGGAGAAGTGCCTTTTTACACGTGCGCATTTTGACAATGGACCTCTATGGGCGTCTCTCGAGGACGACGCTCCAAGGAGGACACCATGGCGAAAAAAGATTTCCAACATTGCAACCTAGCACTAGCCGCTAATAATAGACGTGTAATCCTTGTGAAAGCCGTCGTCGCCTTGCAATGCAACCCGCCCAAACCCTGCCGCGATGCAACAGTCTGCAAACTCGTCCTACGCCGTTACCAAATATTCACCATTTCATAAGAGTCGGCTTGTCACGCCATGTAGCGGTACGTTGACGGCGCACCCTCTTCGTCCGGTCGCTCCAGGTATTCCCGCACAATCAAGTCCTCGATCCGCTTTTTGATCACAGACACTTCGGGCTTGAATCGCCCGGCGAGCTGTGAGAGAACCTCGCTCACTAGCTGCGAGTGGCTGACTTCTTTTCGAGATCTACGTTAAATTGTCAGCATGCCGCCGACACCACACAGCGGGCGGCGGAGAGGGATCCCAACATACTTCATGATCCTCACGATGGCCGCGTCCACGATATGGGCCCTCGTCAGGTTATTCCTCTCCTCTGTAGTCCTTCTCTCCTGCATGTCCTCGACCTTGGAGACTGCGTTGATGATTGGCGCCTTGATGCGCACCGTCTTGCTTTGGAAGCTCGAGTTGAAGGCAAATTTGTCGCCGGGCTTGACGGACTTGGTGAGGGGATCCTTGGCCAGGACTCGAGATTTCGGCGGTATTGCGATTGCTGTCAACGCCCTCATGAGATCCGGTGTCGATATGCCGGTCTTGGCCTGGATCTCCTCAAATCCGAGGCTCTCGCCATCTCCGAGGTCATTGAAGAGCATCAACACGACCATGGCAAATGTTGGCACGTTGATTTCGTACCTCCTCTCTCGAGCCAGCGCGCCAGACTTGCCAGGAATCGCTGGGAATACACACTTGATATCCGCACTGCCCGTTGTGCCTACCCAAGTGAGTTTCCTCCCGTTCCTGCTGCCAAGGTAAAACTGCTCAAAGCTGGCCTGCATCCTCTGCACTTCGTGAGGATAGTTGCAGGTGATGCGGGAGCCGTCGCCGATGGAAGCCTGCCGGCCCATGACTTCCTGCGGCCAGTAGTTGGTCGTGAGCACGCTGACGTTCAAGTCAATGACCCTCCCCCCATCACTGACGTTGCACATGTGCTTCTTGTATGTTGTCGTAAGCTCCGAGGACGTTACAAGATCGCGGAACATGCCTTCAAATTTGCTCGTGAACTGCTGTCCGAGCTCCTGCTTCATCCGAGATATGATTTGCTTCTCCACGTCGTGACTCTCAGATTTGCCATGAAGCAGTCTGCGGGCCAAATGTCTCTGGTAGTATGTCTGAAACAAGTCTCTGTCAAGAAGATATCGAATGAGGACAATGGCCTTTTCAAGGACCACGTCCACCTCAGCCTCGGTCTTGCCTCTGATGCCCCGCTTCAGATTGTCGTCGATGAAGAGCGACACGTACTCGGAGCTCCGGGCGAACATGTTGATAAAGTCGGAGAAACTCTTGGTGAGGCAGGTCTGGACGACGAGGTCATCCTGGAAACATTGTGTCAACAGGTTGTCAAACTTGTCCTTGAGGCGCAGCACATCATCAACCCATTTGATGGCAGCGGCAGTCTGTTGGGCGGCCGGGTTGAGCGCTTTGGTCTTGTCCGCCTCCGCGGGCTCGTCTCCATCAGGTTGGGGGGCTGTTGAAAAGTCGGTGTTTCGCAACGCCGTCTCAATCTCGAGCCCTAGTTCAACAACCCGCTTTTGTAAAATGTCCCGAAGAGCCGTCTTTTCATCATCCACCCTCGAAATCAACCTGTACAGTATTGACAAGTCATTGATCTTGTCATTGTCAATCATCCACCTCAGCCCACTGCCCTCGAGGGCAAGGAATTCTGACAAATGCTTGACGATGAGCTGCTCCTCGACGACTGCCGAAACCTTGGGAAGCGTCTCCAACTCTATCGTCGTGCCACACCGGTCGACCTCCTCATGTAGACGCCGCTGGGTGTGCCGCAGCCAGGTGCTGGCATCGGATTCTCGGAGGAGGCGCTGGCACTCTGCCGCATAGAAGGTTTCGCTGTTTGTCAGGAACCGAGGCTGAAATACCGTGAGGTAAAGCTTGTCGTTCTCGTTCTCGTCTTCGGCCTCGTAGAGACAAGTGAGCATCCGACTGCAGCTCCGTATTAGAGTCCTGTCGATGACGTCGCCCTCGCGTTCCATGTCGATCTGATCCAGCATGACAGAGATGAGAATATCAATGACATGATTGGTCGAGTTGGCGTTGAGACAGGACCGCAGGATGTTGTCCCGGAAGAGAGCTATGGTCGTCGCGAATATCGGTACCCGATTCGGCTCTTGTTGTGTGTACCCTCTATCCAGGTACATGAGGATATCCGCCGTCATGTTCATGGACATGTTGTGGTCCTCCCAGGTGTCCCGCAGTCCCTTGAGGAAGTTTTCGCCCGTCTGGCGGCGCTCATTCGCCGAGCTCGCCAGGTTTCTGTCGATGCCGATATTGATCAAGCTCCTGGTGACCAAGACCTCAATCTTGGGGATGACATGCTCGGCGAACCACTGCTCCTCAAACTGCTTGACTCGCTCGTACAGAAGCTTGCCCTTTTTTAACAGCACGATCTTGTAAGCGGCTCGATACAGCTCCTCGAACGACAGTCGACCGCAGCTTTTGTTGTGAATGTCTCGCAGGGCCTCCTTGAGCATGTTCCAGCAGTCCTCGAAATCTCCGTCTTCCCCCGCGGCATTCGGCTGTACACGAGATCTTGTCAGTCAGAACATCTTTTTGGCGTTGGCGTAAAAGCTGCGAAATGGGTTCCATCCGCCTGGCGCAGGGGTGCCAGAGGCGGCGGTCAGCAGAAGAAGAACAATCGTCTTCCAGCTGACTGCTGCGGGACATCTTGACAGCGGCAAAGGGCAACTGCCTGCAAAGTCCACTCTGTAACAGGAGATCCTTTGAAAGAAAAGAAGTGTCCTCGGTTGGGAAGAGGCAAACATCGCAATGGACGATTCATTTGTGCTGGAGAGGGGGGGGATGCATGGCAACTTACACGAAGAATGCGACGAGGCGGGCGGATGCGGCCAGCCCGCGCTCCCGCACCACCTCGCCCAGATATCATGACGGCACTACACTCTTCCAAAGGCCCTCCTCAACCTCCGCCGACCCGGGATGCAATAGAAATACGACGTGAGGTGCGCAATTGCCAAACAATAGTAGGCACGGCACCTTGGCTAGAGATGACGTACTGAAAGCCGTGACATTGAGCTAGTAGGTACAAAGGAGAGAATTGTGTGCGCGCCCGATAAAAGAGGGGGCACTAAACACGCAACATGCACTTTCCAAAGACGCAGCAGGCGTTAGTCTCGATTGGGACAGGTACCTCCACACGTAAGTTTTGCGGCATGGGTACGGAGTACGGAGTGCTGGTATTGGCGAAGGGTCAAAACTGCACACGGCTGCACGGTCAAACGGGGTGGCTTGAGATCAATTGTATCTTATACTGTACCACTTTAGCTTGTCTCTCAAGAAGTCCTTCCTGTACGTCTTCGCCTTTACCTTCGCTTACCACCGAAAAGCGTAGCAATAGCTTCATCATAAGCCGCTGTCATGTCATTATATAGTTGGTCTGGGCGCTAATATTCATCTACTCACGGGAAAGAGGCTCAACCTAATCCTCAGACAGAGAAGCTTCACGATGCGAAACACGCCCGGAAACTCATTCACAATCCTTTCAAGCCCATGTACAGTCATTTGCTGTGGTGGCCATGCCCTCGGAGCCAATCCAAATCTCAAGCAAGCGTCCCATCCTCGGCTCCCCACCCGGTCCGCCTCCAAAAGCCGGACCCTCCAGCCTATGAACCCCCACGATGAGCTCCGAGTCTCGGCCGCCAAACTTTACGCCTCACCCATTCATTTCCTGCCAAAAAGAAAAAAAAAAAGCGCCCAACAAGAGCTCATCGGTCAGGTCACCCTCAGCCAAATCAACATCGTCCCAACTCTCCCACCAGACGGATATCGACTGGCCGCTCTCCCGCCTACCCGCCATGTTCTCTCTCAGAAGGACAATGGCCACCATGGCCGCGCAATCGCCGCTCAAACAAGCCGGCAAAGTAGTCTGCATTGGCCGCAACTACGCGTGCGAACCCCCCCTTTCTTCCCTTCGTTTCATTTCCAGCCACCAAGCCGGCCTTCACATTCGTGCATCCATTTCTTGATTCACAACCGCCAGCCACGGCGTGGAGCTAACCCCGTCCACAGAGACCACATAGCCGAGCTGAAAAACAGCAAGCCCAAGCAGCCATTCTTCTTCCTCAAGCCGCCGTCGTCCATCGTCCTGCCCGGCGAGGGACCGTGCCTGCAGCCCAGAGGCGTCAAGATGCACTTCGAAGTCGAGCTGGCCCTCGTAATAGGCAAGATGGTGCGGGATCTCAGGGCGGACGACGGACGGGGCGCCCTGGAAGCCATCAAGGGTACGGTACTCTGCTCGCGTTCCTGAAGCTATTCTGCCCACGGCGCACGTGTGGACGGGAACTAAGGGCAGAAATCCACAGCATACGCCGTCGCCATCGACATGACGGCCCGCAACGTCCAGGACGAGGCCAAGAGGAAGGGTCTGCCGTGGGACATTGCCAAGGGCTTCGACACCTTTCTCCCCATGAGCAACGTGATCCCCAAGACGGCCATCGGCGACCCGCAGGACGTGGAGCTCTTCTTGGAGGTGAACGGCGAGACGAGGCAGAGGGGCTCTACGGGGTTGATGATTTACCAGATTCCCCGGATCATGAGCGACATTTCAAAGGTCATGACGCTGCAGCCGGGCGACATCGTGCTGACGGGGACGCCGGCCGGCGTCGGGCCCGTCGTGCCCGGGGATGTGATGAGGGCCGGCGTGAGGGTTGGCGGGACCGAGCTGGACGAGGGGAGGGTCGAGGTCAGGGTTGAGCAGTCGCCTTCTTCGTATGTGTTTGCTGAGACGTGAGTAGAGGCGGGACGAGCTGCATGGAAGGACAAGGGCTCTTTTTTGTAGTTACTACGTGCGGGGCGTGTCTAAGTCGACAAGGCTTGGAAGGGAACTAGTTGCCATGTACTAGATTTATTCATACTTCAGTTTCGTAAGAGGTACATCCCCCCTTTTTTTTTTTTCCCCTTTTTCCCCCCAGAGTTGATCAAACACCGCCGACTCCGCATCCCACGACGCCACCCTTCATGCTCATCTTTCGTCACGCACATTCCGTACCGTAGGCCGTGCCCAATTTCATCATCTCGACCTCGGCGCCGCTCCCTGCCCGACGACGACGCTCCAAGGCTCACACGGCAAGGTTAGGATCCGGTATGGAGCCCGGCCTCGGAGCCCAATCTGCCAGCTGTCCACAAGCGCCACACCGTCTCTTCGTCTCGTCGTTCTTAAAGTCCTCCACTGCCTGCTTGATCTGCGTCCCCAGGTCGGTGCAGTGGAAGGCAGCTTCGTGAACAACGACGCCGCCCTCGCAGGATGCGCAGTACCACCGCATGCGGTCGATGGACTCTGGGGGACGGCACTGCTCGACAACGACGCCCACCGTGTCGGAAAAGCGCACCGGGTTGTGAGGCGTGTTGGCCGGCAGCAGAAACATGTCGCCCTCCCGGATGATGATGTCTCGGAAGGTGCCGCCGTCGACGACCTTGAGCATCATTGCGCCGCGGTACTGGTAAAACCACTCTGGCGTCTGGTTGACGTGGTAGTCGGTGCGGGCGTTGGGGCCGCCCACAATCTACGAGGCGTGAGCAGGCAATGCGAGCGCGATGCCAAGGATATTCGGGGGGAGAAGGAGCCAGGCAGAGCTCACCATGACGGTGAAACCATCGCTGCAGACGCAGTAGTTGTTGACTGGTGGCTGGAGCAGGTGCGAGTTCTCCTCCAGCCTGGATGCTCGGAAACCCGGGTTAGCATCGTACACGCACGCGGCTGGGCTCTGTGGCAAGCAGCTCGACGTTTCCGTGCTGAGGGAGGCACAAGTGACTTGACTCACCACTTGGGCAAGTTTACGGGAGGACCCAGCATGGCGGCTGCCTGGGCAAAGAGCTCGATGCCGTTGCGAGGTTGCAGTCAGAAAGGGCTGACGAGGCGTATTGTAACTTGTTGGAGTTGCTTGCTTGAGATGAGAACCGGCCGGAGCCGGTGGGTGAGGCGCATTGGCATTTGTAGGCATTTGTAAGCCAAGCATTGGCGGCGACAAAAGTTGTCACGTCCGAGGCGCTCAACTACGGCGCACTCGCCGCGGCTCTGCAACAGTTGATAAATGACGAATTCACCAGTGAAAGAACCCTGGAGCCGCGCGCATGCCACAGGCGAGTTGGACCACTTGAAGTCGTGCATCAACAAATCGTGCAGGTCGAGTCGTACATCGCGCCCGAGAGCCGCCGTGCACAGTCATGATATCAATTTTCTTGGATGAGTTTCAACAATACAAGCTGTAATGCTGCGCAGAGAGGAGCAAGTCTTTTTCTAGCCATATAAATCCAGCTACTACGTCATGCTTGTAATTTGTCTTGTAGTTCTAACTAGAGATGGACTCGAAACCTTTAAACTCCCCAGCAGCTTGCCTCCCGGCGAGCCAATCACGAGGTCACGTGCCATCGCCCACGGCGACTGTGTTTTTCCGGTCCAGCTTCTTTTTTTTTTGTGCCTTGCCAAGCAATTGCTCCGACGGGCTGAGAGCGACTGTGCGAGGCGTGCGGCAACTGCATCCATCGAGCGGGAGCCCAACGACGACAACATTGATTTGACACTGCCTCCCCGCCCCAGCACCGCCCAACATGAAGCTCGTTCGGTAAGTCCACGTCGAATCACACAACTCAGTCCAAGAAGATTGCGCCATTCGCCCACCCGCAATCGACTGCAAGTGGACGCTGACGTGTTTCGCGGCCTAGGTTCTTGATGAAGTGCGCCAACGAGACGGTGACGATCGAGTTGAAAAATGGTATGACGCGCGCTTTCCCACGCCCAAGAGAACACGCTTGGCGGACCGCAGCGCCGGCCTGCCGTCTGGCCTGAATGGCGAGCAAGAGCGCCCGGCTGACCCTTTCCCCCCTCTCCGCCAGGCACCATCGTCCACGGCACCATCTCGTCCGTCTCGCCGCAGATGAACACTGCCCTGCGCACCGTCAAGATGACCCCCAAGGGCCAAGACCCCATCTCCCTGGACACCATGAACATCCGAGGGTCCACAATCCGATACTTTATCCTGCCCGACTCCCTGCCTCTCGATACGCTGTTGATCGACGACGCACCCAAGCCCAAGAACAAGGCCCGCAAGGAGGCCGACCGCGGCGGCCGCGGCGGCCGCGGAGGCAGAGGAGGACCCAGAGGGCGAGGGCGTGGACGCGGCCGTGGGAGGGGCTAAAGAGTCCCTCGGCAGAGGGGAGAACGGAATCCGGGCAGGGCCAACTGTGCAAGTGCAAGCGTTTTCTCGATGCTGCGAATCTACGAATCTACCGACGGTGTGGGATGGGTGCCCGAGGACCTTCCAACTCTGTGCAAGGAGAGCAGCCCGCCTTGCTGCTCGCCTGCTCGCCTCTGGGAGGGTAACAACTAGACTAGGGGATTGTTGATGTAGAAATGACCAGCCAGGCCGTATTGGCAGGTCTTGTCGCAGTGGTGACGAGGGCGGGAGAAGGGGGGTTGTTTCACCACGAACATGGTCGCATACGCGACGGTGTTGGGCGTTTGGGATGTTTGGTCACGGCTACATGAGAAGAAAAGGGAGACGTTGCACATTTCACACATGCCTCGTCGCTTGATTGCCCACGGGATCCTGTCGTGTCGTGTCGTGTCTGTTCCCACAGCCACCAGAGCAGCGTCTCGTGCCATTTGAACAAGGAAAAAAACAATGTACACGGCCCGGCAAGGCGTGCCACAGCCTCCTGCCTCGCCCTTGCCCTTGCCCTTGCCCTTTGCCCGTCCCGCCCACGATGACGATGTACCACGTACTCGGTATGCGATGCTCGCTCGCCCACCGCAGAATGGCAAGGCAACCCGACCCGGGAGACCGCCCAGCTCAAACCGCACCCCTCCATATCCTCAAGACACACAGCTTCTCCCAGCCCGCCGTCTTGCCGCTGCCCCCGACAACGTCGGCCCTCCAGCCGCCGCCGAGCGCGGCAACCCTGCCCGCCACGTCCTCGGGCCGGTTCTGCCTACACAGCAGCAGGTAGGCGCACCCGCGCGCGGACAGGACGCCCGGCAGCGCGCGCAGCAGCCGCTCCGTCGTCTCCATGCCGTCCCTGCCGCCCGCGTACGCCAGGCTCAGCAGGTAGCTCTCCTCGTCCCAGCCCGGGCGGGCGGCCTCCCCGGCCTCCCCGGCCGCGGGCGTCTCGGTCCCCGGCGCCGGCGTTGGCGGCGGCCGCCTTGGCGACGGTCCGCACCGTGGCCCGGCACGCAAAGGCGTTGACGTCGACGCCGCAGGTGAGCAGGCGGCGGTGGCCGAAGAGCGCGCGCGCGTGGGCGTTGACGAAGGCGACGACGACGCCGGAGCCCGTGCCGACCTCGAGGACCAGCGGCGCCGGAGACGTCGGGGGGAAGGCGGACTGGAGGAAGGCCGTCTCCGAGGGCGACGAGAGCGTGTCCAGGAGGAGGAACGAGTCTTCGGCGGGTTCGTAGACGCGCGAGTAGGGCACGTGCCGCGTGTCTGGGGTTGGGAGCATTCTGACGTGCGGTGGAGAGGTGAGGTATCGATGGGCGAGGTGCGCGGGTGCGCCGGCGAGCAAGTGAGAAGTGAGAAGGGAGCAGGCAGACGGCCCAAATCAGACAACCCGGCATGCCAAAAAAAGCACCACCAAAAAACCGCACGACGGCTCCACCTCCCGACGTCACCAAAAAAAACGAGCCGTGGCCACATACCACTATTCCGTATTCCGTTCTCCTGTCACCGTGCATCCTACGCGGCAGCATCCACGCCAAAGCAGCCCTCACCTCCCATCACAAGACGACGCACACGCACCCCGTGACCCTCAGGTCGACCCCCCAGTCGTCCTCGTCGGGCCCCTCGCCAATCTTCAAGCCCCAGCCCATCCTCTCCACGACCCGTACCAGGTTCCCATCATATCGCACGCCCGCGGCCTCGCTGCAGCGCGGGCACGCCCTCGTGGCTGTCTTGTAAAAGGCCGGCCTGTCCTTGGTGGCTCCGGCGCCGCACGCAAACGACGGGCAGGTCGAGAAGCCCATCAGGGGAGCGCAGCTGTTCGTGATGACGGCCCACGTGTGGCGGCAGGTTTTGTTGTGGAAGTAGGTCACTGTGCACATGTTCGACCTCTCTCGCCGACGGGCGACGTGAGGAACAGGCTAGATGTGGCGTGGTTTCGACTTTGCAGGCTTAGAGGGCGAGCGGAAAAGGTGTGCAAGGGTGTTTGAGAAAAGGGAAAGACGACAGGGAGGCAAGGTGGAAAAAAGCGAGGTTACGTGCTCGCAATCCGTTGACGGCTGGCAAATGCTACGGAAGTGAATCACCCCAAAACGCCTCGCTAACACGGATGGATGGCCGTGCCTATTGCTGTCCAGCAAACGACGACTCCGTCGTGAACCCCTCCGTCGGCTCCCTCAACGTGCTACCCTCGCCTAATCCATCATCCTCAGTGTCACTGATGGCCTCGTCGTCAACTGGGACCAATTTCGAAAGCAGAAGCTCCATCTTTTGCATCGACTTTTCCATGGCCTCCATCCTGGATTCCGCACTCATCATGCTGTCTCCGTTGAACGAGCCCCTCAATTTATGCGGAAACATGGAGTCCCTACGCGATGGTTTCCGAACCTGAGGCGCTCCTCCGTCTGCAGTCGTTTGCCTCGTAAACTGCCGTCGAATAAGATGTCGTGTCAAATGGTCGTCTGCCGCGATCTCCGGATGCGCATCTTCTGGCGGCGGGACTTCAAACACAGCGCGCAGATAGCGATGGGCAGAGAGCTGCCACTTTTTCCAAAACCATTTCTTTGCGCGCGGATATATCGTGCGGTTGGCGGCTTTGGACGTCCATGTGATTCGGCGCTCGGCTACAGCAATAATGAGGAGGAGGGGGAGATTGACGAGACGAACGGTGGCAACATGTATCTTGTGAAACCACCGGGGACTGACGACGAACTTGAGCGGCAAAAGGAAGAAGACCGCCAAGAGATTGAAGGGAGGTTGGTACGCGAAGACGGCATCGGCTTTGACTCCCTCGAGGGTTAGAACAGCTCGGCGAAACTGTATTTCTGCGGTTGCGTTGGCCGAGATGTTACTGAAGGTATTTGTGAGCATGGACACGAGGATTGTGAGGAAGAGAGTGTTTCCGAGAAATGCAAAGGCCACCATGAGACAAGGGCCGAGGAGCCAGTGAAATTCAACCTTGCCAAGTTAGTCGCTCGACTTGGACGATTGATGGTAGATGGAGGAGACTTACCGATCGCTGAATGCCGGTGCCGTCCAGACCAAACCAAATGTAAATCATCCACTTGGATATCGTTCTACAGACGGATTGAAGGTCAGCATGAAACGTCACGCAACGCGCACAAAGACTTACACAATCGGGTGGGTTCCTTCGCCCAGCCACAAGAGACTGAGAAGGAAGCCGAAAAAGCACCATGCTGATAAAGCAGTGAGGAAGAAAAAGTCGGCCATCATGGATCTCAAACATAACAGGACAAGATTCTCGGAAAGTAGAGTAAATGCCAATCGAGGTACCAGCACAGGAGCCGCAAGTGCGAGCACGTCAAAGGCTTGCTCCCCTGGTCCCGACAGTCCTAGGCGCCAGCCATGCATTCGAAGGACGACGTAGATGGAGTAGATGCCGACGAAGCCAACGTCTAAGAAGGACCACAGGTTTTGTGTATAAACGCCCCTGTAGTAGAAGCTTGTCAGCAACCCCAGACAGCGAGTCGGACAGGCAAAAAAAAGGAAATCAAACAATCAGTCAAAATGAACTACATACCATCCGTGCGCGAGAATGGTGGCAAACTGGTCCAATCCCCACCCAAACGCATAGATGGCAAAGGCGGCCTCCAGCACGGTAAGCTTGCTCTTCTCTCTTTGAAGCATGACGCCAAAGTACAGGGCGAGAAGAATGGCAAACTGTATCGACTCAAGGATATTTCGGTTCCGCGGCACGATCAGACGGTACTGATTCAACAGAGGAGACTCCCGCGGATCATACAAGGATATTGGCTTCAACTTGTAGTGATCCGGAATGATGTCCCAAAAGGTGGACGGGGTGTAAATGATGCGACCGTCGTAAATAGCGTTGATGATGTGATGGCAAGTGCTCGAGCTGAGAAAGTGCTTGCTCTCGGTCAAGATGGCGACTTCGAGCGACGGCAGGGTGCGATGAAAGGTCCACGCCGTCTTGATCTCGGCCTCCTCGCGAACATGGTCCGGGGCGTTCTGGAACGGCTCAAACCCGGCGACGAGGACGTGAGCAAGCAGCAAAAGCCCGTCCGGGCCCTCGTGGTCTTCACCCAGACGCCGGAGGATACGTGTAGCAATGAGCTCGCAGAGCGTGGCGCGCGTCCAGTTCACGTTGTGTCGTGTGCTGGAGTAAGATTCTTCCAGGAGGAACTGAGCCCGATTTACCAACAAGCAGTAAACTGCGGCAAAGGGGGGAGGGCATTAGTCTGCGACTCTCGTTTCTCATTCCACGCCAAGCTACTGGCACAAATCACTCTGGACGGGAAGGAAGGGAAGCAGGAGAAGAAGGAAAGTGGGTGGGAACGTTCTCAAAACGTACTGATGGAAATATCATCCAGCTCGTAAAACTTGTCCACCAGGGGCCTGACAACCGTCACATTGATCCTCACGTCCCTCAGCTGTTCCAGGCTCAGGTAATCCTCCACAACGCTGAGAATGTCCCTCCGGATTCGATGGATATTGGTATACACGGGCAAATGACTATGCGGGCTCGTCATACAGCTATACATCTGCTCGGCAGTGTCGTCATCTGTGCCCGGGCAGTCGGACTCCCGCCTGCCCAGCAAAGGGCGGCGCTCTCCTGCAGGCAGCGGCGGCAGGGTGATGCGCCGCTTGCGGTCCGGGGCCATGAACGACTATCAGGCGCCTGAATGGCACAGAGGACGCACGCGCTGTGTGTGACGACGCAAATATAGTATGATGTTGACACGGAGTCGGCGGAGGGATTGGCGGACATGAGAAGAGGTCGAGGATTGCACTGAGGAAGGTTCCATCAATGCCTGTGCCCATGTGGCGGCCGGCGCGTCATTGGGCCGCTGGGCTGCGTCGATGCAACCACCCCTCCTGCAGTGACGTGACAGGTACGGAGTACTCAAGTACTTGAGCAGTCAGCAGCGTGTCCCGACCCAACGAGCTACCAACGTCAGGTACGGAGTACCTAGGTAGTACCTACTCCGCAGTCGACTACCACCAAGCACAGACACCCCCACATAAGCATAATAATAAATATAAGACAGGGCCCAAGCCGCCCTCAGTCAGGAGCACTCTGTCCCCCCACCAATCACGTCACGCTCTCTTCCACGCCACTCGACTCCCAGGCACAAGTTCGTCCCCGTCAACGGTATCAGCACCACGAGCGTCGTCTGGCACGCAACAAAATGTCACAAAACCACAACATAGCGCCGCGCGACGAGACGCACATCAAGCGGGCAAGGCCAAAAACTCGTCAAGTTTCAAGTCAGACAGCGGGTGCGCATCTATAGAGCTAGACAAACAAGAAAAGAGGCCGTCACATACAACGTGTGTGTGTGTATGTCTCCCTCGGCCCCCCCAGAGCATTGTCGCCGACGAAGCCGGAAAGTTGGCCGTGCTCAGCGACATACACAGTACAGTCGGTGCGACCGAACCGGTTCTACAGTTTCGACTCGGCCTTGCCGCCCGCCTCCTGGGCCAGCTCCCACGCAAATTCAGCCAGCGGCGCCCTCGTAGCAGCATGCTGCTTCGCCTTCTCGCTGCTCGCCTGCCTCCTGGCATACCTGGCCGCGATGCCCTGGCACACGGCGGCCAGCTTGAAGATGTTAAACGCCATGCCCCAGCTCATATCGGGCCGCGGGTTGTACCCCGTCATGGCGGCATACCACTGCAGCAGCTGCGCCTCGGTCGGCAGACCCGGTGTGCGGCCGGGCAAGAAGCCCTTTGCCGACTCCGGCGCCGCCCCCGAGTGGCGAGCCGTGTAGAACTGCATGAGCAGGTTGCAAACGTCGGACAGCGGGTGGCCGACGGTGGACAATTCCCAGCTGTTTCAAAACCCCCCCTCCGCGGGGTCTGTCAGTGCCAAAACTCCAAGTATGACAACGCCTGAAAGAGAGGGTAAGGGGAAAGGGGGGGAAATTACATACTCCAATATGCCAATCACCCTCGGCTCCGTCTTATGAAAGACCAAGTTATCAATCTTGTAATCGCCATGCACCAACGTCGTCCGATCAGCCGGCTGCAGCTGCTCGTTCATGAAGAAGCCAACCAAGTCCTCAAACCAAGGCAGGCGGCCGACCTTCTCGCCGGTTTCCACGTCCTCAATGGCCTCCTGCGCCATGCAAATCGTGCTCCACGTCTGAATCTGGCGGTTGTAAAAGCCGCTCGGCTTCCCGTACCGCCCCAGCCCAATCTTGTGGTAGTCGACGGAGTGGAAGCGCGCCAGCGTCTCCGCCGCGGCCCTCCACATGGCGGTCCTCTCCTGCGGGCTCACGTCGGGCAGCGTAAAGTCCTCAATGATGCGGCCGTCCAGGAACTCCATGATGTAGAAGGGCGTGCCGATGACAGAGTCGTCCTCGCAGAGACAGTAGGTCTTGGGGACGGGGACGTCGGTGTTTTCGAGGGCGTGCATGATGCGGTACTCGCGCTCGACTTGGTGGGCGGTTTTGGAGACGAGCTTGCCGGGGGGCTTCTTGCGCATGACGAACTTGCGCGCGTCGGCAGCGGTGATTTGGTACGTCGGATTGGATTGACCGAAGCCGAACTGTTTTTGAACTTGTCAATCATTTGGGGGGGCACACGGTGTTGGGGTTGGAGGTTTTGCGGGCGGGATAGAACTCTTCGCAACGAACCTGCTTCAGATCAATCGGCAGCTTGACATCGGGGACATTCTCGCTCAGAAACTTGCTAAAGGCAACCTCGTCAATGGGCTGCCGGACGGTTCCCGCCATTGCGAATCGCCACGGTCCCAAGACCAGACCAGACGAGACCAGATGAGACCAGGCGAGACCAGATGAGACCAGGCGAGACCAGATGAGACCAGGCAAGACCAGACGAGACGTGACCCAGGCTAGCTTCTCAAGGTAAATACGCGAGCTCCCACCCGTTGCATCTCCAGGATCCAGGGAAGCGTGTTCGGTCTGCAGGCGGGTGTCTAAAAACCAGGAACAGTGTTTGCGCAGCAGTTGCGGAATGAAAAGCTCGTGCGACGTTGACACATGACGTCGGAGGAAGAGGGGGGAAACTGTAATTGGACTTGATACCTTGGGTGCTTGGTAGCTTAGTCCGGAGCAGAGAGAGCGCTTTGCCGAGGTTCCTTGGCTGGGGTAAAATACCGATGCTCCGACCAGTCGGCAACTCGTCTCCACCAGGCGGCCAAAGTGACCGAGGCCGAGGGGCGTCCGTCGCATCGCGTCGACCTCGATTTCTATTTGCTGCCAGCCGGCAGTTGACACCTCAATTCTAAATGCTAAATGCTGTCGCTTCCCAAATTATACTCGTGGCGCCGCATGCCGCTCATCGGTGCAGCATAAGTAGCAACGTGCAGCGTGCAGCGTGCAGCGTGCAGCAAGCACTCTTCTGCCGCCAGATGATGCTCCGCCTCCTCGATACAGACACAATCCGCTCAGTCGTTTCATTACACGCAGCATGTGTCATCACAAGCCATCCCTGTGATAGGACAGAATACCAAAAGATCAATTCACAGCAAATGATATCACGGTAATATCCGGTGACGGACTTGCCTACATATCTATATCCATCACATCGCCAAAAACAGGGGTCTGCGCCCCTGTTCCTCTTTTCCCCCCCCGGTGTCCTGACACTCTTTCTCCTTCCAGCTCAATTCGGCACGTCTCTTTTTTTTTTTGTTGTTTGGGATACCCGGGTTTGTACCCTTTTTGTAGGGCGCGCTTTTTACCTCTTTTTTTCTTTTTGTCCTTTCCCTCCCCTCCTTGCGAAATCCTCCGATGGCGGTTGCCCACTCAAAGTGGCCGATGCCTGCTAGCCATGTGCCAGCAGATCAGATGCATCAGTCATGCTCCTCAAAGACGCTCAGTGTTTTTTTGCCAATCCAGCGGCAGAAAAACAGATGAAAGACGAAATGCAGAAAGAAAAAACAACTTGGCAGGGTAGATGTAGAGAATAAATGGGTGTCAATATGATGAAGAGGGAGAGAATAGAGAGGGTCAAGGTGTAAAGACAGAAAGGGAGACAATAGAGAATGAGAGACACAGGGAACAAGGGTATCCTTCGTTTTGATTCATCCATGCATTCTGACCATCCAGTAATCCCCTGGGTTCCGCCCACCCCTTCCATGATGAGCATCGGTATGCTGTTGCCAGTCCGTGTGTGTAATCAAAGCAAATCCAGCCTTTCGCCAACCATTGTTCCAAGCCTTGGTGTCCCGCCAACTTTCCAGTTACGCAGAGGTCACAAATAGGATATCCCAAACCAAATATCCTCCCCAGAGGCACTGTTTTCTGCGGCCCTACAAACACCCTGTTCCCACACAAAAAAAAAAAAAAGAGAGAAAACGAAGGGGAGGGGGGGCCGTCCAAAACGGAACGAAGAGGAAAAAAAGAGCTGCTCAAGATACCCCGAATTAGAGTAAAGTAGGAAGCGGACGGCGCAACAGATACTTCTGCCATCATGACATCGTGAAATATACAGGTTGCTAAATGATCGATGATAATCCTCCCGCGTTTGCTCCGACACATCCGACCGTCTCAACTGTCATCTTCCCCTCCGTCTCCCTCTGAACTTTGCGTGTCCGTCTTGGATTTCTTGTTGGGCGATCGGGCCTCAGCTTCAGACTTGCGCTTGCCTCCCACGGAGTCGGTCGGCTTGTCGCCGGCATTGTCGCCACCTTCGGCCTTGCCTCCCTCTTCTCCCTTGGTCTGTCGCTCCATGGCGGCTACCTCTTCAGCCGTCAGGAAGCGGCCGCCGGGGCCACGTGGCCGTCGCATGGCATGGTTATGACGCGATTCGTGGAGGTACGGCTTGCGGCCCTTGGACGTTAGCCGTAGTTGCTCCTCTAACCGTTGACGAGCAACTCTGCGCTTCAGGATTCGGTGAAACTGCTTCGCGTTGACGTAGAGAGGCGACTCTTCAGCACCGCCAGCAGGCATCTCGGGCGATTGAGGATGTGGCATCGCCTGCCCAGGGGGTATTTGCGGCGGCGCAACCGGTCTTCCGGCGGCGTGGTTCATCATGGCTTGGGCATTGGGCATACCCGGACTTGTGACCTGGCTCATCCTTCGAGGCATTTGCGACATGTTATTCATTCTTGGCGATTGGCGGCTGTCCTTCTTGGAGCCGTCGGCCATTCGTGGTGAGGTTTGAGGCATGCTGGGATCCGAATGCATGTAGGGGTAACTTGAGCCAGAGGCGGCGGCTGTGGCGGCCATTGCGGCGGCCTGAATGCCAGGCATGCCATAGGGAACTTGTTGCATGCCTTGCTGAGGCACACCATACTGTGGTTGATACATGTTTTTGGTGTTTTGTAGCGGCAAAACGGGTCAATGGCTTGACCGTTGGACGGGAAGAACGGTCAGTGGCCCACGGGCTGACGGCGCCGGCCAAGGGACGTTCGATTCGTGAGAGTGACGCGAGCGCGCTGTAGGGAGGAGCGAATTAAAGAGAGGGTCCCCAAGCAGCACTTAAGGACGGCACAGCCAAGCAGAGACGGTTGTTGGAGAGCAGACGACGAATAGCTGCGACCAGTCAGTCAGGCCTGTGGCGAGTACAGCTGCTTAAAACGCACAGCCTTGCTTGGGTTTGAATTGGGCACAGTTGCTCCTGGCAGGGGCAGTCGCAAAACCGCCCGCTGTACAGGCACCCAAGGCTCCCTCCCGGTAGAGGGTGTGTGAGCTGGCAAGACGACGCAGTGCCAAAACAAGAAAGATGGCCCAAAAAAAAATCAATTCCAGCGCAACGGTGGCCTCCAAGGGTCGGCCAGAGGCGCCTGCAGATCGATGTCGTAGTCAGGGAAAAGCGGCCTGAAATAAAGCCACAGCTCGACTCTGAAATTGTTGCCCTCAAAGGCGGGAGAGGCGCGGGCTGCTGCAACAAGGTTGAGCCGGGTAGATTGATGGTTGGCGGTACGCTCGACCAGGAGCCGCGAGAGACTCTTTGGAAGAAGACGAAAAGTTCTGTCCAACCAGACCGGTTAGCTACGCCGTAAACAGGCAAAATAAATGAACGGATCGGACAGATGAATGGCTGCAAGTGGGTTTTCCGTCTCGACAACGGGACGGACCTGGGGAAGCGCAGACGGACGCAAGCTTGGGTGGCCACACACACTAGTGATGCGTTGGCAGCCCCCCTCACGCCATGCAATGCCGCGGCGCGGACGGATTGCGGTTGCGCCTGCACTTGCACTTGCACTTGGTTGTGCAAGTGCCAGGCTCCCCATCCCCATCCCCATCCCCAGGCTGCCCAGGCCCACCGAGCCCAACTGCATCATCAACCAGACAGACAGCAACGCAGGCAGTCAAAGTGGTCATCGTCGGACGTCCACGCGTGTGGCAGGCAGCCCGTCAACTGGTCGCGCCGAAGAACCGGAAGCCATGACGAAGACTCGCGCCCTGTCCACGAGGTGCGCACGCCGCCGCCGCTCCTCGGAATTGACTGTGTGAACAATCCAGCCTCGCTGTGTTCAACCCTTTCATCCCAGCGCCGGCACTGGGCATGCGGCGGAGCAAAACATGACAACCGGCGCCCTGCGTTGGCCGACATGGAGCATATTCATTCCACGTCATGGGGAAGGGGAGGGGTCTTTTCTTGGAGGTGGTGTGGACGCAGGGAATAACCCTCTTTTGCCATGTCGAGGCAGAAGGAGACAGAGAGGGTAGGTTACCTTGCACAAGAGCTGCCTCCAAGGTAGCATGGCATGGCAGGAAGAAATACACACACAAGATGATATGTGAGTTGAGCGCTGGCCACCTCGGAGTGCACACAGGCTTGCCTCCAAGGAGCGCTTGCTCATGGGATGCAATCGCCTTCACAGCAGACGCTGGTGAGGCTCGGCTCGGCTCGACGCGTCCGTGACAACGCGGGCAAGAAGCGATGGCAAGGGGCTCATGACGAGTTGACCAGTCGACGCGGCTCCCAGAGCCTCGCATCTGAGAGGTGGTAATACGCGCGCGCACACGCAAGAGGGGACATGTTGTGTGAATGTCGGGCGATGAGAGCGCGGAAACAAGACGAAATGAAATGCGAGGCAGAGAAGGAATGGACAAGATCAAACGAAACGCGCTGCGGCAAATAGGCGCTGTCGATGGACTATCAAGCCGACATGGGCGCAGAGAGGAACAGGCAAGCAAGTAGCATGTATGCAAAAACCAAGAATAACGAAGGCAAGGATTGACGCCAATAAAACAGCGCCAATGGGTTGATGGTGGTTCTGTCCAAATTACAATGAGAAAGCTTCGCAATTGCACATACCTCGTACCTCGTCTCCCGTGACACAAGCCGTGTCCTATTGCAATGGCGCGACGGAGCTCAATGACGGCGTTCCCACGAGACGCGATCAAGCTCTTTGCGCCCTGATTGATAGCGACGCAAAGGAAGACAGTCAAAACGCGCAGCGATGCGCAGTCACCTGATGGCAAAAAGCGGCCAATGACGAGCGCGAGAAGGATGATGGCGACGATGATAGGCCTTTCGCGATCACGAAAGCTGCGATGAGGCCGAATGGGCGACGCACAAAAACCGGGAGCTGATTTGCTGAGGAGAAGGGAGTGGGCGGTTTTTGGGACAGAGCTCGACGACGTCGAGTGGTGGAGAGCTGGAAGAAGAGGAGCCAGCTTCACAATTTCCCACGTCCCAACGTTCCCACGCCTTATTAGTCCCAGAGGCTATTGGAGGAGAGGAAGGGTGCCGCCCGGTTTCCGGTAACAAAGCTGCCGATGTCCGACGGCGGGGGCAAATATTAGACAGCACGCCGCTGTGGTGGAGATGGCCCCGATGCAGACAAACGAGGGAAGCCGAGGAGGAGGGAGGGTTGTTTGAAAAAAAAAATTGAAAGTAAATAAAAACACAAAGGCCTCGGCGACATACGCAAATGGTACGCGATAGACTGGGGCGGGCGGCGGCGCGGCGCACTTCAGCCCAGGACTGGGAGGAGGTAGACGTCGTCGGCGCACAAGCGAAAAAAAAAAAAGGACGATCAATTTGCAGAATGCGCAGGGCTGGGCTCCGCGGAATGCACAGCCGAGTACGTACGGACGGAGTACTCCGTACAGGCCGGATCTGATACTCGGTACGCTGGAGCCGCAGTCTGCTCGTGCCAGCTGGAGCGTTGGGCCAGACACGGAACCTCGAAGAACTTGTCCGTACTCGGGCGTGGTGGTACTGTGGTGGTTGTACTGGCGCCGCAGCTGCCTCAAAATAGCGGCTGGGCTGGGCTGGAGAGGCGCAGATGTGCCGAGCCTGTTGCTGCTATCGCAACGCAACACGCCGCCGGCGATGAAGAGACGCGCGAGGCGGTAAGTCGTCGATGGCTCTCGCACACAGGCGCCTGGTTGGTCCGAGCTGCTTGCGATGACTGGCTAGCTGGCCGCCGACGAACGGGTGAGCTGGCGCAGACTGGCTCAAGCTTCTACTTTTTATTTCCCTTTTGTCTCGCTCAGACTCACTCTGACTGGACGTTGGGACGCGCGCGCAAGAGACGGACGGCAAGCGGACTCGGCGGTGTCTCTGGTGGTCGAATGACAAATGGGCGACTCTGCTCGCGCCGCCGAGGGGGGAAATGTTCTGTGTTCTGTGCTGCCCTTCTGCTCTGTTAGACTGTAGCCCGGCCTTAAGTCGTTCCAACTGCCAAGCCGTTCTGGTGGTGGCCGTTGAGTGGAGGGTGAAGGTCCAAGGAGAGCCGTTGCGGGGAATGATTGGCCGTTGTGTGTGGGAGGAGAGGGCACGAATGGCTGCTGAGAGACGAAGGGAAAATGCGAGGACGTGATTTGATTTGATTATAAGGGCGGGGGCCTTGACCTCTTTTAACACTTGTTACTGGATGATTCAGCGGAAAGATGGGGCCAGCACACGAGCCCCACTTGGCCGGTAGCTGGTTGCGCGACTTGACTGCTGATTTGCTGGCACCGAGATGACGTGACGCACGGACCAGTCTCTCTTCGTGAACATGAACGAGGGAAGGAACTTACTTGGCTTTGCGGTCTCATCAGTCTGCACTCCGTAACTCCTCCGTAGTCACGTTCCCAACGCGGGCTTCTCTGCTCCTTCTTCTCATGCCCTCCTATTCATCTTTTTTTCCGTCCCTTCGACTGAATCCAGAGAGTGTGAGCGCTGCTCGACAGTTCTCATCCTCCATCAGCCATCCCTCCGCACGTACTCTACTCCGTACACTCCGCACAATAGACTGCGTGTCCCGAGAAACCCTGGCGCTTTGGCCCATGATCCATTGGTCCAGACTGTGCTGGAGAGCCCCATGTCACGGCCGCGATACCAGCCAAGTTCGAAGACCCGAAGACCAGGCTGCTCCACATGTCTGCGAGCGGTGGCTAAGATACTTTGATGCCTCGTTGGGCTTGCCCACCCACGCACGCTTCTTGGCTGCCACACCCGCCGCAGTCGAGCGCACTCTGAACGAGCAAGACAAGCATCGAGATGACAGGGTCGTTCAAAAGCAGCACAGTAATAGCACTGTTCCGAGCTCCCCTGTTCTCGCCATGCTCCTCTTTCCGCACAATATCGACCCGCTCCACGAGGACGGGTGGTACGAGACCGTGAGAACTGAGGTGGTGTGAATGAGATTGGGGGTCACCCCCTGTTCAACATCAGCCTTGAACTGCGGGTACGGAGAACATGCCTTGCAACCAGACTTTTTGTAAGTTTTTGGTGTACGGAGTGAGAGAAAGAGAGAGAGAAAAGCCAAGAGCGTGTTTGTTTTGCAATCAAGCAGCAAAAGTGAGCCATGCTGAAGAGTGCTCCGTACTCCGCATAGTCGACAGTCAGTCATGTCTCTGATCCTCTCTGCTCAGGCGCCATCATCGTCGCGTCAGACAACCTCAAGCCCGGCAATCGTGACTCATCAACCACCGCCGCCACCCTCTTCGAATCCGGAATAAGCCCCAAGGACTCCTTATTACGTCCTAAAATGCCGTGGGGTTCTCTCTGTAAGAGAATGGACGACTTCAGATCTCCGAAAGTATCGCGATGCCGAGACAGCTCATTGGACCCCATGGCTTCCAAGTTCCCATGTCGTCTGCCCTCGTCCCCTTCTCCAGCCACCACACGCACGCAGCTCCCGTCTGTCTCAAACCTTTTTGTCTCTCACAGCCACAAGCTTTTTCGCTCCCATGCCGCACTCGGCCCCTGGAAGGCCACTGAAATTGGCTGGATTATGCGGCGTATCTTGAAACGTTGTACTCCGTATTGGCAATGACCTATCAACCAGTGTGCGGGCGGCGCGTGCATGTATGTATGGGAAGGGAAGTACGAAGGTATCGAGGGACACAGTACAACACTGTGCTCGGAGTACTGGGAACTCGCAAGCTTTTTGTCTGTCATCCATCCATCATTGATCCACCCACCACCTCGTCCATGATCCCTTGATCCAGCCCCCATCTTCGGACACGCTGAGGTCGTGTGCTACTGCCCCATCGTCGGCCCGTCTTGTCAGTCGGAATCGACATGTATTCGCAGCCCCGCTTCTCGGGCTCGCGAAGGAGAAAAAAAGAGAGCGCGAGAATCGAGGACGCCATACGGAGTGGTTGCGTGGGAAAAAAAATCGGCGACATTCCTTCTCTCCTGAAATTCGCCCTTCTCCGCAGCCTCCCTCAAGGCGATGGATCAACACGCTGGCTATTTCCCATTGTGGCTGACCTCAATGTGTCGCTGAGCCAGCATCAGGATAATACAACATCAGACCAAGACAGGCACAGACAGGCCGAGTTCCGTCCATTGGTCAGGGAACGGAACCAGGGAATCAGGGAGTCGGGGAATCAACTTACACGCTGGACTTTGATCTACCGAAAACTCCGTCCAAGCCGGTACTCCGTGCCGTTGTCACCATGCTAACAGAGTAAGTACCCTGTACCCTGGCCAAAAGATCCAGGCTTCAAATTAGTCCAGGAGGTTTGCCGTTTCGCCTGTGTGTTGGCAAACTGAGTGCATGAACACAATGTATGCACTGTATAAGCACAGCCGAGACGGGCGGTCATCACAGTGCCGTGGTTGTGACTTGCGAAAGCCGTGGCTCACCCTCATTTCACTCTCACTGCAATGTGATGGGATGGGCCAATGATCCTGATGTTGCAATGCATGGCAACGACAATTGGCCGCCTGTAACTGACTGCGTACCTGTGCAGTTGCTCTCCATATCTCGGCCGCCGTGCGAAACAGCACATGGCCAATGCTCGGTCGAACCTGCTATGGACCATCCCTCCTTCTCTGGATCAACGAAGATTGAGCACGGCTGTTTTTTTGGATTTGTTTTTATTTTTACCTGGCAAGTCTCGCTGACAGATGCGGTTCCCAAGCAACAACACCATGAAAGCCAGGGATGCCATCAATCATGAAAGCCTGTCGCAAAAAGTCGGTGAGGCTGGAAAATACCCGCCCTCGTCCCCCTCGAGTGCGGTGGTGAACTGTGCCGAGCACTTCGGCGTCCATGTCGCAACGCAACACAGTAGTACTGCTATAGTGCAGCGCCGTCGTTTACAAGATACATGCTCCGTATGTATCTTTCTGGTTTCGACAAGAGGGGGCCACGGATAAGCCCTCCTTTCCTTACATGTTTCGGTCTCCTCGATGCGTCCACGACAGAACCGAGCGCAACAGCATCATGCAGAGAGACCAGGATGCGATTTCTCTCGTCTCGTGCTAGTACGTGCATGTCCTTAATGAGACATGATTGTCGCCTGTCCATGGAGTGAGAGGCCGCCGCCAGCCCAGGGCCGCCGCTTATTACTACTACTAGTAACTACGGAGTACTGGCCATGCCTTGGCTCGTGCGTCAAATTCCAAGGCATCAACCGCAAATCCCGTCAGTCAGATGCTCAGCTTGCCCGTATGACTGGTCAGAAAGGCTGTAGGATTCTCGAGACGCTCACTGGCGGAGGCCTGGGACTGGCTTTCGTGTCTTTCCACGGCACCCAGGCGCAGGCAAGCTCAGGATGTGTTGGGGAGTAAGGGGACGAGCGCGAAGCATTACTAACCACGGAGTACAAAGTTACCTCGTGGGTTCCGACGAGTTGACAGAGCAAGGCTCAGCGTCTCAAAGCCTGCTCTTCACCAAGCAAGTACGGGCAGCAGAGGGTCCTATGGCGGTGTGTCCTGGTTGGCGCCGCGCGATTTCGTCATACTATCCAGATTGACAGCTCGACTCGACAAGTCTAGCCACACCCACGTCATCTTCTAGACTCGCGATGAAGGAACCTCTCTCACCGTGTCGAGTGGAAAATACCACTGCTTGCCTGTTGATGTGTCCCTGACTTGCGGTGCAGATTGCAGTACCCAAATTAAGCTTCTCGATCGGGGCCATTGTGCAACAAGTCAATATTGCACGCCCATCGACTTGCAGTGTTCTATTCTTGGGCCACGCGCCGCGTCCATGTTTGGGTAGTCTAGTGCTGGGTGTAAAGATTCCTGGCGCTCAAAAGACGACGGGCTTGTTTGTTGCCTGATTGATGGGCTGGCGGGCATGCACCTAAGTCGCGGCCTCTAGCCCGGGCGAGTCGGTTGAACTTGGGGCTCCGACAAGCATCGATCGATTCCCGACGACTCATTGCGATGACGGACGGGTGTTGCCGACGCGGGCCGTTCGACACGGGCGGCGGTTTGTCTACTCCGATTCGTCGCCAAGTAGAGCTACGATGTCGGCGTTGATACAAGTTAATAAAGTAGTAATGTGGCATTTTGATGGTTTTTTTAACCCGCACAATCACCGGAACACAGCCTCAGAGTTGCTCAGAGTGCTTGCTTCATCATCGACTTTGAAGTTGTACGGGGATAATCAGCTCGAATTGACATCACGGCGGCTGATATGAACTGAGAATCTCAGAAGCACCCCTTAACAAGATGTACCTCAATGCCAGATTGCCACGGCCAGGAGAGCCGACATGCGCTCCTTGTCTGTAAGTTGCAGCGCGCGCCTTTATCATTATTATTTTTTTCCTTCTCGGACTCTGTGCATCTTGGACGGAAAATCGGTCCCAGGAATCACGCGTCAACATCACCAACCAAACGCAAACAGTCTTCTCGATGCGACTACTAGTTCAAACATCAGCATCATTGCATTTCTAGATTACCCTCGGCATGTTTTTATCGATAAGCCCTTCCTGGGGGGTTTTCGGGAGAGGGCCCTCGCGACGTCGACGTTGCCAAGCCTCACAACGTCCCATCATCCATGTCCCCTTGCGGTAAGCCCATTCTCGAAGATGAGTTCGGCGCCGACTGTCAACATTGCCAGTGCAAAGGGAGCACTTTCATGAGGTGGGAAAGCGCTGGACCTGTACCGTGATGGTGTAATAGATTATGGCCCGATGGTCCATCGCCCAATAGGATTCATCAAGCTACCGCTCACAACCGCCTCCAGCGCAAACGGAAACTCGGGAACGAGATTAGACAGACGCAGGTCATGCAGAAGCGTCCCGAGAAACCTGGGATGTTGAAACAAACCCGGAGACGGTGTCGTCAATACGCCGCCGAGAGCAACAGTTGCAGGTGTTCCAGGACGGCCGAAGACGTGAGTAATCGACATTCTGTATCACGCCTGCCACTTTCTTTCAATGTCGTGACCACTCGACAATATGGTTCATGCCTTGTAGAGGAGCCTGGCTAGTCGAGGCCTCTGCTCAGTTTTGCAAATAGTTTTCTCAAGCTAAACCTGGAGTCGGGGCCGTGCAGGTTGTCAACGATGCTACTTTTGGGGGTCTTCATGAATGCTTGCTGCTTAGACGAAACTTGTCGGAAGTGAACTTGTCTGGTGCGAGTAGATGTTCCGGAGTCAGGACAGCGTTGAGTCATTGACGAAACTGTCCATGCTGGCCGGAGGACATGACACAGGCTCGATGTACGCCGTTGGCTTCTTGTCTGTGATTTGTTATGATGCGCGTCCCACTGCTGTGACGGGAACTTGGGGAGCAACCGATATACAATTAGGTCGTCAGGAATGGATATCAACGGTTCGGACCGCTGTTGTGGATCGATTTGCTGTTCCCTAGGAGCAAGGTCGCACCTCCACCACGGCAGAAGCAGCACGAGCCTCGGCAGACATTGTTTTGCTTGCCTGCTCCTTGGGAACATGTTATTTCGTCCCAGTCCTGGCCTACCTGGGTAGGCGCTTCTTCGTGGGACCGGTCGACAAAAGTGCTCCCGGCGCCGCCGACATGTGATGCGGTCAGTTGGTGATGTGCTAGCAGAGAACGACGTTGAAAGGGTATGGACGGCTGAGCCCTGTTTGATGCACGGCACTTGATTCACGGAGAGCGGTCCGAAGAGACTCTACGCGGGGCGTCATTCCACGAGCGAATGGCCATCGGAGCCTGCCATGGTATTATGAGGATCCCTCGGGAATCGTGGCTTGTTGTAAGAGAAAGACAGCAACGAGCAACGAGGGGGGGCCAGGGAGAACCTGGAGATTCGGGGACTGGTTACTGGTGTTTTTTAGCATCATTCGAGCTGCAAATGGGCATGGAGCTGCCTTGACATGCTCGCATGCAAGTGCTTTGATACAGATGAGTCACGCAAATCCTCCACCGTGGATACAAATGATTATTTCTGACACCCTGACGCCCTCCCTCCTGGCGATACGCCATTACTTGCTGAGGCAGGGAAACGCAGGCTTACCACGAGAAATGCAGCTCAACGGCTTGCTTCTCAGTTCCTCCCAACACATCCATGTACGACGTAGCTACCACTGAGAGACAAGGTCTTGCTTCTCTCAGGGTCGACTGATCTCTCGGCCTGGTTTGCACCCACGACTCTCCACGACTTGTCCAGGGCAGAGGTAAACAGTTTCCATGGTTTCTGGGCGGCCTATGGATAACAAGCAGCACATGCACGGGACACTGGCCAAACATGAGCAGAGAAGTCGCCGGTTCCGCACTGCTGCGGTGATATGAACCTGCGCTCGGAAGTTGGACCACGGTCCCGTGAGGACGACATGTACGGCCTCAGCGTTGCCGAGCCGTTGGCGGCGCATACGCACACAAGGGTCCAGTCCAGTCTGCACATGATGCGGCGCAAGACGGGGATCGAAGCATCTTCCACGCAAAGGCAACCTTGCGGCAAAGCGGACATGGTTGCCCAGTACTGCCTTGATGCGAATGCGCCCGTTGACGAGGTCGAGATGAGATGCACTGTCCGTGTTTCACGGGGAGGTGTGAAACGGAACGGCCGAATTCTAGACAGCCGAGGCCGGTCAGCGACTGCGCGTTCGGTAGCTGGGACTGTGACGTCCAGTCCCTGACTTGAGGATCAGGGCATTGAGGGGAGTTCGGGACAAGATAGACGATGCTTCACGAACCGCGCGGTGATTGTGGCCGGCTGGCTGAGTCGGGCCTTGGTCGGATGGTGGGCAACTGTGGGCGACGGCACTAGTCGGGGAGGGCCAGCCTTGACCTTGACCGCCTTGGAGGTTGGCCCAGGATGCGTGCAAAAGCACCCGGGCAAAACAATGGCTGGCCATCAACTCGAGGGCTTGCCGTTGAGGATGCGGCCACGAAGAGGCGCTTGGAGGTCGAGAATTCGCGGCGGGCTGGGAGGCGCGCGGCAACGCCTGGCACTGGCAGGCTGTTGTTGCTTCGGAAGGTACCGTGGTCGTCGTTGACTGCTCTCAGAAGATGGGATGGAAACGCAAGGTCCGAAAAGGACGAGAGAGCCAACAGTTCCGCCTGCACGCAAACAGCGCTTGCACGCGCACCCGAGCTACGGAGGAGGCATCCATCACCAGCAACATTAGCCGTGTCGCCCGCATCGCCTCGTCCGAAGCGCGACGGAGCCCTGTGCTACGTGCTACGTGCGTGCTGTCCTGACAGGATCCCGCCACCCCCTTCCCATCCCCCTGCACACGCGCCCGCTCCCCGGTCGCACGGAGTACGTACCTGTCGACATTGTGTGGTGTGGTGCTGGGCGCGGGCGGCGGCCCCATCTGACACCAATAGCCAGTCCGTCGGCGCATAACATCCAAAACAAGGCGCTGTCTTTGCCGCCAACAGGCCCGGGCCCCAGGACGCACGCACGCCTACACGCCCGCTCCTCCGATCCGTCCCACGCCCCTGCTGCTACTACGGCCTGCAGGCCTCTCTGCCTCACGCCGTCGCCTGCTTCTTCTCTTCTCTTGCCTTATAATCAAACGCTCCTCCGGACTGCCAGGCCGTCGACACCTCGACACCTCCTCGCTCCTGGGTCGTTCCCTCTCCTCGACGGTGACTCCGTGCGGCAAGCCTGCGGGGTCTGTTCAGTCTGGATCTGGACTCTGGAGCTGCTCGACCATCAATCACTCGGCCACGCGTCCCGAGTCCGCCCATCCGCTGCCCTCACCACCATGCCTGCCACAAAGCCCAGGCTGGAGAAGCTCTCCACGCCCGTGACGGCGACATTCCCCTCGGAAATCACGTCTGCGGCCACGGCCACTCCTCTCTCCGCCCTGGCCTTCTTGTCCAGGCCGGAGCCTGACCTCGTCAAGACGCCCATCAGTCCACCATCCGCTTACACAGACTTCTTGTCCAAGGCAATGGCTCTGAACTCGCCCGCCCTCACCTCGGCAGACTCCAGTCCCGGCTCTGCAAGGACCGATCCGGAGACGGAAAGCGCCAAGCCCTGCTCGAAACACGAACAATCATCACCCGCCTCCTCTGCTGTCAGCAGCAAGCCGTCTCCTCCCCCAACGGCGCCTGTCGTGCCTCCCAGCCCGTTCCCAACCTCGGCCCCCATGTCTGCTCCGCCAACCGGTCCGGCTTCCTTCCCGAGCTTGAGGCTGCCACCGAGCCCTGCCATTTCCAGCATCGACTCTCCCTTGAGCGCGGGCACCCTCCGCTCACCTTTCAGCGCGGCATCTGTCCATTCCGTCTTCGACTGGGATGCCGCATTGAAGGCTCGCTTCTCGGACAAGAAGCACAAGTCTTCGCGCACGAGAGTTCGGCATATCCGGGAAGTCGTCACCAGGACAGTCACCTACACGCCACGCATGGATCCCGCGCCCCGGGGCAAGAGACGAAAGGTGGAATAGAAAAGTCTGCATGTGGCTGATGCAAGCACGACGATGGCAACGCCATGTCCGATTTTCACGACGACTGCTATGACGACGTCCCGGCATCTGTTGGCTCCCAGGGACCAAATGACGACGCAACCAAACTGGGCGCTGGCGGCCCCCTTCCAACACATTATTAGCCTCCCTCCATTTTTCTAAATGTCCCTTTCTTCTTGATTGTTGCTCTTGTTGGCCGAGAGAAACAGCCATCTGTCCTTGACTCTTTTTTCGCGCAAAAGAGAACCAATCTTGGACCTTGTGCGCGTAGCCACAACACTAATACCCTGACCAAGCTGGATCCATGGCTCGAGGATTGTTCTCGTCCATACCGTGGCCAGCAACCACTTGGACTCAGATTACAAAGGGGCTCTCGTCAATTCTGACCCTTTTTTTTTATTTATTTTTTTTTACATCAATTTTCTCTCTCCTTTTTTCCCATCTTTGAAGCTGGAAAAGGGTGGGGGGAGGTCAGTGAAAGCGGTTTCCGGTACATCTTGGCATTTGCGGGAGGCCTTCTTTTGATTGAGAGGAGTTTTGTGGCGTTTCAACAAAGTTGAGTCTTTGGCTTGGGCTCATTGTGACCTTGCACAGGTGACGTGGGGATACGTTCGACACCAGCGACCACAGCGTGGGAGGGATGGTTCGAGGTGGTCCAGACGACGGACGACAGGGACTGGGCCCGGCCGGGGGGGACAGGCAGGCGCATAGAGTGGCGCAACGATGATAGAGGGCAATCAATATACGGCTAAAATGAATGGCAATGTCCCTTGGCAGTCATTGTGCATCGTCACGTTGAAAGAGATCAGCCCTCATCAGTCAAGATGACAGGGCGTCAGCTGCACGTCGGGCAACGGGCGAAGCGGTCGAGTTTCCTTTGCCACCTGTGGTGGAGATGGGGAGCGGTAGGCGGCATTCGAGGGCATGCAGCCGCGTGAGAATATGAGGAGCGGCCATGGACATTGTTTTCATGTCATTGCTACTCGGCACGGAGTACGCGTTTTGTCTTGTGCCGGGCCGCCAGGACAGGTCCGCGCGTCCTGGGTCATTGCGGGAAGGCCGCATAGGAAACGGCCGCGCCGCATGTATGGGACTAAGACACGACTAACAGAAACGACGTGACGGATGATGACACTTGCCAGCCTGCCTGCCTGCCTGCCTGCCTGCCTGCTTAGGTACGTGTACGTGACCAGCGGCCCATGGTTGTGCTTCGTACAGCTGGTGCCATTTTGCAGGCGACAAAGACACCAGAGCCAACACGCGGCGCTTCTTGTTTTGCCGCGGCAGCTGGGAGTTCGTGACGAGGGCTCCAAGGAGATGCAAGTCCTCCGTTATGCCGGCCCTTTGGGGGTGGGCAGGGGGGCGAGGGCTGCCGTTTGCCATCTCGACGGACTGGGCGATTCGCCCGCTGGTTCTCGTGTCTCGCTCGACCTCTGCCGGTAGGACTGGCAACCGGCCGCGTCGACAAATGGTGGTGGTCAAAAGGCCGCATATTGGGTCGCCATGGTGGACAGCGGCAGCGGCCAGGAGTGATAACTAGTGCGAGGCAGGCAGGCAGGCAGGCTTTGGTCATGGACTCACGGTCCGCGCCGGCTGACCGCCGACGGTATGACCTCGAGATGGAGAGGGCGCCCAAGGCATTCTTGCTGCTCTGTCGAGGTTCGTCTTGCCCTCTTGTGGTTTGTCTGTCGGTCGTATGCGACTACGATGCGATGCATGTACTCCGTACGGGCAGGCAAGATTGGTTGCCCGCGTTGGCGGCCAGACTTTTCTGATGACATGGCCCCCAGATCTCGACTGGAGCTCCCTCCGTGTCTCTGTTCCCTTTGCAGTCCCAGGCAAATTCTTGTCTGTTTCTCGGGTGAGAAAGAAAATGATTCCCCCTCGGCACCTGGAGCGCGCGAGTTGTCCGTGGTGCATCGTGGGCACATGGCTCCAAGTATCCACTGCTCTCACACCACGAAACTTCTTGGAGTCACCCCCCCTCCCAGGGGCGCCTCTGCCCCTCCCGGTTCGCAGTTGCCTTTTCGAGCCTTTCCAGGTCTCTTGACCGGCGCTGAGGGCTCTCTGCGATTGGTGAGGCCCCGGGTTCCCCGAGTCGAATGTGCGTCTTTTTAGAAAATGATGAAAATAGAGAAGCTGAGCTAGATAAGCACGGTTTTCACACTGAGCTGGAGAAGAGTACGTATGTGTGTGTCAAGGAGAAAGAGAAACAAAGAGGACGAGGAGGAAAGATGGAAGACGTATGGGGCCGCAGCTTCCAAGCGCCGAGAGGGAGAGCGAAGTGGTCTCTTGATTGGCCGTCACCCATGTCGCTGTCACCTACCCGATGGTGGCGGGGGTCTTGATTGGCTGGGGTCTAAGCGCCGGGAGCACTGCACCCATGCATGTCGCGAAAATGCCAAAAGTCAGAATGGGGGTTGAGATTTTTATTTTTATTTTTAATTTGTAATTTTTCTTCAGCTGGCCGATGAAACTTGCGGGGAGGGGCAGTGCCGATGACCCGAGGTGGGAAGAGGCATGACTCCACGAAAATTTGCGACTTGTGAGTTGTGGAAAAGGCTTATCTGGGCAAAATTGGCAGCTGGCAGCGCAATCAATGCCGTCTGCCGCCCTTCTCCTCCCCCAAATTTTGGGGACGTCCAGAGTGCTTCGACTTTGCGACGCTACTAGGTAGTGTCCCTTGGTGGCCTTGCCTTGCAGCGCAAAATGTGAATGGACAAATAAAGACGGGTGGTGGGGTGATGAGGCGGTTTTTGAAATTGCCTCCTTCTCAAATGCCGTATGCATGTGTTTATGCGATGACGGAAGGGATGTCGCTCCGTAAAGTCGGTCACTGCAAGCTGGGCTGTAAGCGCCATCTCCCGCTGCTTTGGAGATATCATCCCGTTGCATGACCTCTCATGACCAGGGTACACTCGCGTTAGGGAATGTCGCGCTTCCTGCTGTCGACGCTCTCTTTTGTGGCGGTTCGGGGCTTAGTATCTGTATGACAGCGGACGTGGAAGAGCTCGATGCAAAACGCACATCTCCATGGATCGGATGGCGCTTTGCATGCGCAATCCAACGCTTCAACAAGGCAAAACATGTGTGCTTTGCATAATGGAAGTCGCAATCGTTGCAGTCTTTGCTGGGACTGAAGAAGAGTCTCCCTCATGGGCCCCAACGCCAGACTGGTGTGTGTGTGTCACAGTCTGTCTCCTTGAACCTCCAACACATCGATTGGTGTCTGGACTCTGCATGACTCTTGTGTCATGGATTGGCACTCGAAACGAGCTTCGCCCGGTCCGTCTCACGGCATCTTGGTATCCAGAGCAGGGATCTTGATGCGATCCCGGCGAGGGAGGGGTAGATGACTTTGCCCATCTTTGAGGGTTTTGCCTGCGGGAATAATGCTGCCATGAGGAAGAATCGTCTTGGGCCTCCCGTGAAAGGACCCGGCCTGGCCGGGCTGAATGAAGATATTTCAAGCCATCATTCGAAAGCAGCTCTCCCTCAACTGGCGGGAGGTTGACCGAAATGACAACTACCCAGGTACCTAGTCCTTGAGAAGTTTCGTTACTAGCCAGCATTGAAACATGGAGTGCTGGTCCCATCCTCCAAGCACGAATGGCATGACCCCTATGAGCGGAGGGAGGCATATTCGTGGCGAACCTGTACTTTTGCGGCACATGTGTCGGGTTTACGGTCAAACTTGCTCTTGCCCAGCTTTGATCCAGCAAACTGCAAGCTTGTCAGGCAATGAGAGCGGGAGAAGAACGCCCCGTGATCCGAGGCCATGGCTCCAAGCTGTGCTTCGCGCCAGATGCATGGCCATGTGTTTGCGCTTGCCGCCGTGGTTCTGGTGCCCGCACTTTGCCTGCCTTTCTGCGTCTTGATGAGAATATTGTTTGCCTGGCAAAACAGTCGGATTCCAGGCTTTCCCTCGCGATAAACACGACGCTCGCAATGTCCCGTCGTCCGTTCTCTTCCGTGATGCAACCTCATCATGGTGTCTTCACAGTAGTCCCTCCAGGCATCCACCATGCCTGTCTCTATGCATGTCCCATCCCATCCCTGCCGTGGTCCTAGTTCCCGACTCACACGGGCCAAGCTCACATCATCATCCAGCACATGAACACTCCAACGACCGTGCCGGCAAATCTTGCAGCCATTCCCTCCTCACTTTGCCCAACTCACCAACAGGATATCGTACCGTGGCACATCATGGCTCCTCCCACACCAAGTTGAAAATTCACCTCTTCCTGGGCTTGGTTTCCTAGCGTGGTGGTGTGGCCAGGGACGCGAGGGGCCCCTGCCTCAAGTCCTGGTTTCGAACAGTATCCAACATTATAGACCACCAAGGAAAACCCCTAGAGCAGACCTCCGAAACTGGCCATCTAGATTCGAGTGGCGTTTGTAAATATGTGAGCTACCATGGAACATTCTGACACACGTTCCGCGTAAATTTTGAAACGGAGGAAATTGCTCTCTTCTCGCACAATCAGGTCGGAACGTCTGGTACAGACAGGCGCTTGGTTTCGACAAGGCCTACTTGTTCTTGGCTACCATCACGACTCTCGGCGGATTGGCCGCAGTTACCTCCACTCCCATACGGGACGGCGTCAGTGTGTCCGGCTCGACAGTAAGTCAATACAGTTGATGCCCATCCCCGGATGAAGAATATGCCAGTCGCCATCATGTAGGTGCTGTTCCAAAAGCACGAACAAGTATAGGTCGTACGAGAAATTGAATGCCACAGTCAGCTTTAATCCTCATTGCCGCCCTGCTTAATCCACTTCTCTCACCTCCTTAGCAATGGCATTACACAAAGCCACCGTAACACCGGCGCCAGTAAGGACGTGGATCCACAGCCGCTGCGTGTCGCTCAGCCGGTCGTTCGCGCTCTTGACCTCGGCAAACATGACCTCGCCTCTCGGTTCTTCCCGTGTGCTTGGGGCTTCTTCGTCCGCTGACTTGTCAGTTGCCCGCCAGAGGATGAGATCCGGCACCCCTCCCCCTCGATGCTTGTATTCCTGTGCCATGACTTTGCATATGGCCGCTAGGGCACTGCCTTTGAAGCACCGTACCAGCTCCGCCATGTCGTCCACGTCAAAGTCCCAGTTCAGACCGACCACGCTGGTCCTGCTTTCGTGTTCTCTGTCCCAGACTTGCCGGAGGAGCCGTTCGCCCTGTCCGTTGGCTATCTCGACGAGACGGTGGTTGATTTCAGATGCTCTGGCGGGGAAGAATGCATCTGTGTGCAGGTCCAGGGGGCACGTCTGGTATTCTGTCTGGAACACATTGGGTATGTAGAGAAATAGAATGTCGTAGAAGAGATACGCAAATATGGTCCGGATAGCCCCTCCCTCCGCGTGATATCCCTTCCAGCCCTGAGAACGGAAGTGGCTCAAGCACATCTCTTCCACGCTGCACTCGCCTCCAGTATCTAGCTCGTCAAGCCAAATGGTCTTTGTTGAGGCTTGTTGGGTTCCCGGCTTGGCACTTGGAGTCCTTTTCAGCTGTATCCCTTCGACGTTGACTTCGAGGGGTTCTGCTAGCCGCACGTGTCCAAAGTCATGCTGTAATCGGCGCGGGATGCGCAACTTCTTTTCAAGCTTGATAAGTCGTTTTTGGAGATCGTAATGATGGATCAGGTGGCAATCAGGGTCTTGCAGCGCCGATTCACATGTTGTAGCGGCTATTCTCTTCCACTGCTTCTTTCGCTGCCCCAGATCCCCGACTGCTCCGTCAGCATCCACACTGGGCATGTAGTGTTCCTCCAGTAATGCCTTGCGCTGATACCACGAGCCTCTTCGGGCTAGGTGAAACAACTTCTGATCCAGCAATTCCTCGAGAAGTTCATGCTCACGAGCATATTCTTTTCGTCTTCCCATCACCCACATGGCTTTTACGATAATCCTCGTGTACGAATGAGCAGGATTAAACCTCCGGAGGTATGCGCCCTCACCCATTTCGTACACCATTCTCTCCTTTTCTCCCTCGTCATTGATGTATTGCTTCCATCGGGGGTATACCATTTCAAAAATATTCATAATTCGTTGCAAGTCCTCTTCGCTGGGAATTCCACTAGACTCAAGGATGTTATCCACGTCTGCCTCAAGGCGAATACCTGCTTCAAATTCCAACAGATGTAGACGTGAGGCAAATATGGTGGAGGTTCTGCAGACAATGTACTCTGGGAATTTTCGTCTCGCAATCTTGGCCAGTATTATTGTCGTCAATGATTTCTCCGTCCACTCGGTAGATCGGTAAAACACCAAGTGTACCCGTTCAAAAAGCTTGTAGGTAAGCGGTGACAAGCGAATACACGGCCCTAAAATGGCCAACATCTTATTCAAATAATGCTCGTTTCGATTCGAGTTTTGTCTTTTGAGGCGTCCAGACTTGGAGGGCCCGGCAAATTCTGGGTCAGAGACGGAAGCATCAGAGTCGCGACTGTTTTGCCGGCTCAATCCCAGTGTCATGAGCCCAACTTGTTGTTGGCTCATTCGACAGAGTCCTTTCACGAGCTCTGCCTTGTTCTTTCCCGCAATCTTGGCATCCTTGGCCAACGCTTTGAGTTCATCCAAAAGCAAAAGCGAGGCTGCTTCTTCGACGGTGTCGATGTAGTCTTCCGAGGCGTCAGCAAATGTGAATGTTGCCCCCAAGTTGAAGCTCTCGAGATCAAACCCCGGGACCAGCTCCTCGGTATCTTGACTGTCTTTTGGCGGCAATTTCTGGACGGCTTTCAAAGCCTCAATGGCCTCTTCCAGCTCTGAAATATCGGAATGATATCCGAGACGGCTAGACCGGTGCCACGCAGCGGTTTTTCTGAGAAACAGGCGAACATATCTCCCGATGAGTTAGACTCCACATCAGGTTATGCACAGCAGAACAAGACTTACAAATACTGTGCTTCATATGTCAGATCTTTCCACTTTCTGAAAACTTCCTTTTCCTTCTCGTCAAACAATTCCGATTCCTCTTCCAGCACAGTGTCAAGGGCTAAATTAAAGGCATCCACGTATATCGAGCTGCGTCCTTGAACCCATAGAGGTTTGGTCTCTGCGGTAGCCCCATCATCATCAGCCTGTGTTGTGGAAGACCTCATCCGTTCATACGTCTCAATTGCGTCGGCATCTATTTGCGTTGGTGGGAGGACGTTCTCAAACGCCGTGGCTTCTGGGGAAGATGTAGTGTCCGCATTTTCTGTCTTGTACGAAGTCCGGCTGGACTTCTTTTGCGCCCAATTTCCGCGATCGGACTCTTCAGAGTCCAAAAAGTCTGCATTTCCTACTTCGTCTCGCTTTACCCGCTTTGCCGCCCGTCCGCTGGTGCTGGTGCTGTCATATTGAGACGCAGACCGGCTGCTTTCGCCGCTTGTATCAGACCTGGGCAACAGGTTTGCATACGCATCCATCAGTACCAGCTTGATGCGTGACGCAGCGGCGTTTGCTACCAAAGCTCAACCGTCGGGTTGCTTGAATGTGAACGCTGTCAAAGCGGGAGACGCGTAACCGCAAACACGAGGTCAGCTGACCGCGTTGACCGGCAGAGCTCTTGATTGAACCACTTCAGTCAGCCACTAATCGTGCCCGCCCCACTTTATGTGGTTCGGCTAGCAAAAGCCCTCACCACCAAAGGTGGTGCTCGACAGCAAGGCGGGCCGGACACCAAGGCGGGCCAATTTTCAACCTAATAACGCTATTAACCTCTTCGCCTATAATGTACACCCTTCTCGTCCCAAATTTCTAGTAGATCTAGTACAGAATCCAGACGCCATTTACGTGCCTTTTTAGCTGCTTCAAAAAACGTCCTCTTGGCGTGGTTGTGGCGCCTTTTGTCGGCATGCTCTTTATGCTTGCTGTTCGCCTGATGAACTCGAGAAAGGTCTTTGCAAAGGCGTGATTGGAAGGAGAAACGGCGAATGGTTGACGCGACAGGTATGCATTTGTTGGCGGTGACGGGAGGGGAGCCATATGAAGAGGTGCATTATCTGTTGACTGTTTTTCTAGACCGGGAAATAAAAATAGGACATGTATAGAAAACCAGATATTACAGCCCTTTTTAAAAAAAAAATCAAAAAAATCAAAGGTCGTCACTCATTCATTGGAAGCTTCAACGAAAAAAAAAACCCCGGATGTAATTACGCAGCTCATTAAAGATCCACCTGATCAATCGCCGGCCACCATTGAGACCAGGCCCCCTGCTCGTCGAGGTTATTGCTGACTTCCGCGAAAAGCTGGTTCAACAAGGTATTAGTGTCGAGCTCGTGCTCGTGCTCGTGCTCGTGCTCGTGCCCTTGAACCGGCCAAGTCGCCTGCGCCGAGGGCCGCTCCGCGCCCCGAATCTCCCGAGTATGCGCGTCGGATCTATCCACGACACGGAACTCGTGGACAGACTGGTGTAGAGTATCAAAGTCTGCTCGTGTGCGCCCCTGGTATCGTGTCCGGTCCTCGGTTGCTCGCTCGTAGAGCACGGATGCATGGTGTATCGTTTTGATCTTGCGCGTGCCGCCCTCTCAATGTTAGCGCAACGGTGGCCACGGTCGTGTCATGCTTGCGGGCGGCTTACCCATCCGTCGGCGATTTTCCAGACAAGTCGAAACTTTTCCAGGTAGTCGAGACACATTTTGAGACAGTCGCTTGCTCGCGGGCTGCGGCCCAGGTTCATTCGGGGGTATTTCGCCACGTAGAGGTTGAGGTAGCCGGCTGAGAATGCGCAGAACCCGGCAAAGGGCGTCATGAGATGCACGCCACACTCGGAGGCCTCGTGTAGAATGGCGGCGATGTGCTCTGCCGCGCCGAAGAGGAGTCGGGAGCTGTCGTCCCACCAGCCCTCGGGGGCGGGCGCCCCCAGCATGGGCTGGTCGACTGGACCCCGTGGCTCCGACTCCGGGGTCGGCAGGAAGGGGAAGTACTCGCGGTGAAGCATGAGGGTGCTGACAAGGCGTAAGCAGGGGCGGCGGCGGCAAGTTGGGAGCCCCGTCGACCGCTACCGCTGTGGGAAGGGGATTCTTACCTCACGTAGTACAGGCAAGCTGCGCGATCGCGTTCTTACCATCCCACCTTGCAGCAGCTCAAATTTCGCCAGGACAAGTCAACTGGTTTGTCTGGAAAATCATTGACAGCATGGCAGACGAAATCCCCGGGTCAGAAGCGACGCCAGCCATTTCTCGCGCATCCCCTATCGTCGAGAAGGCTCCAAACAGCAACACAACGGTCGCCGCCACGCCGGGGCCGCAGCCGCCTTCTGAAACATCTCAAAAAGATGTCGTCATGTCCGATGCTCCAACTGATCAGGCGCCAGTTCGTTCAACGTTTGATAAGCTGACTCAGCCGGAATATCGGATACCGCTAACACTTGTGGCATATAGTCGCCAGCTCCCGCCAACCTAGCTCCAAGTCCAGCTCCCGTTCGAACAGGCACTCCAGCTCTGGGTTCACGGGCACCATCGGTACATCCCGACCACGGCTTTACCATGCCTTCAGAAGCAGTTGCACATGGCGATTCCACAAGGAGATACCTAAACACGAAAGTAACCGGTGCACTACTCGAGGGTATGAAGCAATTGGCCAAGAACCAGTAAGTAGCTTAATGAGGAAAAAGAGGAAAAAGGAGAAAGGAAAAATATATATGCCCATTTACTTTGACTGACACAACTAGGCCAACGGACCCCCTACGATTCCTCGGCGAATATCTTATTCGGAAATCCAAGGAATCGGAAGGCAACAGCTGAGCGGTGTGGAGTTGGAAATTAGGTCACATTCGGAGAAAAACCAAGCATAAGTAGGCGTTTAGGGAGCAGTCGTCGTTTGGGTCACGTAAAACGACATCACGATTTCCAATTGATGATTCGAAATTGGGCAGTCAAATTGCTTCCATTGTAGGCTAATTCGACCTTTCGTCACGGTCGTCCGGACCAAGGACGAAGCATCACGGCTTCTAAATGCAGGGTTGTTCCGTAAATTTTCCTCCCCAACTCCAGGATCAAGGGAATCCGCCGTTCATGCGCTGCAACTACATCATCCTATTTTCCCGCTCTATGCGACAATGGTGGAGGCAGTAGCAGACTCGTACTTCCAGGTAGGAGGCAGAACGCCGACGGTCTTGTAGTAGCGAGCCAGACGGTGGATTCTGGACTCGATGAGAATGAGACGGAACTTGGAGTCCTTGTCCTTGCGGTTGCGCTCAAGATGCTTGCGTACAGCAACAGCCTGAAGGGTATCATGTTAGCACATTATGGCATGTCCGTGGATTCGAAGAAACCACAATAACCATCTTCTTGGCGTACCTTCTTGATCAACATGTACAGGTCCTCAGGAAGCTCGGGGGCAAGGCCTGTTAAAAATTCACTCTGTCAGTCTTCACCGTACAGAGGCAAAAACGAGTGCGTGCTGTATTTTCTCTTTGCACGTGTATTTTCCTTCACCACACCCTTATACAACGTCTTCGGGACACCGTACCGTTCGACTTGAGGATTCGCAGGATTCGGTTACCTAGCAATACCCGAGTTAGTAAAGAAAGACGTTTCTCTGCTCGCTTTTCAAGACGTACCGGTGACGATCTTGACTTGGGCAACACCGTGGGAGTCGCGAAGTATGACACCAATCTGCGAAGGGGTAGCACCCTTTCTGGCAAGCTTGCAGATCTGCTCAACGACCTGCTCGGGTGTGGTCTTCAACCACGCAGGTGCGGCGCGAGAGTAGGGGATTGCGGAGGCAGAGATGCCCTTTCCCTTGCTGTGAAGTCTACCCATCTTGCCTGTTGTGCGGTTGTGCTGGTTGACGATGCAGAGTCCTGTAGGTGAGGTCGCAAGTCTCCCAGTGTTGTGTGGAGCTGCAAATTTTCGCTTAGTTAGGGCAGAGTGTGTGGGCGGTTGCGACAGCCACGGAGCAGCAGGGGTCATCACATGCGTAATCACGTGGGAGTTAGTTTTGAGATTGCGAACCACCTTTTTTTTTTCTTCGTGCTCTCGTCCCGCAGTACAAGACCAAACTGAGTTATCAACCATCTTTCCTAGTTCCTAACTGTAAGTCAACACATTTCTGTTTGCCTGCACATATCTCAACGCCTATCTACATGATGATAAGAACACAATTGTTTCATTATTTCTGGTACCTCTTATGTTAGAGTCTTCGGACTCGATGAATGAACTGGACTTCTGATCTTTCGCCAACGCTACACTCTGTTTTGTTTCTTGAAATTCCAAGTCAGACCAACAGCGACTAACATGGAAGAAGATGCTACAGGACCTATTCGCCGCTACTAGTCTTGAAACATCATGTCGAGTTATTTGTAGACGTGTTGCTATTTGTAACACCAATTAACACTCCCACGACGCCAGTTTCGCCCAGATCTGTTACAGCTTGATTTTTTTTTGCGAAAAATATTACGATAATCAGCGTCGCCCTATCGATTTGCCGTTTTACATGTAAATGAATGCAAAGACATGTTTTGAAAGACTTCCATTTCCCCCAATTAGCCAACAAAATTGCGCGTGTGCCCTCCGTTGCTCGATACACCAGGAGCGATGAGTAGCCTTTAGCTTTACCAGGCACCCACGTCGAAATTTTCCTATCCGATGTATTAGCTACACAAACAAGTGTAATGAGGCGGGGGTGCCTTACTTCAGGGAAATATGTGGTTACGACAGTTCGGTCGGCAAACTTTCTGCCTGCCAGTGCTGTCAATGCCTTGTGGCAGGATTCTGGAGTGTCAAACTTGACAAAAATCTTGCCGACTCCAGCAGACTGTCTGCTTCCACCCACCGGGCGGGGAATCTTTAGTTCCAAAATGTTTCCAAACTTGGAGCATTCTTCGCGAACATCCTCGCAGATCTCTAGTCATTTTGTCAGTATAGCCAATATAATACCATTGGCAGGTGGCAACGAACCGTCGTATTCTTCAGCATCCATAAGCTCTTCAGGAGTCACCATGTTTAGGAGCTGAAGCACACGTCCCCTCTGCGCATCCATAGAGGTTTGAGAGGCCAGGCCGCTGATGGCTGTGATGCCAACATCGAAATTGGCAACCTGGGTGGAACCAATGCTAGCCTTTACCACTTTCAACGTCTTTCCTCCCACGTCCATGCCATTCAAGGCATTCAGTGCTGGCTCGTTGGCCGAGCCTGGCTCTAGATATTCTGCGAAAGCAATGCCCTGTCACTAGTCAGTATTCAGTGTTGATGACTGTGTTTCTAAAGGAGAGAAACAATTACCCTTGATTCTTCAGTACTGCGATCCTTTACGAGAACAAAGGCCTTGGGCCTTCCGAATGCCGCGAGAAGTTCAATAATTTGGTCCTCGGTAAGGAACGTCGGAATGTTCGTGATAGACAGCTTGTGCACCGTGTCGGGAACGACGTTTGATACGACATTTGGATCATAAGCCATTTCCTCGGGGATAGCTGGCATAACGTAGTCCTTCGGACGTCGAATTGATAGTCCTTGTTGTTCACCATCAGCTCCATTCATAGAATCGTCTGCCTCCATAGTGATGCCGTCCAAGGCAAGAGCCACCGTAGCATCACCAGCATTCCTGAATTCCAAGACTGCAAAAGCTCGGTCGGCCGAGAATTGGCAGAGATTGCATGGGTCTGAGCTCTCAATGACATTCAGACCATTTAGCTGGAGGTTGAAGAAGGATATGAGGCTCTCCTCGGTAGTGTCTTGGGAAAAGTTGGAAACAATCAGACGCTTTGCTTGACGAGAATTGCTTGCTTTCAGGCCAGCACTCGAGACACCACCGTTTGGCTCTTTCATAAAGGCCTGGAGCTTGGTAGGGTCTATCGGCTGCTGGCGTGGGGCTCCGGGCAATGGGAACATGCCTGACAGCTTTGCCTGTTCAGCCGTGACAAGCTCGTACCCCGGCGGTTTGATATCCCACTGAGTCATTCTCCTCTTCCTCTCCAGGACCGGGATAACGTCTGTCAAGTCTGGAGTGGGTTCTCGCGGTTTTGCAGGAGACGGGCTCCTGCGACTCTCTTGTCGTGCAAAACCGCCGTCATCTCGTTCTCGTCGGTCTCCGCCTCGACCGCCACGACGACGATCATCAAAGCCATCTCGGTCTCTCCTGTTGGGCCTGTCATCTTCATCGCGCCGGGCATCTCTGCGCGAGGAACCTCGATCTCGATCCCATTCGCGCTCTGCCCTTCGATCGCGTCCGGAATATCGGTCCTCCCGTTCTCTGTCGCGGTGGTTGCGGCTGGAGGAATACGCGTCTACATCACCTCCATCCCCACGACGATGCCCGCCACGGTGGTCTGGTGATCTTGATCGTCTGCGATCGCGGTGACGGTCCCGATCCCGGTCTCTCTCGCGGTCGCGGTCACGATCCCGGTCTCTGTGGCGGTCACGACGGTCATCACGATCTCCCCTAGAAGTCTGTGCAGTGGTTAGACAGAGCCACCGCAGCGGATTGGGCAACAACTTACAGCATAGTCCCGACCGCTTCGGCCCTCTACTTGGACATGGTACGAGGTCAGCAATGCTTCCAGGCGTGAATATTGATCAAAGGAGTTCGGAGGGGGACGCACCGCCACGGGACGAAAAATTGTCACCGTTCATGATATGCGACACGAGGTCCCAAACTCGGGCGATCAACAGGCCGCTCGAATTTGATGATTCTTGTGTTTAGGTAGTCGCCAGCGTCGAAAATCTAATTCTGGCTTGGTGTTCCAGTTTCTACTTGACGATTTGGGCGAGGCTGGAGCTTTTTCGCGGCGCTGCGGCTAGCCCGTTTTGGATTAGCTCCGCTACGGAGTACTCTGGTGTCGAGCAGCGCGGTTGATCCACTGTCGAGCGCCAGGAGTGCCTGGTAAAGGGTACACACGTACGGAGTGGTCTTTAGGGTAGGCCCATTCTTGACGGGGCAACTGAAGGGCAGTTTGAAATACTTCAGTCTTTCTGATCCTCGCCCTCCTCGCTCACTAGGCAGCGAGGTGGTTGCGATTTCTAATTCTCGGCAGTGATGTCTCTAAAACGGCTATCAGAGTGGCGGAAGCTGCCAATAAGTCCCTCTGAGCTCTGCATCGACACCACACTGAGATGTGGCCAGTCATTCAGATGGCGCAAAATGGGTGACGAGTGGTAAGCACCACATTGATCACCATCAACAAGATGGCCGCTTACTGGTGACCCAGGACATGCACTCTCCAAGGCCGGATCCTGTCCCTGAAGCAGGACCCCTCGTATCTCCATTACCGGGTTACCTGGCCAGAACACCAGGGTGCTCGCCCGCCGCCGCCGCCGGCCTGCAAAGTCATCGATGAACACAAACCGGATGACACAGAGGAGCTGCTTAGACGATACTTCAGTTTGAACCTCGATCTGGGCGCGCTATACGACCAGTGGTCAAACTCGGACCCTAATTTCCAGAAGAAAGCGCCAGAATTCAAGGGGGTGCGAATCCTCAGCCAGGACGTCTGGGAGGCCCTGATATGCTTCATATGCAGCAGCAACAACAACATCAGTCGAATTTCTCAAATGGTATTGCGCACCGACCTGAAGCGAGTGCTGTTGCGTTTCCTAACCCCGACAGGCTCATAAACTATGCACCCATTACGGGCCCCTCATCGGCTACGTTGATGGAGAACCGATGCACGACTTTCCTGGTCCCGAATCTCTTACCGGCAAAAGAGTCGAAGCCCACCTGCGAGAGCTAGGGTTTGGGTATCGTGCCAAATATATCGCGGATACAGCTCGCGCGATTGCCCTCGAGAAACCAACATCGTGGCTGGAATCGCTGCGCAACCCTCGACACTCTGGGCCCCGACTCTCATCCAGCGCGGGCGGTGGCAACCCAACATACAGGGAAGCCCACGAGGCACTGCTGTCGTTAACTGGCGTCGGGCCGAAAGTCGCTGACTGCGTATGTCTCATGGGCCTGGGTTGGGGTGAATCTGTTCCAGTGGACACACACGTGTGGCAGATTGCCCAAAGAGATTACAAATTTGGCAAGTCAAAAGCAAAGACGTTTAACAAGGCGACGTATGATGCCGTCGGAGACCATTTTCGGAGAATCTGGGGCGACTACGCAGGATGGGCACATTCGGTATTGTTTGCGGCTGATCTTCGAGAGTTTTCAAGTCGTAAAGGAAAGACTCAAGTGGTGGAAGTTCTCGAACCGGTCCTGGTGAAATCCGAGACACGGGAAGAAGAAGGCGTATCAAACAGACCTAGAAAGAGGCGATCGGTTGTCGATGCGAAACTGAGAAACGGCACGGTGCTTGGAGATGCAACAGAGTCCAAAGTCGTCGAGACGATCCCGTCGCAAAAGCGCAGGAAGACCAAGACGAGGTGAAGCTCCAAGGAGTCTGGAGGAAATCTGTACTTCTAGATGAGATTGGACAGAGCGACTGGTATACATCGCAAATGACAAGTAGATTCCGCCAATCATTCTGAATGGTCATGTACATTAATTACAGATAGATCAAGTATACTCCATTGTTTTTGACAGACAGCATGAGAGGACAAATATTGTCCTCATGCATGGCATCATGCGTGAAGGGGGTGGGGAGCAGGCGTCGGTCGGATAAACCTCGGTCATCGCTTGCGGTAGTAAGCTCCGAGAGTTTTCGTTGCCCTCAGCCTAGGAAAAAATGTCTCCTTCACATCCGACATCCGACACCCAAAAACCCAACCCCCATCGAGGCTGCCTATCCATGTGCGGCGGCAGCTCTGGAATTTCGTCTTGCGATCTGGAACCGGGATGAGGTGAAAAAAAAAAAACAATAACAATCGCTGAGCCAAGATGTCCGACGCAGATTTGGACACGATCGCGAAGCTCCAGCGCGAGCGAAACGCTGCGAAGAAAGGCTCGCGTGCGCCTGATGCGTCGTCTCAACGCAATGACGACAGGAGGCAGAAGCTCACGGACAGCGCCGACAATGAGCTATATGACCGAGAAGGAGGCGATAAATTTGCAGGATACCACACGTCTCTCCCCATGGGAGATGAGGACGATGAGATGGATGGCGACAATACCCGGCGGCTTGTGGGCCAGTATACTGCATCGCGAGAGATGATTGATGAGTTTGCCAGGGGCAATGGAGTTGAAGAGGATGATGTTCTTGCGGGAAAGGGTGAAAAGAGCGGCCGCATCACCGACCGCGAGACCGATTACCAGAAACGTCGCTTTAATCGAGTCTTGACGCCCACCAGAGCCGATCCTTTCGCGGAGAATCGACAGGCCGGAGCTGCAGAGAATGGGGCCACCTACAGAGAAATCATGGAAGCCCGCGAACTCGACAAAGAAGAGGAACGCGTTCGAAAGGCCATTCAGGACAAAGTCAATGGCGAAGGCGGCGAAGGCGAGGCTCAGCCGACGCTGCGGGACGTGGACAAGGAGAACGCAGAGGCCGGGTCGACCGAGGCCGTCGCGGCAGGACGAAAGCGTAAGAAGAGATGGGATGTCGCTTCCACACCGGCCGAGGTACAGCTTCAGGACAAGGCAGAGGAAGCGAAGCCAAAGCGCTCAAGATGGGACCAGGCGCCATCCGTCGGCCCCGGAGAGGCTACCAAAAAGCGCTCTCGATGGGACCAAGCTCCTTCAGCGACACCTCTGGGTAACCAAGGGCTCGCTACCCCAATGCATCCAACCCAAGCGCCGGGTGCCTTACCGCCAGCCTTCGGAACCGATATCTCAGCCCGCAATCTCACCCTTAGCGACGAAGAGCTAGATATGCTACTGCCTGGCGAAAACGAAGGATACAAGATCTTGGAACCACCTCCTGGGTACGAACCCGTGCGTGCCCCAGCACACAAGCTGATGGCAACGCCGGCTTCAGCGGCAGGCTTCATGATGCAGGATCCGGATCAAGTAAGACTGGGGGGCAGGCCGATGCCGGCTGAGCTCTCTAATGTAGGTGATTTGCAGTTCCTCAAGCCAGAGGACATGGCATACTTTGGCAAGCTCAACGACGGAGCAGACGAGAACGTCATGTCCGTGGATGAGCTAAAGGAACGCAAAATCATGCGGCTCCTGCTCAAAATCAAGAACGGAACCCCGCCCATGCGGAAGACGGCCCTTCGGCAAATCACAGACAATGCAAGGAACTTTGGGGCTGGGCCACTGTTTGCTCAGATTCTGCCCCTACTCATGGAGAAGTCCTTGGAGGACCAGGAACGCCACCTACTGGTCAAGGTCATTGATCGAATTCTGTACAAACTAGACGACTTGGTGCGACCCTATGTCCACAGGATCCTCGTCGTTATCGAGCCGTTGCTCATTGACCAAGACTACTATGCCCGGGTCGAAGGCCGTGAAATCATTTCAAACGTGGCAAAAGCTGCTGGTTTGGCGACCATGATCAGCGTGATGCGACCAGACATCGACCATCCCGATGAGTATGTACGCAACACGACCGCGAGAGCCTTCGCGGTGGTGGCATCGGCGCTCACCATCCCGGCGCTGCTGCCCTTTCTGCGGGCCGTCTGCCGGAGCAAGAAATCATGGCACGCCAGACATACCGGTGTGAAGATTGTTCAGCAGATTGCCATCCTGATGGGCTGTGCTGTCCTGCCCCATCTCAAGGGCCTTGTCGAGTGCATTGCTCCCAACTTGAACGATGAGCAGACAAAGGTGAGGACCGTGACCAGCCTGGCAATTGCAGCTTTGGCAGAGGCATCCAACCCCTACGGCATTGAGAGTTTCGACGACATCTTGAACCCCCTGTGGACTGGTGCGCGTAAACAGCGCGGCAAGGGGCTCGCTGGCTTTCTAAAGGCCGTCGGATACATCATCCCCCTCATGGATGAGGAGTACGCCAACTACTACACGAGCCAAATCATGGAGATTCTGCTGCGGGAATTCTCTTCCCCGGATGAGGAGATGAAGAAGGTTGTGCTCAAGGTTGTCTCGCAGTGCGCGGGCACGGAAGGTGTCACGGCGGGCTATCTCAAGGAGCACGTGCTCGACGAGTTTTTCAAGAGTTTCTGGGTGAGGAGGATGGCTCTCGACAAGCGCAACTACAAGCAGGTTGTGGAGACGACGTTTGACATTGGACAAAAGGTTGGTGTCAGCGAAATCCTGGAGAGAATCGTCGGCAACCTCAAAGACGAGAGTGAGGCGTACCGCAAAATGACGGTGGAAACGACGGAGAAGCTGGTGGCGAGTCTTGGAGCTGCAGACATCGGCGAGCGCTTGGAGGAGAGACTGGTGGACGGCATCCTGCACGCGTTCCAGGAACAGAGCGTCGAGGACGTTGTTATGCTCAACGGGTTCGGCTCTGTGGTCAACGCGCTGGGCACGCGGTGCAAGCCGTATCTGCCCCAGATTGTCGGCACCATTCGCTGGAGGCTGAATAACAAGTCGGCAACTGTGCGGCAGCAGGCGGCCGATCTCATCTCGCGAATCGCCATGGTGATGCAGCAGTGCGGCGAGGACGCCCTCATGGGCGAGCTTGGCATCATCCTGTACGAGTACCTCGGTGAAGAGTACCCCGAAGTTCTTGGGTCCATACTGGGCGCTCTGCGATCCATTGTGACTGTCGTGGGCATCAGCCAGATGCAGCCTCCCATCAAGGACCTGCTGCCTCGGCTGACGCCCATTCTCCGCAACCGCCACGAAAAGGTGCAGGAAAACACCATCGATCTCGTGGGACGTATTGCGGATCGAGGGCCCGAGAGCGTCAACGCGCGTGAGTGGATGCGCATCTGTTTCGAGCTGCTGGACATGCTCAAGGCACACAAGAAGGGCATCCGACGAGCCGCCAACAACACGTTTGGGTTCATCGCCAAAGCCATTGGTCCGCAGGACGTCCTGGCCACGCTCCTGAACAACCTCCGCGTGCAGGAGCGCCAGTCTCGAGTCAACACGGCCGTCGCCATTGGCATCGTCGCAGAGACCTGTGCGCCCTTCACCGTCCTCCCGGCGCTCATGAACGAGTACCGCTTCCCCGAGCTCAATGTGCAAAACGGCGTGCTCAAATCCCTCTCCTTCCTGTTCGAGTACATTGGCGAAATGGCCAAGGACTACGTCTACGCCGTAACGCCGCTCCTCGAAGACGCGCTCATTGATCGGGACCAAGTCCACCGGCAGACAGCCGCATCTGTCGTCAAACACATCGCCCTCGGCGTCATTGGGCTCGGCTGCGAAGACGCCATGGTTCACCTGCTCAACCTTCTCTTCCCGAACCTGTTCGAGACCAGCCCCCACGTCATTGACCGCATCGTCGAAGCCGTCGAGGCCATCAGGATGGCCGTCGGGCCCGGCGTCGTGCTCAACTACGTATGGGCAGGCCTCTTCCACCCGGCCCGCAAAGTCCGCACGCCATACTGGCGCCTCTACAATGATGCTTATGTCCAGTGTGCCGATGCCATGGTCCCGTATTATCCGAGCCTGGATGAGGAGAAGATGGACAGGCCTGAACTGGCGATTGTCCTGTGAGAGAAGAAGAGGAGGGGGAATGATATCCTTGGTTGTCGTGCTTTCCACGTCGGCGAGTTGGGCTGAACTGAACGATTTGAGAAACGAAACATGGTTGGGGTGTGTAATAGGTTTTCAGTTCTTGTCAGTGGTAATTGCGCGAGGGGCACTTTTGTAATGTAGTTGCTGCACATGAGGCGTTTTCTTCTTCTGCACCGTGACAAGTCTATCATTGTTCGCGTCACATCCCGTGTCCATCGGTGACGTGACGTGCCGTAAGTTGCAACGCAGGCAGGTAGTGCCGACGGCTGTGCTTGGAGCAAGGGCACGTCGAGCGCTCACAAGAGCCAGAGTATCTTGGGCGCCGCTCTTGCTGGCCTACGTCGGACTCCGACTCGGGCGGCATGCGTCCCTGAGGGCTGAGGCCCTTCGTTTGTCCGGCAGCAGCGCCCACGATCCACGCATCAGCCTACTCCTACACCTAATCCTCCGGCAAGCATGGACCGACCGAGACGCTGGATACTGCCCTTCTTCCAAGCCGTGGTTTGGTATCCTGTTGCTGCTGCTGTCCGTCGAACCGCCGACCCTTTGGCCAGCGTGAGGCCGCAAACCCGCGTCTGCGGGAAATGACTGCTTGGTCAGGGGACAGGCAGGGTCATCGGGTGCCTGCGAGCCGCGTCTCTTCTCGGGTGCCAGATGGGAAGTGTCGAGCGGAAAGCCCACGGCACGTTGACTTGCAGGCATCAGGCATGCAACTCGCTCGCCTGACCGAGGTCGTCGTCGTCCACGACTGCTCCCCCAGCATGCATAGCTGCTCGGCCGACTTCGTCCGTCCGTCCGTCCGTCCGTCCATCGTGCCCGAGACAATGATTGAGAGCTGCGTAGTCTCCTCCACGGGCTATCCCACGCCGCCTCGACAGTCACAACCCGTGCGTGGGCTTTCCCTCCGGCAAACGCCATCTATTCGCTCTCAAGAGCATGTCTTGGCTTGCCACGTATCGCGTCACTGGCTCAATCACACAAGGCACCGGATGGCCTTTGCCACGAGTCACGACCTGGATGGACAACAAAGCCAAGCAAGCCGCAAGCGCCACGTCCGCCGATGGGATGGGGTTTTTTTTCGCCTCTTCGCACGTACATTGTACGCTTTCACTCTGGCTTGTCATAAAACGAGTCTCATAGTAGTAGTAGTAGTAGTAGTAGTAGTAGTAGTAGTAGTACTGACTCCTCGTGGGCACGCTTTCAGTATCCTCTCATCCACACTTTGTCTCACCGTGACCAGGCAAGTCAATCAATGGCACGGTGGGTACGTTGCGGTTGTTGTTGTGGTTTGGTTTTTTTTTTCTTTTTTTCTCTCGTCTTCTTTCTGAGCCATGTCTCACACGCCCCTCCTCCCCTGATTCGTTCACATGCCGCCATCATGGGTTTTGTTGTAAAGCCAAGAAAAAAAAATACTCGTAACCTGCACGCTGATGAAGGCACTCTCAGCCGGTCTCCTCCGCAGTGAACTGCTCATCGCTGGGAAGATGTGCCTGTGCGTTTTGGAGAACCAAGGACAAGGCGAGGCCGTTCGTTGCTGGCTCGTGACAAGGAACAAGAGGCCAAAAGCCTCAGCCCACACCGCCACACGGAACAGACAAGAGATAACTGCTACTCCGTACTCCGTACCCAAGTGGGAAGCTTAGGCTTGGCGGCCACTGTGGCAGCTACCCCGTAATCCAGGCCAGATGTGTGTCGGTAAGCCTGAAGGGCTGGATCGGAGAATTTGAAATTCCTGTTGTTGGTTCGGCGGACGATACTGTAGAGGGTGCCTGGAACCTACGCCGGATTGGTAAGAAGTGACCGAGCCCGGTGGCTTATTCTGTTTGCTGCGGAGTTGGATAAATCAAAGGGCGGAAAGTGACTAGTAGGCAAAATCAAGAAGGAAGATTGTGATATAAAACAGACGTGTTGAATATCTTCGATGGGCGAGTGACGCTGGCGCGCCTCTCTGCTCGATAAAAGCCGAGCAGGCTCTCATACCCGATGACTGGAAGGAAGCACTGGCTGGATGTTTGATGATCCAGCGGCGAGACTACAATGTAGATGGAGAGTGGACAGTCCTCGCAGCGGGAGAGCTGACAGATGGCGTGAGAATTCGCCGTAATGACCAGACCAGTTTTTGGGACCGGTTGCCCCGGCGATTACGAGCGTTGGATTGCTCTTTGTTTGGACATGGTGGTATCGCAGGGCGACGCCTACATATCGTTCGCAGTCGAGATGGTTTGCGAGACATTTGACCGAACGCATGGTCTCATTCGTTCGTGGGGTGTGAGGCGTTTCCGACGTCTCTCGCAACAGGGGCTTCGTACATTAATATACGACAATGAAATGAAGTACTGCCCATTTTGGCCATTCCACGAGTTCGTCTCAAAAACGTGCCAGTCTGCTGAAAGCAAGCCATTGCAGTCGAAGCGGACTGACTTGACCGCCCTGGCAGCTGGAATGTGCGCCAGGGAAAAGGTTTCTGATGAATCAAATGCAGCTCTGGGTGTTGTCTGACTGTGGACCAATCCAGCGGAGAAGCACTACCGAAAGCTACTCCGTAGAGCAATGATCATTACGTGGTCAGCACTTGAATCAAGAAGCAGCGCGTTGAGATCCGATCATGTGTCTGCTCAACGTGGTGCGCCTGTCAATAACACCAAGCTCGACTGGTGCGAGAGACAGGGCTTGGAGACGGGCGTCTCGGAAGCAGGTACTGCGGGATGTCATCGGCCAATTCCATACTTGGGAATCCTAAGCTATTGCGAATGGTTCATGATAGCCCAGGCGGCAGCCCTCCATATGGATCGGATAACTCCATTGCGAGTGACGTCTGGACTGAGTGGCTCTTGGCCGGCGCGGCTCAAATGCCGAGGTGCTCGGCAGACACGGCTTACCACGCAATATTCTCTTTGTCACATCAAGTGAGAAGTCGACAAAATAAAGCTGCTTGTGGACCAACAACAAAAGTACATGTTTTCCCGCGAGAGGCGCGACGCCGCCGCCATGTCTCGGCGATTCTACGGCAGGGTTAATTATGAGCAGCTGTCTTCCGTGGGCACATGGTGCCGGGTCCTGGCGGTATTCAAGGAAGCGAGGATGCGTTGTCTTTGTTCTTGTTTGGTTATGTGTGTACGGTGTATGTGTATGTAACTATATACATATACCATATACGTGAACTCGGCGGTTGTCGTATTGCACGAGGCCGCTGGCCGAGTGCCGTGTACTTGATATCTCGACATATTGCAACATTGTACGGAGTACTTCGTACTCGGACGGACATCTGGAAGCGCTGTTGATTGGTAACGTTGGATTTCTGAGACATGACGTGTCCACCCAGCAAGAAGAAGCAACAAGACCTGGCTTTTTAACCCAGCGCCCCGTGCCCCCATTTTGGCACCGTCGAGATGCGATACTCTTGCAATTACTGGATCCATGAAATGGCAACAAGAGTACGGACGAATTGCCGTCGGTCGGTCGGTCGGTTTGGTCGGTCGCGTCGCGTCGTGTCCTTGACCGTCCACGGACGACTGAAGCTACCCCCTGTGTCTGGTTCTGACACCCAGCCAGCCGTCATTGAAAGCTGTATGTCGATGGAAATACGCGGTTGACCGCGATGCTGTGGTTTTCTTCACACGTGTGGAATTTCCCTTGCACTTCATTGCCCGAAATAGACGGCGGGGAAGATCCGATCGAGGGCGCACCTGTCACGGGGGATCTATCACAGCCAAGCTTTGATCGCCAGTGCCCGAAGAAACTTCCAAATGCAAGCGATGGCGAAGATCCTGCTGATCCCAAGAGACACGTGCCTTGAATGTGGCCGGGTTGATGGTCACTTCCAGAAATGCGCGATATTGGGCCGAACATACGGAGCATCGTCTGCGAGCCGCACACATGTGAACTGAAAAGGCGAACGAGGCAGCAGCCGTAGCAGCAGTGGCAGCAGTATAGGGCAGGGCGATAGCTGCTCCTCTGTGGCCTCTTGTCGACATTGCGTCCGGTACGGCGACCTCTAGATCCTCAGATACAGTGCCAAGCCGATGGTGGCTTATCCGGGGACAAATCGTGTGCAGCCCATCCCGCCGCGCTGGCCAGACATTGTAGAAGGCGCGAGTCGGTTGGCAAGGCCGTGCCCGTGCCGTCAGCTAATAAGGTTGGTGATACGTGGACGCTCACGACACCAAGCCTCAGTCCCGCAGATTGCCTGGGCAGGGTGTCTTGTGTCCGCCCCCTCTGTCTGCATCAGCTTCTCGACCCATGCTGGATGGCTTCTTCTCGTCGTAATTTCAACGCGCATGCACCGAGCCCATACGTGCCAGTTTGTGACGACACGCCCGAGCTGGCTGACTGAACAAACCCAGCTTGGCAAAAGCCACGCGAGAATCGAAAGAGACAAGGGAAACAAAAGAAATGAAGACCCAAGGATTGGGAGCGAAGCCTGATTGGTGCCGCCGTTTCCACCTGCGACAAGGTTATTTCACAACAGCTCAACTGCCGTGAGTTGCCACCTTGTTGACTGACACCAGCCCCCCACATGGGTACGGAGCAAACGTGATGAAAACATGGCCGACGTGAGATGGTATTATCACGGATGTCATTTTCGTTGGACAGCATGTGCGCACGGCATTTAACGGGCCAAGCACCAGTCGGAACCAAACAAGCAAAGCCTTGTCTAAGTAGTCATGGTCTCCGAACGCACAGGCAAGTGCTGTGCGTGTAGACCCCGTACTCCAGGCTGAGGTTGGTTGTACGTGGTCGTTGCGGACGTGGAGTCGTCGCTGGCCGGGGCTCTTCTTCGTTTCGGCCGACTTCCAAGGCCGACTTCTGGCCGGATCAGTGCAGCAGAGAACAGAGCGTTGGCGATACCACAGTCTACTACTTTGGAGAAAGCGACCGTGCTGGCCGTAGTGTCATCTGTTGTCGTCCCTTGAGAAATGGTCGTGGTGGAGTTGCATCTTTGTTACACGGCCGAAAAGAGCCAAAGATCTAACGAGACCTGACCAGCAGCAATATCGGGTTCTCGAGTCTCGAGTCTCTCGACATTGTTTGTCCGCGTCCACCGACAGCGGCCGGGGCAGAGCGAATGATTGAATGCCGCATTTGTGTACCGTAGGCTCAGGAAGGCGTGACCGGTTCGCCCTTTCCAACCCAAGATGATAATGCAGCATTGAGTCTGCCGGGACCGCGGTTTCGACTGAATCACAGCTGCCTGCCCTTGGTGTCGCCTTCCTAGCAGGCCAGGTCAAGGCACGGCCCAGGTAGGGAAGCCCGCAACGCTGTGCCACTGCCGGCTTCGACGCCAGTCGGGATGTGTATTTAGCGCGCCAAGGAGTGTGCTCATCGACGCCATGTAGCGAAGTGGATCCTCGAACCCCGGAGTAGCGCGTTTCAGAGACCCCAACCAAGACTAGATGCCCAGCCACGATGCCAACTATAGCTTAGCCTGCTGGCTCGATTGAGATAGATTGAGATAGATTGAGATGGGTACGCGTGTGGCAAGTCGCCCGTCTCTCAGTCTAATCAATCAACGTTCCGTGAGGCTTGCAGAGAAACGGCCCAGCCGGGTAGACCGTACGGAGTGTATCCGGCTTGATTCATGCGTTGTACGGAGTAGGAGCGAACCGTATTTCTTATCATCCTTTTCCGTCAATGTCGACTGTAGAGGGCCCACCGGGACAGGGGAGGTTGGTGGCCTGCAAGTTGCGGGCCTGCAACCTGGGCAGGCACTTACCATGACACGCATATACGGACTGCAGAGAAAACTTACGTAGACATTTTATTGGCATGTTGGCATGTTTGTCATTATACCCACTACGTAGTTGGAAGATGTCAGTAGTGCCAATGCCGACGGACATGATGCTCCTACGCACCGGGAAACGAGCTGCAGAGAACGTAGCTTCGCCGGGCTGAGGTTGAAGCTAAATCTCTCTGGAGCGAGGCCTTGGCTGCGGCGTTGTTTGGTGTACCAAACAAAAGCTCTCATGGGTGGGTGGGTGCCGTGCGCGAGCAAGCTGCTGCTGCTGTTGTGTTGCGGTGTTTCGGCCCCGAATCAGATACCGCTTTCAAGGATGGGATTTGAAGGAGGATTTGCCCTGGTGGGCAAAATTCGACTAGGCGAGGTTCTGGCTAAAGCCGGCGGGAAAAGCTGGAGAAGGGCTGGCCAAATGAAGTGGCATTACGGAGCACAATGGAGGATGGATGGGGGCGGAGGCTCCCAACGTCAACTTGCACTGTGGCTCCGTGGGGTCTGGCTTTACGGAGCAGTTGCCCTGTGAAATAAACTTGCTTGTAACCTTGGATACTGGAGCACCTTAGGTTCTTGAGCCAGGGCCAGCGGCGCAAGGCTGCATGGGCAGCGCTCGGTCGTCTGGTCCCAGCCGACCGCAATCAATGCCAGTCCGTTACGGAGCTGGCTGCGCCCGACTGCCCAGTGCCCAGTGCCCAGTGCCCAGTGCCCACACCACGGCCAAGGCGGCACTTGCATGCTAGACCAGCGACCAGCGCCGTTGACCGGCGGCAGACAGAAGGCCGGGGCGACCAGTGCGCAGCGGTTGGCGGGCTGCGGAGCTAGCGTGCTGGGGCTCATCGAGGTCGGCGAGCATTGAATTGAACCCAGTTGACGTTTGAATAGACGTGTTTCGCACGTCACGTCAAATACGCATGCCTCTAGTCACCACAATACTCCGTACGCCGGTGGTTCGTATGTGTCTGTGTGGTGGGTGTTGTGATTGGAGAAGACGGCTTCGGCTCTTTTTCGCGGCAGTTGCTCTTCTCAAGCTGGCCACCGTCAGCTTCTTCGCCTTGACGCGACCATCAGAGACGGAGACCATCAAAACCCAGGCTTTTCGTTCCCACCGATGAAATTGAACGCCGGCGCCTTGCTCTGCACCCGCGGGTTCCCAGTGACGCCATGTGTTTGTCGTGCTCCGTACCGAGTACGTGCTGCCTCCCGCTCGAACCCCCTCCTCCTTCGAGCTGCCTGGGAGATATTAGTTCCACATCGGAGCATCACAACCGCCAGTACTGTTGCGAGTTCCCTGTTTGAGTTTGAGTTTAAGGTCTTGCGGACCAACCAGCAGCATGTGCACCCCCGGGATCGCATTCGTCGCAAATTCTCGCCGCATCGGATCCGGCAGACTGGCGCAGCTGGTGCGTGAATGAGGTGAATGACGGTTCAACACCGTCGTCGGATTGGAGAAGCCGTCTGCATTTCCCTTCCGCTACTGTTGCCGCAAGTCTTCCAATCCAAGATATTCGTCTCGGCCCACGAGTGGGTGGACTCGCTTTTTGCGGCCGAATTGTGCTACACCAGGGGACAGAACGTGCACCTACGTCACTCGAAGAAGCCTTGTGGCACCATGGAAATTGGCGCCATTCCCGTCATGTCAGGCCTGCCACCAAGTTTGTGAGCCATGAACACGACTTGCCCGACCTGAATGGTAGCGAGACTCGGGTGGTGCAGCCCGGCATGCTAATAACTTACAAGGAGCACCCAACAACACCAACACCGTCTTTCTACCTGGCTCGCCAGTACCGGCTCCTTGGTTTTCTTGTCTCTGGTCACATGGCAAGGCAATGCTTAGGCCGGCGTCTATTCAGCTGCGGAGTGAAGTCCGTAGCACCTCGTCGGCAACCTCGTCCCCTGCCAGTCAGCAATGCCGCGCCACGCCAGCCAGCCCACGCCAGCCCTCGCCAGCTAGCAAATTAACAATGCCTACCAGTCCACAGCGGGCTTCCTTTTCCTCATCCCCGATGCCCGGGCATCCCCTGTCCTTTGCCCCGTTGCAACGCCCTACTTTACTAGGACACGCTCTGGAAAGAAGACATTTTTGCAGCTCCAACGTCCGCCACTTTGACTCGTCGCACGCTTATGGGCATAAGTCGCATGAGAGCGCCGTGGTATCGACTCGGTGACTATTTGCATCACTGTCCGGAGCGCCCCGCATGACGTGCTGGTCGATGCTTATTGGATGTGGGCATGTAGAAAAGCACAACGATAACCAGTACTGTTCGACAAAATCTGTGTTGCCAGGCCTTTAGCAACGGAAAAGGGGCAGAGTACGAGCAAAAAGAAACCACCATGACCAAGGGTCCAAGACCATCCTAGAAGTCCAACTTGGGGACAACTTGGCTTGGACTTGGCTTGGTTGCTAGGTCTAGTTTGCCGCACCTGGCGCACCGGTGTGAAGCAAGGACGTATGGGGCTCTCCCACTGCCAGCCTGGTCTTGGGTAATGAACACGGCTGTTGCGTTGCACTTGGCCGTCTTGGTTCCGTGTGGCTTATGGGCGGTGTTTGGATACGTTGGCTTCCCTATCTAGTTTCCTTCACAAAGACGTTGTTCGAAAATGGCGGCGGGAGGGTGCTCTATAGTCGTTCCAAAGCCGGGCGTTCAGGCCAGCGAAGCCAAGGCGCTCGTCGTTCCCGTCCGCCTATTGTTTGTGTTGACCAGATGCCACATGAACTTTTGAGACTGTCTTTCTCCTGCTCATTTGCGGTGCGGTGTAGGCACGGGGTATTGGTATTGCAGCATGCGAATGTTGCCCGGAATGCCGCGGACCTTGCTTGTAAGTAATTGGCAACGTGAAGATGAGATGATGGTGCGCATGGAACGTCGTCGTTTCGCGTTTCACGGGGCAGCCAGCCAGCATCTTCCTCTGCGTGCTGGTGCTGCAGACACGCATTGACAAAGGACAGCAGGAACGGCAAGTGCGGTGGTGGCAGGCGGGAAGGCTGGAAGGCGGGACGGGGGCGCTCAAGTGCTGGAAGGCACGGCAGAATATACATACACTCATTCATAGAGGCTAGCCCGCCCGGCTAGCTGCAACGCATGCGCACACAAGCACACCACACGCACACGCACACGCACTCACATTCTCTGCCGGGTTTGACAAGGTGCCACAGTCCCCACTTTCTTGGTCCCGCCAGTGCTCGTTTTGCCCGTCTCCGTCATGCCGCAACGCCTCCACGCCTCCACGCCTCCACGCCGCCACCCCCGTCGACCCCATCCACGCCCGAGCTCATGATGAGTGATTGCAATCAATCGATTGCTGAAACGGCCCTGTTCAAGATACTACCTACTACTACTCTTTACTCCGTAGAACTGGGCTGCCTGGCCTGGATGGTTGCTTGGGTGCTTGGGTGGGTGTGCCCGCGATGTCCCCGACGATAATTCCCAGACCCTGCATGATCCCGCTGAGCAGCAGCAGCAGCAGCGGCGGCATCAACAGAATCGCCAGCATCACCAGCAGCAGCAGCAGCAGCACCACCACCACCACCACCGCATGTACCCACTCACACTTCCATCTTTCTCGAGCTCAGGCGCTTCCTTTCGAGATGCACTTGTTGTCTCTGTGCAGGATGGCGTATGGCAAGGTGCGCTGCCTCTCATCATGCGCTACTTCTTGCAGCCTCCCTCCCTCGACTGCGGGCATGCGCCAACACACATGTGTCTCCCGAGTCCCAGCATCGAGGCAGGCCCACTGAAAGTCGGCAGTCTTGCGGATGGACCTCGTTACTGCTCCTGCTCCGTATCACGGAGTACCGAGCCTTTGGATTAGTTAGCACTTATTCCGGAGTAACGGACGTACTGACCGTTCGGCTCACGGGCCTCTGGAGTTCGTCGCCAGGGCCATTCGCGCACCTGTTCCATGTTTGGAGGGACCACTTGGCGTTCACTCCCTCCACATCGGCTGCGATGGCGTCTCGTGCTCCATTCTCCAGTCTCCGTTTTTCAAGCCTTCCCATGCTGGGTCGTCTATGGGGGTGCCCCTGGGCAGGCTGGTTCTTTGGCTGGCAAGTTGGTACTTGGGGCAACGCCCCGGTAGAAAAGTGCCGTGGACTTGCCCGTGGGCTAATCTTGAAGAGAAACATGGCCATTTACCACCCGACATGGCTCACTCGGTTGTCTCTGGCAGTCATTTGCCCACGCACAAGGAAGACGCAAAAGCTACAGGCCACAGGCCACAGGCCACAGGCCACAGGCCACTGGCCACAGTCCAGCCCGTTGGCCTCATTTGCACCCGGACTACTTCCGTGCCAGCATGTACGTACTCCGTACTCCGTAGGGTCAATCCAAAGGGTTGCCCACTCCGTGTACCCCGTGCTCCGTACTGTGCTGTGATATGTACAGTAGCCTGTAGGCGCACTCCGTATGTGCCCCGTGCTCGCCCCGTGCTCCGTACGAGACCAGGCACGCACGATACGAGTCCAGATGTCTGTGCTCCGTACCTAACTTAAGTGCCCTGTGTAAGTAAGTTACGCTGCTCCGTAGCAGGCTCCAGCTCCCAGCTCCAGCTCCAGCTCCGGCTCCGACGACGTCCCCCTTCGATTGGCACCAACAACTCTGCAAACTTGACCCGTCCTACACGTCGGTATCCACCCAAATCGACCCCTCCCCGCCAACTGCAGACCGTCTTGATCTCGCGGCTGCATCATCTCACTGCCAGGTTCAACTTTCGAGTTCCCTTGTTTGGTATTCTCTGCTGCGTTTCATTGGCACAATGCCAGCATGTCCAAGCCCAAGCCCAAGCCCAAGCCCAAGCCCAAGCCCAAGCCCAAGCCTTGCGTTGGCTTCCCCGACGCATGGCCGTCAAGTCGTCAACATCATTTTGCTTGACAGAAGCCAACGGCGCCGTTTACTTGCCATCTTGAGCGTTGTCTGCTGCCATTTGCGTCAGCGACCCATCTGGTAGAGGCTAGCTGCGGTTGTTTGTTGTTGACCGAGCGTTCTGTATCCATCGGTGCCAGAAGAGCTTGCAGGTCTGTGCCATCCGTAGGTACGTACTTGGTCGGGACGGTGCAGCATCTTCTTGTTTTTCCCAAGTCTAGTGTAGGTTTTTTTTTTTTTTTTTTAAAATCATAGACAGACACACATGCATCTTCACCCCAAACAAGGACGGACAAAGTTCATACACGCACATTTCGACTACCTACTCCTTACTCAAGAGTCGTCCGTCCGCATCCATGCCATCAAAGTATCGTCAGCCTCCAGCATGGCAGAGCTCGTCGCCCCGGTTGACAGCACGGCACGGATCTTGGCACCACGCACGCACACTTCGCTGATCTTTTCACCGTCGGTCCACGATTGGGCGACCACACAACACAGCCAAGCCAGCATGCACAGTGCCCTTGGGGCATCCCTGGCTCGGTGGGGCTGAGTCCCAGACCTCTTTCTTCGAACCCATCCATCGTCATCCAGCCGAGCGTCCGGCAAAACCCCCCCTTCACACTGTTTCCCCCCCTGGAACCCACGCTTAGCCTGGCCCCAGCGTCCGAAAGCACGCCCCCCCCCCCTCCCCGCCGGTCGGTTCTTGTTGCTGCTACCCTACCTCATCGTCCTAACCCTGTCGCCTCGGCCATTTGGAAAGGGACATGGTGCTGCTGATCACTTAGACCAGAGTCGTCGTACACCCTGCTTCTGCTAAGCACACGAGCAACTCTACTGGTCTGGTGCTCCCGCTGTACAGTTGCTTTGGGGCCTGAAGTGACTGACGCACGTCAACTCGAGAGCCGTGGGCACTTAAGACTTCGCTGATCCCACCTTGGCTTCCGTCAAACACGTTCAATCTCCAGGTCGGATCTTCTTGTCTCTGATCTGTGTTACCGGCTGGCTCTTTTTTTTCTAGTCAGCATCCTGTATTTGACCAGACCTTCTTTCCATCTACGCTTGCCGTGTGTTACTCGCAAGTCCTTGGATTGAGCGTTGGTCCTGCACCCCGTCCTATACGCAAGGCCTCACAGTTCCTGAGAGCTGCTGTAGCCCTTTTTTTTTTCCTCTCTCGCAGTTACAACACCAAGTGCGACATCATAGCACTATTGCTCATCCTTTTATCCTTGGTATCAACATGACCATGACCCTAGACGCCTCTCAACAGCAGCGCTTTGCGCCTCCGTTGAACTTCGACTACCCTCACCATGCGCCACCAACATTTTCGAACCCGTGGTCCTCGACGTCTCCTTCGCAGTCAGCAGCTGCCCCTGGGAATCCGTTGTTTGTTGGCAGTCCGCAACCTGGATTGCATGCCAATATCATGGCCGGCAAGGGACCTGCAGGCAGAGCCAGCACCAGCAGTGCTTCGTCAATGGCGTCGTATGCATCATTACCCGTTGCCACCACTGGGGCAGGTATGGCCATCACTTGCGTCTTTATACACGCCAACGCATCTATCCTATGGCGTCTCTAACACAACTGTCTAGACCTGTTGACCATGAACCGTATGCAGACTACATCTGCTACCTACGGTGATACCACCTATGCGACCTCCGCCTCTCCTGTTAACGGCCACTTCGTGCCCGGGTCCACTGCTCCCTATGACGCTATCGGCTATGCGCCGGCTCCTATTCGACAGTCTCACTTCAACATGGCTCACGAGACCGACTCTTCCAGACGAGGGTTTGCCCAGCCGTCAGTGTTCGACCCAGACCCGCCATGAATCTCGGACTACTTGACCTTGTACGTCGTATACTAATCTTGCTGTTCAGGATGCCGTCTCAAGCCGATGAGCGAAGGAGCTTTGCTGATGCTCTCGACGCAAGCCATGGCATGCTTGCCATGAGCCAGGAGACTCCCCGGAATATATACGGTGCCCGAAACGACCGTTCTTCAGTGGACTCTTACGGGTTTCCTTCTACACACTCTACCAGCTCCTCAATTTCCTCCAGTGGCAACTTCAGCTCCTACTACGGCGATTCTGTATCAGATTACTCCTCAGCTGCTGGTTCCGATATTGAATCCGTCAACTCGCGAACGCTGCCCCGGCCTCAAGGCCTCATGGGCTCACAAATCCCTCCAGCTCCTCAATCCATGATGGGTCAATTCAGCTCAAAGGTTTCTTCAAGCACACAAAAGAAGCACAAGTGCAAGGTTTGCGACAAGAGATTCACCCGACCAAGCTCACTCCAGACGCACATGTACAGTCATACCGGCGAGAAGCGTACGTTCTACCCCCCCTTTCTTGGTCTCTCGTACAACTCGAGGCGTTAGTCTGCCGGGGTGCTAAATCTTTGGTAATCAGCTTTTGCCTGCGAGGTCGAAGGGTGTGGGCGTCACTTTTCTGTCGTTTCCAACCTCCGCCGACATCGGAAAGTCCACCGAGGCGATGCACGCTCAGAAGCTGGATCTGAAGATCACCAGTCGGACTAACATTTGACTACTTTGCACTTTGAGTGTCGGTTTTATCTGTCAGCACCACGACGAACCAGGGCATAGAAGCTCTGTAAGGCTTGGCTTGCGACGATAATCGAACCTAACGAACGTTCTCCCGTCATGTTTCACATCAACCGGAGATGAAAGAACAACCTACGATGATGAGCAAATAGAGCAGGCGGCCAGAATTAAATGGTTCTCTTGGTCTCCCAATCCAGGACACGACTTGGACGGGGATGCGACCGTGTAAATGGTGGACGAGGTTGCTTCAACCTTCTTGATTTCAAGCGGGGGGATTCGGTGCATCTGCGTCCGTTCCGGGACTGGTTGTCTCTTGCTGGGAAGAGGCGGTCAGCCAAGTCCTTTCGCTGTACATGATATATTTCCCATCTCCCCCCCCCAAGACGTTGAGACATTGGGTACTTGAAGGGTCACGAGAGCAGTCGAACCCGGGTTGACTGGCTTTTTACGATTGAGACCACCTGTCAGGAGTTTTTGGGTCTTGGGATGTATTCTTTCTTCTTCTTTATTGGCTCCCCAGGCTGCTCGGTTGAGCTGGTCTGCTGCTGGGGAAGGCATCTGATCTGACTTGTTGCGTTTTACGGCTCATTTGGCAGCGTTCATGTTATGCACAACACAATTTTTTTTTTTTCGAATATGACGGGTGGGTCAAAGACGAGTCCCGCTCTCAAGAACGATGAAGAAAATACGGAACGAATGGCGACGAAAGTCTTGGAAAGAAAGGGGGTGAATGGCCACCAAGAAAGACTTGGGGTGTGCTTCTCTTGTTGGCCAGACTGGACACTGGTCAGGCGACCCATTGTATGAATAGTTTCTACCTGAACAGTGATATATACCCAACACGCAAATATACACGAAGTTGAGAGAAATTTCAAACAACATTGAGCAGTCAACCGAGCTGCCACGGCTGGCACACGGTCAGGATCGGATGCCGTGCCCGTTGTTCCCTGGACCCAAGTGCCATCCGAATGGGCAACGAACGTCCCCAGCTCCCGCGTCGACGTCTGTACGGAGTCGTCTGCCACCCATCCACACTGCCGCGCCGACGGGGCTCCGTCTCATGGCCAAGGATTGAATGAATGAATGAACAGCAAGCAGCAGCAGCCACCACCACCAGGGGCAGAACAGAAGGGTAGCGTCACAACCCAGGCAACCAGGTCACACATAACACACAAGTCAACACTGGAGCTGCAATGCAAGCGTGACGAAACCGCCTGTTTCTATCGATTCCTCCTTGCGACGCCGGTGCATTGCGTCGCCTTCTCCACACCTTTCAAACGGATGTTACTCAATGTAAAAGTCCGGTCGGGTCTTTTTTTTTTTTTTTTTTTTTTTTTTTTTTTGCAAGTGACCTTTTCTCAAATTTGCCTGCCGGTGTTACCGCCGAGCTCGTCTTCTTCCTTCCGGTCCACTTCTCCTCGTTGATTACGTGTGAGGCGCTGAGGCGTCTGATACGGCAACAGGAACCCAAGCTCTTGCGTGGCATAATTATGGTGAATAAATGATAGAACGGCTCTTGGCATGCATCACCGCACCATGATACCAACTGTCTGGCGCCAGGGATTCATCATAGTTAAACAGGCATTGGGGTGACTTTTCCCACCGTCCCTTGACACGTCTAGCCCCAAAGTGAGTTAACGCGACGAGTCGGTCCAAAGCCAAGCGAAGCGACTCGGAAGGGGTGTGGGTGTGGCAAGTGACCGTCCGCTCAAGCGCCTCTTCCGCTTATTACCTAGGGGGCTTGCTGCATCCCCTTTTTTGGCGATGAGGTGGCGGCCGCGTGGCTCACCCGGCGTTAGCAGAGAGACGATGGAGAAACCGACGATTGCGGGAGGGCCAAGGAAGAAGGCAGAAGAGATGGGATGAGACGGGGTGGGCAAAAGGAACATGACATGGCAATGGCACCCAGACTGCCGGCGCGGCGGCTAAGCTTTCTTTCCTTTCTGGGCCAAAAGATTTGACGACAGGGCTAACCGTCGGTGGATCGACGTCAAACCTCGGGACGTGCGAGGGGACATTCATTCCTCGACTTGCGTCGCGAGCGAGTTGGATTCGAAGGAGAGGGTTAGTAGTTGTGCTGTTGGCGGCGCGGGGGATGCAGCGCGGAGAGAAACGTCCGCAGCCCTTCGTCCTTTGCTGTCAACGGCATCATGGGCAATGGGCAATTATCCAGATACAAAACAAGGACGAGTACGGCCGTGTCTTGAAATTCTGCAATGCACGCACCAAGCTGCAGTTACCTAGTACGTAAACGTTGAGCAGTGCGCTTGGGGAGGCCAGAAGGCCTTTGAAAGACTGGTTGGTAGATCACATACTCTGGCGGGAATAGCCTGGCGTTTCAAAGACGACCATCAACACCCCGACATGGCGGTGTTCCTGTCGGGACTGGACAGGCTGTGTGGGGTCGGGGTGCAAGGTGACGGGGGGCGCAGGAAAAACAAGGGAAATGGGTGAGTGGTGATGAGATTGATGATGATGATTCAAGGTTGAAGGAAGAGGAAGAGGAAGCTCTCGAGTTCTCGAGGGCAGTCGTCAAAGTGTGAAGTGTGTGTGTGTGGGACAAGCAAGATCGCATGGGTGGAGCCCGTGTGGCTGCCCGTGAGCCGCACTGTGATCATGGGTAGCCGCGACAGGGGGGTGCGTTTCCCTGGCATATCCGTACAGTGAGGCTGCCAATGCGCGACACGGTGCTCCTCCGTGCCTCGTGCTGCGTCCTCCGTCTGTCCTCCACACCGCGACCGAGTTGCGTTTACTTTACTTTGCGGCCCAAGAGACATGGCTGGATCTGCTCAAACCTCGCGGCAACGCACCGCACCGCACGATGCAACGCCTGCATGGAGGCCGAGATGGGCGCATGGCTTAAGATGCCACCGTCGTCAAGTACGGAGAAGCCAGAGTGCTCATCTCCGCACAATAGGGAGGGACTCGAAAGACCAGATTGGGCCCCTTTCCAGATGCCATCCATCCATGGACCATGGGCGTCGTAGATGGACACCACATGTCCCCAGCACGTGCTTCTTCATCTTCGCCCGTCCTCCGTCGTTGGCCGTCTCGACGTGCCATGTTCACGTCGGGGGTAGCTTCCCTGTTCAGGGCCAACCCCCGTCCCTCGTCTGAGTTTTCGCTGGCGGCCGACCCAGGCCAGCAAGGCGGGCAGCAAAGTAACCCGCTCAGCCATTCGTATGGATTGGCCCTCGTCAGTCTGCGGGTTATTTCGCCACCCGCGCGGCCAGGCATGTCGGAGGTCCGTGCCTGTTTAGCTCCGGAGCTACCGCCGTGATATCCAGGGATTGCCGACGACATGCCGCACAGCCTACCAGCCATGCTGCAGGAAGTATGTAAGTGGCCCTTGGGCGTTCGCCATTCGGAGGCTCTGACAGGGAACGAACCAACTTGCAACCTCGAATTAGTACGACGACTCCAGTACGTGTAATTTCTCTCCACCCTGACGAATGGAGAGTCACGGGTTCTCCAGGGTCAAGCTTTGGCTAACTTGGTACGAGCACTCTGCGGAGAGAAAGGGGGCAAGGAAGACGAGGATCTCCCGAAGGTGGCAGGTCCCCCAGAGACCACGAGACCCAGCGTTATGGTACGGAACATAATAGTTTAAGCCGCTATCCAAATGTGGCCCCTTTCCTGACTATCAACGGTGTATTTGGCAGGCGTGATGTTCGGTGCCGCGGCCGATCACTCAATTAGATTCAAACGTCTAAGCGCGTCCATGTGGTTCTTGGTAGGGACGTGGCAGTTTGAAAAGCTTGGCTTGGCCCAGGTGCCTTGCCGCCCGGCCAAAACTCCCCAGCAGCCACGCGTTATTCCACCATCGCACGACAAGACGGGCAGGAGGAGTCGAAGCCAAGCTTTCCCCCGCGCCCGCGCCCTTTGGAACTGCACAATGTGCTCCCGTCGAGGCACTATGGATCGTCTCAGCTCGGCAACGCTGGGGACTATGTATCACCAAGTTTAACCCCGCGGCTCCACTCGTAAAACCGCTTCATCTTCTCTCGACGCGGGTGACCTCATTAGACATCGATAAAATAAAGGTATGCCCGATTATTCACTCATCTGCAATGGGTTGCGCCGTATTACGCATTTGATGGCAGAGAAAAAGCAAGAACGGGACGGGCATTCGCAATCGTGTAACGGAGCGACTGGATGGCTTTCGGTGGTAACTATCAAGTAAAATGCATCTTGGTTTGTGCCTAAAAAGGGCTGTGTGCTTTCGGGGAGAATGGGGCCGACCACGTCAAAGAGGGTGTGTGTGCGAGAACGACATTGTGCGAGTCTGATAACACCCATAGAACATGTGAAAATTCGGGTCCTGGCGCGCAAGGATCATCACCGTGGTGCTTCGGCTGGATGAATTGCTGAGAACGAAATGTACTGAACGTGATACCAGGCCACGCACATCCCGCCCGGTAGGTATGACGTAGTGGCGCTGTGGCAAAGAAAAAAGAAGATGCCGAATCAGTACGGGCATTGCGGGTTTGTCTTTGTTTTCTTGTGTCGAAATTCCAAGTGGTCGTTGAATTTGTCGACGACTTTGACGTCAGCGGCGGCAGCTTCAGGTCCTCAGCGGCGCCCTTCCTCCCACCCCCGCTTCTCGGTATCCATACCGCGTCATTTCCCGGCATGCCGGTTGGTCCCAGGCGATAAGCCAGGCGGCCCATATCATTTTCCAGGGGGGTGAAGGGGGAGGCGTGCGCGTGGAGACCGAGGACGGGTGGGTGGATAACGAGATGGAGGGTGTGGTGATAGAGACGCTTGATTGTTCCCGCTTGCTTGTGTGTGGCAAGCGATACGGCACAGAGACGCGTAGAGAGTTACGTAGGGTATGCCATGTCTATGCGTAACCTTATTGCCCAAGTACGTGGGATGGTAACCGGGTCCACGGCAGTGATGGCAGAGCCATTTGCCTACACCACCGTCGACCCGTCGTCGTTTTTACCACTAGCATGGCTACTGGTCGCCTGTTGAGACCTGGGATATCGCCTGATACATCACGACAAGGAAGGGTTTCGAGCTGTTCCCGTGTACATGAGTGTCTCCGGAAGCTCCTTCTCGATTCTAGGCTTTGGCGCCGCGCACGTCGGGGAATTATTGTGCAATGGATTGCCCCAGGCGATAGTTTTGCACCTCAGCCCTGTTGATCAACCAAGTTGCATACAGTTAGCGGGGGGATGGTGATGTTTATGCAGAGTACCCAGACGGCAAGGACCAAGGCAGTTTCAGGATCTCGTTGCCACATGTACTGGAAGTTGAAGATTTCCAAACACAGCACGAGCCTGGCTATACATGGTTTGGACGACGCCATTGCCAGGCCCTGGCGATGTCGATTGCCGACATGGCTTCGGATAGCTGAAACTAGACTGGTTTCATCAGGAGACGTCGAATTTGAACGGCACTCCGGTAAAATTTATGCGCACCAAGTTCGAGGTAGCAAAACTCACGGAGCATATTATTGACGTCGAAATGGTGAGCGAGGGGCTCGTGGCGGAAGGACTTGATGACCATTATCAGGGAGTCCGCTTTCCCCGCCTCTATTAGCATGTAGATGTGAAATGGATCAACTAGACTTGTTCAACTTCACTGAGAGATCGAGCGTCAATGTCTTGTTGGTCCGCGCAATGTCCGCACCAACTTCTTCGTTACAAACCGCGAGCCACTTTTCCCAAGAACTGCTTGCAATGGATCACGGCAGAGCAGAAAGATTCGATCCACCGGAACAGGCATCAGTGCATCGAAACGAGCTGGTTAGGAGGTGCGTCGAAGGATGAAGAAGCCATTTAGGTTTCATGAGGCGAAGCCTGCCTCGATGCCGACGGCAACAACACGTGACCCCGACTGACTGGCTGAGCCCTCGACACCCGATTCCCTCATGGCCATCGTCGTCGTCGCTCTTCAGTCGTGTTCCATCAGACGTTTTCGCCGTCTGGTGCTCACAGAAAACGTCAACGACACAGCCGCACCATGTCCCATCCCCATCGGTCTCAAACCCAGGACTGCCCCGCGTTGCATTCTTGAAAGTTCCTCCATTCCCAGCTGCCAAGTCCTCTTTGTCAACGACAGCCGGATGGATAACAAGACAAGGAAGGTGCTGAGGGAGAAAAAAAAGAATCTCTCATACAAGAGGAAAAGCAAGCGGTAAAGTCCGCCTCTCGCCCCCCACACGCCGCGGAACCCTGCCTGGATGGTAATAACGCAAGGCCTCGAAAGCTATACTACCGCCCAGAAACCAGCTTCCAATACAGGCAGGCAGGGTCTTGATATGATGGTGGGCGTCGGCATTTGACGCACCGCCGAACAAGTGCCCGAGACGCCAACTCCCAAACTCTGCTTATCTGGGCCTGCCGACAGATACTACTCTCTCGCAACTTGACCCCCTGGGTACGAAGTCCCCGGGTAGGCATTCTCCCTTCCAGCTTCTGATAGTTGCAAAGCACGACACAGTTTGGGGAGGGACGAGGGGACCCTTGAAAATATCCAGGGCTACCCATGGAGGAGACGGCCCCCGTGCGCCGTAGTATTTGAGAAAAACCCGGCAGTCCAAAATTCAAAGCTAGATCCCTGTGACGGGAGAAGGGATGAAAAAAACAGAGAGAGAGAGAGAGGAACCGGTTCATCTCCACCGATGGGATCGTATTAACCCACAAACAACATCTACCTTCCCCATCGGGCGCCGTTTCAGGTCGTGTTTTACGCTCGTCGCAACGTTCATGCCGAATGGATGGAAGGCTGGGGGAGACGCCAAATTCATGTCGCAAAGGGCGCGCCGTCGCCCTCGTTTTGTACCCCTTTTACGGAGGGCCGAAGAGCTCCAGATGTCCTGTGTGCGATTTGACGGGCGTGATTGCCTGGAGGATCGGTCCTGAAAAAAAAAAAAAAAAAAGGGGGGGGGGGGAATGGCAAAATGTCAGGGTCAAGGGCACCACCGTATCACGATTCTTGGCGAAAGAGTATATATATAGCGCCGCGCCCCTTAAATAGCATCAAGGGGCCGTTCCGAAAACAAAGAAGCTGATCTCTTGGCGGCCAAACTAGTCACCGCGATGCGTGCCCTGGTAATTACTTAGTCAAGTTGTATATCCCTGTTCGCAGGCCAGGCCCGGTCCCAGTCGTCCGAGACGACGCCAATGCAACGTCTCGATTGTCGATGACAGTCAGTGAATATGTAGGGCAGCCTGTATTTTGATGCTGCCTCCTAACAGCCCCCTGTGGTCATCTCCGCGGCTCGAGGACGTACGAGAATGTGGATTCCACCCTGTTCTTCTGTGAGGTTCGATGCAAAATCCAGCTGGCCATCTGCTTAAACGTACACGTAGATGGTGGAACGACAAATCATGTCCTGCATTGCCGGTCTGACGGGCGATTAGATGCGTCGACCTGTTTTGTGTGCCTTATTTTTACACTCCACCGCCGTCACATATGTTTGAAGAGTGCTTTGTTCGTAGTTCCGCATTCAGATTAATTTGCCATGAATCTACACGAGGAATCAACCACTCTCCTTTGCTACCGTCAGAGCCAGCATGGCAGAATTCCTTCCACTGCTAGAGTGCCTTGATCATTCTGCACTCATCTCATCACCACCCATCCCTTTCCCCCCACGGCACAGGGGGACGACAGGTAAATACAATAAGTTGGCAGTCTTTGGGACGGAGACCGCGCTGAAAGTAGTGTACATTTTGCAACGGTAGATAAGAAAACAAAGAGCTGGAGAAAGGGGAAAATAAAGAAGGCCAGGTACTAGGGTTGAATATGGAAGTTTGAAGAAGCAGAAACAAAAAAAAAAAGAGACATATCATGGAGACAGAAAAACACCCTACCACACGAACATTATTCGCTTTGTGGTCGGTGAGAGAGATAAAAATGGTAACACATTAGCCAGTAGTCGTAACCTCGTGAAAATGACGGGCAAATGCAGACAGTGTATGGAAGAGACAAGCAGCTGGTTGGCCGCCTCGGATATGCACAATGGAAAATATTTGCTGTGTAAGGATTAACTTCCTCCTCCATTTCATTCAAGTGAGGATTGAGATGGGCATCCCTTTCGGCGCTTGACCATCCTCAGTCATGATGAAAAGGGAAAACCAGAATTAGATCGACTTCACACGCCAGATCAACGCCGGGCGAAAAAACAGAGCAGGCTGTAGAAATGTAATCTGCAACGAAACCAACGAGGTCGACTTTCTAGACGTGAGGCGCCGCTCCGGGCCGATTTCTGCCCAGTGATTCTAGCAGTTGATGAGGTGGTATTCTTTGGATGCCGCTGCCCTTGTCATACATTGACGTCGGGGCCGGCATATATCCCTCTCGCTTCTTCCTAAGCCGGTCCAAAACAATGCCAGCCACAACCATAAGAAGGATGAGCCCGAGAGAAATGGCAAGCCCAATCAGGACAACAAAGCCTAACGGCATGCTGCCGCCTCCCGTTGAGAAAAAATCATCGTTTTGAGTAAAGATTCTGGCAATGGTTCCAGGTGCGTTACCAGAGTTTGTTGTCAGTGCGTAGGGCAGGTAGTGGGTGCCGTTGAAAATTGCCGCCGATGCGATGCCGACGTTGGGGATCACGATCGACCCGGTCATCATAAGTGCCTGGTTTTCCCCCAACAGTTGCGTGCCGGCGTGGTTCTTGGTGAGCGAGAAAACCTGGAGGCTTCGAAGAATCGTCCTTGCGGGGAGGCTCTCATTAGCAGACAGCCACTGATTACCGTCGTATTTCATGAGAAAGACCGATCCGTCCTTGATTGACTTGCCCGCAACCCACACCTGTTTTCCGTCGCTTGATCCAGCCGTCATGACCTGAACTGGCCCAGGTATATTCTCAGCTCCCGGAAAGGCTGACCATGTCTGCTGCTTCGCGTCGTAAGTAGCCAAGTATCGCATATCTGTGCTATTGGCCTCCAGGTCGCCCGCTACGACGAGGGTTGACTTGCTTGACCACATGAGCCCCAAGACTTCACCTGACAGGCCGTTACCAGGCTGGAACCATTGCCCCGAGTCGGAGTTGTAAATACAAAGACCCTCGCAGCCCAGGGCGCCTGCTTTGTTGAAAGAACCACCAACGTACACGTCAGACGTATCCGGTCGCACAGCTATGGCAGCAACGGTACTATTCCTTCCCGAGATTGGCGCAGGCTGGCTGGGGAATGACCTTGATGAAAGGTCATAAGCCAAAAGGCCGTGAATCTGGTTGCCAGCGATCGTGCCAGAGACCATTCCTCCAGCATACAAGACGTTGCCTTTAAGAGCAACAGTGATGAATGTAGAGTCTGAGGAGATATCTGAGCCCAAGCCGGTGATGGCCCCGTTGTCCTTGCCATCAAGAATTATCAAGTTGTTGACGGTCGACCCGTTGGCTGATTTAGCCGTGAAGTGACCGGCAAGCACGGTAATATTGGAGCTCTCCGTGTTATGAAAAGCGCCTGTTATGACACCTCGAAGCGTATCGTTCGAAATACTCTCACGACGGTGCAGCTTCGACTGGGACTTGGAGGCGGCTTCGATGTTCAACGGGAAAGGTCCCAAGCCTTGTGTACTAAGAGTGGCAACCCCATTTGCGCGAAGCCTTGCTGATGTCAATGAACCAGCAAAGAGGTCACCGAGATCCGAAACATTCTGAAGGCCGGCGGCAAGTACACCATTGTACGTAGGTAAAGGTCGGTTGATGTTCTGTAGCCAATTCTGCAGGGACGGAACCCAGATGGCGAAGCCGTCTGCGGGAGAAACACTATTATTGTTGAAAGCGTTGCACTGTGAAAATCTCCCGCTCAAGCTGATGACGGTTTCTAATTCATCGGATGTGGTATTGATTTGCATGGGGACGACATGTTCCACGGGACCGTCAACGCCGCCGCCAAGAGCGCTCCACGAATGAGACTTTATATCATACACGGCGGCGTAGCCCAGTTCTTTCTTGTCGCCGTTGAGAGTGCTATTAAAGCTCCCACCAACATACAACTGGGTTCCTTCAAGGTGCATACTGAGGACTTGGCCATTGAGGCCACCGTCCAGTGGGCTGGTCGTGCGCTCCATATCGCCGCCAATGGCGACAGCATTGACAAAATCATTGCTAGTGAAGTTTCCGCCAATGAAGAGTGTGTCACCAGCCGCGACCAAAGATTTGACGGCTGAATTTTGTCCAAATTCGGAGCCTAGTTTGTTGATTGGCGACTTTTCCAGGCTGGATGTATCCACCGTTCGTTGTTCTGGGTCAAAATCGAACAGACTGTTGAGACCCCCGGTTGACTTGGTGAGGGTGAATCCTAGTCTCTGAGCGACAACTGTGAGGTACAGAGCGTTTTGACCAGCCAGAGGCGTAAGGGTGACGGTAGGTCTGAAGCTTTCGGAGCTTTTCTCAATGTAGCCATAGTAAACTTGATCGAACTTGTCGTAGTAATTTGTCTGATAGAGCGTTGTGCTGAAACCGGCGTTGATCGTGCCGGTTGACATAACGCCCGTCACGTTTACCTGGCCTCGCGTGGAACAACTCGCGTCCGGGATGCACCCCGGAGTGTACATGTTGACGGAGTAATTGCCAGATTCTACGATGTTGGGAATAAACACAACCGAAGCGGAATTGCCGTCGATGTCGCCGCCTCTCAATGTTGCCACGAGGTAATCAGAGCTGCTCTGAGTCGATGGTGACTCTCTCCAGGGGCCGGTAGAGGTGGCAGTCGATGGAAAGACGATGCCCTTGCAGTTGGGTTCGTTGAAAGTGTCAATGGCGTACGCAAACATGTCGTCCTGGAACAGTTCAATGCCAGAAAGCCCGGCACCAGGTCCGTACCAGTCGGATATGGCAACCTGGAAACTATCCATGCCGACCCGATTCACGAAGTGAAAGTCCTGGAACTTGACATTGGGATCATTGCTGAGCGGGCATTCACTCGTGCAGGAAGCATTATTCCCAGTCGATGGGTCGACATAGGTGAAGTTGAGAATACCGTTTAATGGGAATGCAAGGAATCTGAACGTCTTGGTGCCGCGCCCGTCCTGGCGAGTGTTGTACAGCCGCAGCTTGGTAGGCTGAAATGTGAACCCGAAGTCGGCTTCCCAGGTGGCGGGCACGTTGTCAGCTGCGAGCCAAGTGCTGCCAGGCCCGTCACTGCCTGAGGAGCACACGATGTTTTTGGGATCACTGAATCCACTGGTTGTCGCACCATTCGTAGCGGTAATCTTGCCGCCGGATAGGTTGATCATTTGAGAATCTGGTTGGTTCGGAGCAGACGTGTTTCCTAGGCCGGTGAAACTGCCTCCGAATACAATGTGGCCATTTGAGGTCTTGGAAATGGCATTCACCTGACCGTTGAAGCCTGCAAATGGTAAATTTGACCAGCCGTCCGTGTCTGTCCAAGCGATTGCATTTGTGGAATTGGATGCTTTGAAATTGCCACCGACGTAAACGGTTTTGCGACTGTCATCGCAATACAAAGCACTGACTTCACCCTCGAGGCCCTTCAGAGGCGTAATCTCGCTTGTGTTGGGGTTGAAGAGCGCGATCGCTGTCGTCCGTATCCCGTCAATACTCGTGAAGTTACCACCAAAAACAACTCCTTTTAATTTGCCGCTGTCGTCATTTAATGAGCACATTGCTCGAATAGACGCGTCAGTCGACACAATGGGTGCCAAGGCACCATTGGGAAGTCGGGTGAGGAGGGCTTGGCTGCCATTCGTGGGAAGAGGTTTTGATATTTGGCCCTCGTACTCGTAAAGGGAGATGCCGTTGAAATCACCGGCAATTGCTATTCGTCCGAGATTGGCAAAGTCGAGATTGGCGGGCGGCGCTGGATTGAAATGAATCGCCTCTGAAAACGTTGATCCAAATGCCGCCAGGGTAAAAAACGCTGAAGAGAGGGTCAAGGCAGGCGGACGCCTTGGGCGGTGCTGGCGAAAGGACAGCCGCATGGCGATGTTGACCCGCCTGCACGGTCGGGCACGGGATCGGTGTCAACAAGACGGAGCCAAAAAGTCGGTCAGAGTCGAGGTTCAGGACGAGAATGAGTGCGAGGAAAAGTCAGAGTTGCAGGGGACAGCTCGATCGAGTCGATAATTTTGACGCAGAGCCGGGCATAGCAAATTTTTCGCCGTGACCCCTAAATCCTGGGAAAGTCGTGACACGGCGGCGAGAACGCGACCTGTCAATCACACCGAGACGTGTGAAAACCCAGGGCGAGATACCAACAGAAACGAATAGGAGAATTGTGTTGACGAAAAATTAACGAGAGAATTGGTAGGAATAGCGAAGGAAATGGGTCGGTGACACAAGTCGAGCAAGCCTGGGAGCGGCAGAAGGAATCTGTCGCTCGCTGTCGCTGTCGCCTGTCGCCGGGTCGTCTGGTCGCCGTGGATGAGTTTGGGAGGTGGACACGAAGAATGTGGGAAATTGCAGAGGTTGTGACGCCAAGGCTTGGCGGGAGTAGACCAAAAGAGGACTAGCGCCTGGACGTCCGCAGTACTGCTAGTGCTGCTACGGAGTACGGAGTACTCGTACATTGTAACTAGGGAGGAGCCGGGGGCGGTGCAGAACAACACGTTATAATTACTCCGTATTAAGGCTTCAATGCAAATGCACCACAGAGGACTGCACCAGCATCTGCTCAGTACTTAAGATTGTGAACCATGCTAGAGGTTTCGAGACGGCCGTGTCGTACCAGTCGTACCGTCCCAACACAGAGTAGAGAAGACCCAGTAAAGTACTTGCCCACGAAGTACGTACTCCGTGCTCCGTACTCGTACCTAGGTACGGATGAGTACTTAGGAAGTTGTTTACCTCCTGGAGACCTTACTATCGTGCGACCTCGATTTCACACGAAAAACACCGACTTATTGCAGCCGGCGCCGGAAGGCAGTAATACTGCAGAGGAAAAAAGAAACAAGAGGGATAGTGCCGGAGGTCCTGCAATCTACTTACTCGTACCGCGCAAACAACAATGATTACGCGCGAGGAAACATTGAACGGTCTCGCCGATGGAGCTGTTTATGCAAACAAAGAGCAGTAGAGTACTTACTTAAGAAGTAGACAGGAGTTGTTGTGGAGTGCGGTACGGAGTAGTACAGAGTACACTGTGTACGACACGGTCGCCCAACAGCCCAAAGGATACCCTCGGTATTCTCGAAAATTGGTGGCCGAAGATGCTTGCACAGACTTTTCCCGACAAGTCTTCAGAGCCTTGCACAACGACGAGTGCGGTCCGAAGAGGACCGAGCACTGTAGGGCTCTTGAGCCGCCAATGTGACAAAGAGACTGACCGGCAAGGATGCGCTTTGACGGTTTCACGGGGACAGAGAGAAGGAGCTTCCGTGTCGACTGCCTACGGTAAGTAGACTTTTCTGTTTCTCCAAGTTGCCATCGTTGCTTCCATTCTCAATCCCTCCTTCTTCTTCCCCCCCTCTTTTCTTCCTCGTGGCTCGCTGTAATGCAGTAAATCAGTTGTCGCATGCGTTGGGATTTGAGTTGCGGTGCCTGAGCATTCGTTGAACTTGGGTGCCTTGTACTACGGGGCACCGCTCCGTACGTCGATGCCTATTGGCAAACTTGCCCTAGTCTAACTTGTCAGGGGCGGCGTCGCAGGCGCGACCCACCCGCACACGGCAATGTCGACAAAAGTACTGAGTATTCACTCACCTTTTCGTCAGCCTTCCTGCGCGGAAACGAGGGGAGCAAGTTGCCATGTGGGTCAAGGGGCAACGTTCAACGAGCCTCGACTGCCGACAGGCTCGTATCGAGAGGGGTTTCACCAAAGGCTCCTACCACTGCTCCATTGCCGTATGTACATACTAGTATTTCCTTTTTGTCGGACTCCTTCGCAGGCCATCAGTCTCAGTCCACTCGCTCGAGCGTCTCGAAAGTGGCCTGTGACAGAGCGGCTCTCCAACGGCATCGTGAGATTCAAGTGCCGAGGCGACGACGTACTGTATACCGACGGAAGGCATACCTAGTTACATACTTCGCTGGCCGGAGGGGATCCTATTACCTGACCGTTTTTGTCTCAGCAATCCTGCGCCCCTTGCGCCAGCCACGTCGACGTACTTCGATAGACTCGAGGACCGAATGAGCACACAAAGACTGGCCTGTAATGCACATGGCCATCTGACGACTTGTCTCTGATCCTAGTCTACGTACTCGCAAAGTCATATTCTTTCACCTGTTATGGACTTGAGCTGCTCCGTATGAGCTCGGGTCTATATCTTGCTAAATGCAGGTCCCGTTCTGGGGCTATGTCAGGGCCACATCGGATGCACGTCGCGATAGGTAGGGTATATAGCTATACGAGAGGTAAAAGGGGCAGGCATTTCTTTTCTCTTCTTCCCCCCTTCAAGTTCATAGTTAGTACTGGTAACGCTTGTGTGCGGCAGCCTGTAAGTCCAGTCCTGAATATTACCTTTGCTGACGCGCCAGCAAAGCCTCTTACAGGAAGAATAGCCAATGACATCGAATCGACGAGGAGGCACACACCTAACCATCGACGTAGGCACCCAGGTACTCAGTGTCATAGTATATGTATTGTTGTTGACTTGTTCTCAGGATCATTATCAAGTGATATTCAGGATAAATCAAGCGTAGAGACACATAGCGGCGGGTACTCTGGAGTAGGTACAGGAGCCACCTCAGCCCAGGCCGGGAGATAATGCCATATACTCAATGCCATGGCTTTGTCCCCATGCCAGCATGTCATGCCACTAGCGGCATACTGTAAATGGGTAAATGGGTCCTGCGCCATGAAAGCTTCGCAATAATTTTCAGAACCATTTCTTAACAGCCATAACTTCCTGTTTATCTGTGCCCTGTAGCACGCAATACAATACCACCCCAGGCTTTGGACTCGTGTCCCATATTGCAGGGTTGACCTGTTGGCGCACAAACGTCCAGTGGCCGGGTTTGAAAGACGGTGCTGCTGGGCCAAACTTCAGATCGAAGAATTTACAGCTTTAATATCCACAGATGTGACCCGTTCTCCGGCAGGTACAAGTAGTCGTCTGACGCATTCTGCCCACCTAGTCGAACCCAAATGTGGCGACTTGCTAATCCTTCCGTCGGGAGCTGCTGGGGCAGACCACTTCTTGATGTCATGCAACAAATGTATGGCTTGCGCTGCTTTCAACGATCGCGCCCAAAGCTGGTTGGTGTCTAGGGATAGTATTCCGTTGGCGGTCTACTAATCTGGGCTTTGCTGCCCCTGATTTCGAGACTTGTATTCCCTGGGACTTTCATATTCGCTCGCAGTTCCAGACCACATGCCCTTCCGCTTCCTCCTCGCCTTGGCTTCGGCCCTTTCGTAGACAGCTTTCAGTCCGCCGTATTCGCCACCAGATTTTGCCTCGTATGTTGTAGCCAGGCCGCGTTTAACCAATTCTAGGCCAACATTTCTGCGTATGAGAAACCGTCGGACAAAGACCGTCGCAACGATGCGGTTGTACTGGTCGCGCTTGTAGATATATGCCCGCACATTTCGGTGTAGGATATAGTCAGAGAGCCACTTCTGGGCCTCGGCAGCAAACGGCTGCGCCGCTCGTCCAAAGTGTGCTCCCTCCGGCGCATCAACGCCTGCAATGCGGACCGATATCTGCACACAAGACTGTTAGTTCCCACACATCTAGGCAAATTGCCTCCTAGTGAGCCTACCGTCCGGTCCTTGAGTTCCTTCTTGGTTTCAGGAACGTTTCTGAGCCATCCCCAGCCCACAATCTTACCGCCTGGCGTATGGAAGAGGTGGAAGCCGTCACCATCGCCAACGGCCGTAACCCTCCCAAACAGGCTACGGCTGCGGAAGAATGATGGGCGAATAAAGGCTGCACCCGGGATCCGACGAAGGTAATTTGCGTAGAGTTGCAAAGCGCCTAGTCCAACAAGCGAGAACCCTACCACCGGTGCCCATTCTTTGGCCGCGCCCAAGGGGTCAGCCTCGGCTCGTCCCAGAGATTCAGACCATGACCATCGAGAGTTTGAGGGTTCAACTTCGCCCTTGCGGTCTTGTGACGTCGAGGTTCGCGATCCAAATGGCCACACCATCCTGAATTTCGACCCGGAGGCCGACTGGCCATCAACTCGTTGAGTTGCTCAAGCACTGCGAGTCTGTGAAGGTGGGTGGGCAGCTACGGTTTGAATGCCTAAGGCTTTATTATCAGAGGGTCAATCAACCCCACTTCACCCCCTGTTTCCTTCTACGACCGGTACCTGTACTTAAATTTGTCACGCGGCGACGAGTACTTATGTCACCAGGCACGACGCGGCGACCTTCCGGTGGCTGTTTTCATATTTCGCCTACAGCTGCTGCTCTCTACACTTGACAGATGCTGTCTACTACGCCAGACATCGATATTTCGTGTGCTTCCACACGCAATTCTCCCTAGCTTCCTTGGATCTTGAACGACCGTCCGCTTGCAGTCTTTCTCTCCTTTTCCTCGCTGTCGGGGCGCGCACGGCGCAGCACTATGGGCAAAAGTAAGCATTGATTCTAGCCAGTTCGCCTCGGGAATACAAACCTTGGAGGAAGTCAGCCGTTCGCTTTCGCATACGTGAGTGAATATAGGCCTTTGATGCTTTGATGTGATAATGGAAATAATCTCGGAACGTCTGGATGTGCGAGATGACGATTGGCATCCGTTGGGGGGTCAAGTGTCTTGGAAAAAGTACTGTGCCCGTCAGCATCGTATAATGTGCAAAGGAGACAGACTCTACGTACCGAATGTGACGTAGCCGATCTCCCCGGTGCCGGTGCTCTGTACTCCTGGAACTCCTTGCAGTTCCAGCGGCGGATCGTTTCGGAATAAGACTTGCGGGGCATTCTGAATAGCTCTCCTTCGAGCGTCGACGAATTCCTGAATGAATACCTTACCAAAAACCCTGTCTGTTTCTTCTCGAAAGACCGTGCTGAAGATGACGGTCACTCTGTCGTGACTGGCCTTCACGTAGATGGCTTCTTCTTCCCGGTAGCGGATCGCCTTCACCTGGCCGCCTTCTCGTACACCCTGAGGAGCCTCTTCAGAAGTAAACTTTGACGCCTGTTCTTTCAGCTCGTAGTGTTCCTGGTAAGCCTGCTCAAAAGGAGCTGCCATCGCATTTCGCTTTAAAAGGGCAAACTTCACGGCGAGTGCATCGCGTTCCTCTGAGTGCGTACTGTTAGAGGTTTACTAAAATATCCATATTATTTTCGGGTGGGCTAGTAGCAAATCGCACCTTTCTCCTCAGGTAAGTTCTCGAGGTCAATGAGCACAGTGAAGTCGTAACCAGGCTCCACCGGCGCGACATACTGGCCGTATTCTCGCTGAAGAACCTCCTCCGCTCCGTATTGAATCAAATCCTGGAAGCATCTTATTTGAATAGAAAGGAGAATTTTGGCCTTTGCTTCGGGAGTCGATATGTGAAAGGTGACGCCATCAAAGTCGGAGACGGTCTGGTCGATGGAAGCCGGAGGGGCTCTGGTGAACATTGTTAGTAGTATGTACGAAAGCGAATGGACGGTGCAGGCCCTGACAAACCCAGAGAACCTTTCGGTAAGAACCGATTGGATTAGTACGTTTTGGTAATCAAGGAGAAGCATCGTTGCGATGTGTTTGCGGTTCGCGAGGTCTGCCTGCTGCTCCTCCCAGCGCCTGGAGCTGTTGACGACACAAGGTGGGGCCGAGCAAGTGGTTAGTAAGTTACTGGATGCGACCAAGCCGTCGCGAGCCTGGAGATGAGCGGACACGTGACGGGACAGCGTCTCGAGGCAATCCCACCTTGCGCTATCGATAAGAAAAAAATATCAACGCCCAAATGCCTCTGCGATTGAGGGTGGCATTTCGGAGCTGTGCGACAGTGGTAGCATCGAGTGCGTCGGCAATCTTGCAAAAATGGTCAAATCGTACCTGTAAGTGGTTGCTTATACGCTCCAATCTATGAGGTCATATGAATATAACCTTCTTTTGCCAGAAAGTACGAACACGCCAGATCGTTTGGTGTGATCACGACCAACACTTCCAACATTGTCTGGGCCGCCAAAGACAGGTCCGGCAGTGGCGCAGGACAAGCCGTCGTCGCCGCGAATGAAGAAGTTTTCTGCTGGGATATCAAAAAGGGAGAGCTCATCGGTAGATGGCGGGACGAACGATGTGCATTTCCAGTGACTGCAATCGCGCAGAGCAAGGCAGACAAAGACGTCTACGCGGTTGGATATGAGGATGGCAGTATTCGACTCTGGGATAGTAAGATCTCGACAGTCATTGTGAGTTTCAATGGCCATAAGTCCGCAATTACGAATCTGGCCTTTGATAAATCTGGTGTACGACTTGCCAGTGGTTCCAAGGACACCGACGTCATCATTTGGGATCTGGTTGCTGAAGTTGGCCAATTCAGACTTCGCGGACACAAGGACAAAGTCACCGGACTTCATTTCATCGAGCCTAGACTGTTTTTGGAGAATGGTGATGGGTCAGAACCGATGGTATTGGACGATGAGAAGCCCTCGGATGGGTTCCTTCTAACCACCGGCAAGGACTCTTTACTCAAACTTTGGGATCTCTCCTCAAGACACTGCGTCGAAACACACATTTCTCAAACGAATGGCGAATGCTGGGCCTTGGGCGTTTCTCCCGATCTAAGTGGATGCATTACTGCAGGAAATGACGGCGAGATGAAAGTCTGGTCCATTAATGTTGAAGGTCTAGCCGCCAGCACTCGACGTGTCGACGCTTCTCCGGCCAACCACTACATACATGACCGTGGGATACTTCACAGGCAAAGCAAAGATCGAGCAATTGAGATTGTTTTCCACCCGCAGCGGGACTACTTTGCCGTACATGGCTCCGAGAAGAGCGTTGACGTGTGGCGAATTAAATGCGAGGCAGAAATAAAAAGGAGCCTAGCACGAAAGCGACAGCGTAGGAGGCAAAAGCAGAAGGAGGACAAGGTTCAAGACCATGATGCTGAAAATGGTGGCGAGGCCAACGAGGATGCTTCCAAAGCAGACGTTGGCGATGTTTTTGTTCAGTACGTCATTGTCAGAACTGGTGGCAAAGCCCGCTCAGTCGATTGGGCGGCATCCGGGAAAGAAAAAGACCTGCATCTACTGGTGAGCACGACAAACAATCAACTGGAGTATTATAGTATTTCCCACAAAGAGAAGATTGAGCGCAAGAAGAAAGACGACATCCCCGACTATGCTCGCGGCTTGACGGTGGAAATTCCGGGACATCGAGCTGACATAAGAGCCTTGTGCCTGAGCTCTGATGACAAAATGCTTGCTTCGGCGGCCAATGGTTCATTGAAGATTTGGAACATCAAGACTCAAGCGTGTATTCGTTCGTTCGAGTGTGGCTACGCACTTTGCTGCGCGTTCCTGCCCGGAGACAAGGTGGTAGTTGTCGGCACCAAGAGCGGTGAACTGCAACTATTTGATGTCGCATCAGCATCACTGATAGACAATGTGCAGGCGCACGAAGGCGCCATTTGGAGTCTCAACGTCCACCCTGACGGACGATCCGCTGTTTCTGGCAGTGCCGATAAGACGGCAAAGTTCTGGGGGTTCAAGATCGTCCAAGAGGAGGTTCTTGGCACGAAGAGGACTACGCCCAAGCTGAAGCTTGTCCAGTCTCGTACTCTCAAGGTGCCTGATGATATTCTTAGTTTGAAGTTTTCCCCTGATGCGAAACTACTTGCGGTGGCTTTGCTGGACAACACGGTCAAGGTGTTCTTTGTCGACTCGCTAAAGCTGTACCTCAACCTGTACGGCCACAAGCTTCCCGTCCTAAGCATGGACATCTCTTACGACAGCAAGCTTATAGTTACGAGTTCAGCAGATAAGAATATCCGAATATGGGGGCTGGATTTCGGCGATTGTCACAAAGCCTTGTTTGGTCACCAGGACAGCATCTTACAGGTTGCCTTTGTCCCACACAATTCCGACGGAAACGGCCACCACTTCTTTAGCAGCAGCAAAGACAGGACTATCCGATACTGGGACGGAGACAAGTTTGAGCAGATCCAGAGACTGGACGGTCACCACGGCGAAATTTGGACGATTGCCATCGGCCACTCTGGAAACTTTCTCGTCAGTGCTGGTCACGACAAGAGCATCCGGGTTTGGCGGGAAACCGACGAGCAAATCTTCCTCGAAGAGGAGCGAGAGAAGGAAATGGAGGAACTCTACGAAAGCACATTGACAGCTTCCCTGGAGAACGACCCCGACGCCGAGGACGAGAATGTCGAACTGGCCGCGGCAACCAAACAGACGACAGAGACCCTGATGGCGGGCGAAAGAATACAAGAGGCCCTAGAAATGGGCATGGCCGACCTGAACCTCATGAGTGAATACGAGGAAGCAAAACTCACCAACCCCCATGCCCCCCCGCCGCAGCGCAATCCCGTCTTCGTCGCTCTCGGCAACATCAGCGCCGAAGACCACGTCATGTCGGTCCTGCAACGCATCAAGGCATCGGCCTTGCACGACGCACTGCTCGTCTTGCCATTCGCCACCGTCCCAGTCCTGTTCACCTTTCTCGACATCTTCGCCACGCGGTCCATCAACATTCCCCTGACGTGCCGCGTCCTCTTCTTCATGCTCAAGTCTCACCACAAGCAAATTGTGGCAAGTCGCACATTGAAGCCCATGCTGGACGGGATGCGCACAAACCTGCGAGCAGCACTGAAGAAGCAAAAGGACGAGATGGGATTCAACCTTGCCGCGCTCAAGGTCGTGGACATGCGGCTCCGTGACAAGAGCATCAAGAATTACGTCGACGAGACATGGGAGGATGAGCGCGCAGAGAGCAGCGCGAAGAAGCGGGCCTTTGTGCACGTAGCGTAAAATAGAACACCACGGGGAGCCGTATATAACTCCCCTAAATAGAACACATCCATCCTAGTCCCAGGACAAGAGGGAAAAGAAACGGCCCTCCTCACCGCCAATTCTGTCCAGCGCCCATGCCAATAGCCAAGCTCTCACGGCAATCACGTGACGCAGACATAGGATCTCCACGAACCTCCCAAGCGGTCCCGACCAAGGAAAGTAAAAGGATATCAACCACAACAATTCCCAGCAAATCTCAAGCCAAAACACCATTCCGCTCCCGTCGTGTCTTATTTTTTATCTTTATTTTTTTTTTTTCATTTTTTTGAAACGTTTCCGGAATCTCGGCAACCTCCACACCAAGCACGGGGGGCCTAGAGCCGTCCTCCCTCCCGCAAACAAAGCACACGCGACTCTGCACCAGACGTCCGACGATGCTCTTCTTCAGGTACCGCCCCTTCAGTACAGGCGTGCAGCCGCCAGACCTCGCTGCTCAATCTCCATCCCCGGCAACATTTCACGAGTCTCCGAGCGGGGCGCGAGGGAGCAGTCCTGACGAGAGGGCAGTTTTTTCAAGACCCTGATTGACCATGAAGTCACGGTGGAGCTCAAAAACGACATCCAGCTCAAGGGGACGCTCAAGAGCGTGGACCAGTACCTCAACATCAAGCTGGACGGTATTTCTGTCGTGGAGGAACTGAAGTATCCTCATCTGGTGCGTCGTCCCATCCGTCCGCCGCGGCTGGTGTGTGCTGTGTGCGGCTTGGCTCCCGACCCTTTTTCCCGCTGCCCATTGCTGGCCCAGTCGAGGGGGAGGAGGCGGGCCCGTGTGGTGCTGGACTGACGGAGGTCAAGAGCTCGGTCAAGAACGTGTTTATTCGAGGCTCGGTGGTGCGCTATGTCCATTTGCCCGCTGGGTCGGTGGACACGCAGCTGCTGGAGGATGCGACGCGGAGAGGTGAGCCCGTCTGCTTCGGTGGGTTGCGGTCCTGTGACGGCGTATTCGCTGACTGCTCTCCAGAGGCCGCTGCTCAACAGGCCAAGGCTAAGTGAACAGGTGTGACTGGAGAGGCTGCCGACGCTTACTGGGGGAGGAAAGGGAGGGTCGACATTTCGGTTGGGTTTCGCGGCGGGCACGCCGGCGAGGGTTATGGCTGACTTTGTGACAACCACGGCAACGGCGTTGAGTGTGAGATATGTAATGCACTGGATTGGTTCATTTGATCCACTTGAATATGTGTCTATGACATGTGTATGTGTACAAGCATTATCCTGATCTTGCCATGGCTCATACCGTGTGGCGATTTTACCACCAGGCGCCTCCTCCCTTACCAGATTTATCCTCCCACAGGCATATGTCCTTGTCTTGGGTGTCGTCTTCCCCTTCTACCAAGGGGCAGACGAGGCCACCTCGCCGTCTTTCAGACGCCCACCGGTCCAGCCATGCCTTCATTCTCCTTCTCGACTTCTCACTGCCTACATTCACTGTAGGGATGACTTTTTCTATTCTCAAGCTCATTATGAACATGGCGAGTTCTCGAAAACTGCTGTGTTCCGAGTAAGGAACACCAAAACACATGGCCAACTTGGTGCTGCCCCGCTGCGCGACAAAGTCCTTGTAGCCAAATCTTGATCTCCAACCCTTGCCATGAAGAATCTGCTGCGTTTGGATACTCGTCGGCGAAGTGTTGACTGATATTTGTTTGCTACTTGGAGGCCGGTAGGTCCAGCCACTGGGGCGAAAACCCACGATGCGACTGAAATGACCGCTGTAACCATCCAGATATTCTTGCAGAGTTTCTGCTCGGATTTCCATAAGTGGTTGCATGTGGACTTGAGCCTCCACAGGGTTGGAGGTGAGGAGTCGGGTCAATTCCGGGTCGCCGAGCTGGTTGCAGATCTTCATTTTACCTGGAGCGGCAAATATCTTGCTGTTAAGCGCGTTGGCAATAGCGACGCATATTCGCTCCTTTCCGATGGAATAGGTGCCGCAGACTACGAGAAGCCGTTGACCCAACTTTGCTGGAGCCTTGGTCTCAGTGAAATCGTTACTTTGCTTGTTGCTTTGGAAATACTTGCTGACTGCTTGTGTATCTTCTTCTCTGCCACCCTTTTCCCAAAAGTCTTCCTTACAAGTAGGATCTGGGGACAGCGATGCACATAGGTCGGCACACGCTTTGATGACGTCGCGCTGTGGTGGAAATGAATATCTCGGGTCGAGGTACGTGGTATCCAAGTAGCATATGTCGATGATTTGCTGGCTCAACTTCCCAGTGGTTGCATCTCGGAGGTCTGGCTTCATGAGTGGATGGGTTACGTGAGCTGGGCAAGCTCGAAAGTCGCCACAATGAAGGATCCGCTTGCCTCGACGATTGCTCCCTCTCTCGGCGGGCTTCTCAAAGAGGAATAACGAGCTGCCAGGGCAGTGGTTGGCTGGTATCATGACGACCGTGGCGCCGCCTGTTCCTGGAATATCGTAGGGTTTCTCAAAGTCCAACTCCACGACCCACTTTGCAGCAGTTCGAAGTTGCTGCTTCACTAGGCTCCCGGTCACCTTGCTGCAATATATCGGCCCATGCACCCAGCTTGCTGTTAGACCAATGTAGTGGTCACTATGAAAGTGACTGAGGAAGTACGCCTCACATCCCTTGACAGCGCCATATCGGAAAGCATCCACACAAATATTAAACCCGGGAATAATTTTATAAAACGGACATGTTCTTTCGTAGGCTGGGCGTCCCCTTGAAGCGTTCTCGGCCGCGGCTGCGGCCGCCCAGGCTGAGTCTTCGGCTTTGTTTGACATGAGCTTAGAAAAAGCAGACTTGGTCCCGTTTCCATCATTGTCTGGCTCGAGAGGGTTTGCCTGTCCCGGTCGTGGGATTGCAGCACGTGCAAATCGTTTGCTTATTACCGTAGCTTCAACCTCGGGCGGTGGTGACGCAGCTTTGGGGGGCTTATCTTCGGATAGGGGTGTCGGATGGCCGTCTAGACACGAGTTGACGTGTTTCGTCGCTTCATCCACTGAAACGCCATGAAGTCTTGCACTGCAAATCGGACACGACTGAGCTGCGGAGTCGTCTTGAAGGGGATCTAGGCCGAAGTCTTCGGGTATAGAAGTTCCGTCTTCTAGAGCTTCTAGTCGGGCTTGCTCATGCATAAATCTCATTTCCCGCATTTCCTCGCCTTCAAACTCGGCAAATTCCAAGTCATCTAATTCGCCAAGGCCCTCGAGCCCTGTAAATAGGTGGTGCGTTTGGCCTTGTCGGTTAGAGCCCAACTTCTTCTCGGGACTTTGGCATCGTACATCTGGGCCGTCTGGGGGCTTTGGCCGACCTGGGCTTGGGAGTGTATGAGTGTCTTGCTGAGATTTCCCCGGCTGCAAAGAAACACGAGAAGAAACTCCGTTTTTGTCGCTGCCGTCATCCTTGTCGCAGCTGTCGTGCTCATCTTCACCATCGGAATCCACGATGAAAGGGAGGTCATGTCGAGAATTAGCGCTTTTGATCGCTTTGCCGTTGTCTGCGGGTTCATTGGTATGGACCACGACAGAAATGGCACTACCATTTTCTCCCGATGCAAGAGCCTCGTCACTCAATCGTCTCTTTTTATTGGCCAATGTCGACTCATTGAGGCGGTGTTCATCATCACGGCTGTATGTGTGCTCGTCATGGGTTGCAGCGTCGGGTGTGGCTCCAACGCGGAGAGAGTCCTCTGGTCGTTGGGTCTTCTGAAAAAAACTAAGTATGCTCGCATTCGGTCTTGTAACTTTCTTGAATTGGGGGATCGCCATGGCCGTGGCCGCGACATTTTTTCTTGGGGTGAAGGATCGGCTCGATCTCGCCGTGGCGACCATGGTGACAGTTGGTGGCCCGGCACGGGGTAATGTGCATTATATTATTTGCAGTGCTTGTAGCTTTTAATCGGTCCTCAAATCCTCTGGGAACGACCAGACTAGGACTTCGGCTCAGAGGCAGCATGAGTTGAAGAAGAAGCGTGAGAAATTCACGGTGACTGGCTTGCAAAATCCAGACACGCCGGTCGCGGTTACCGGCCCGGTGGCCAATCGCGAGGTCACATGCTCACTGATGGGGCCAGGCAAGGAGCAACTGGACCAGGCCGTGGAGTCGACATCGGCAGACGTCTGTCGGGAATTATTTGGCGGGGTAGACGCTGGCCCAGGCCCAGGCCCAGCTGGGCCCAGGTGGTGACGACTGGAAAATAGCACTAGCTTCGACGCTAGCAGCCCTTCCGTACTCTACCATTGCGTGTGCGCATGTACGACTCAGGCAGAGTAGCCGGTCGTTTGTATTGAAACTCTGCTTCGTTGGGGTATGTGTCTGTTTTTTTTTCTGCTTTTTTTTTGGTCTCTCTTTCTTTCTTTCTTTCTTTCTTTCTTTCTTTCTATTCTTCTCGGCGGCTTTCACGTTTCCTATCCAGGAGCTTTCAGCAAGCAATAATATGTCTTGTAAGATGCCGCCCGTCCCTCGCCCATACCATACGCTGACTCTTGATCAACGTGGAATCTGGACGCTTCGAGTAATAACGATGCTTTTCGAGCAGCCTTGTTCAATGCTACCGAGTCTCTCAAGCATACGACGTCTCTGCCCGACGGCGCCAGTGCGGCCAAAGCCGTGGAACTGCTCCAGGGGCACGTCTTCTTCATTCGGTTCAACCCGCACATGATCAAGTACGAAGCAATCGACAGACCAACGGACCCAGAGCCACAGCTTCCAACCGATCGTGGCCTCACTGGCATCGCGGCACCCAAGTGTTATCAAGTCACGGACAGGGTTCACGCCCTTCCAGCGGGACTGTGGGACTCCGATGTAGTGAGCACGTATGAATTCATCAACCTTGACAAGGGTGTATTTGTGAGAATACGGAGTCCGCTGAATACTGTTCTGGAGACTGTCTGGACTGTTCAAGGAAAAGAGGGCGGCGGCTATGAGTTGACCGAGGACGTGGTGATGAAATGCTCCCGGCTCCTGGTCGGCGTCATCAGGAACACATGCGAAGGTACCTGGCGAGCCATCCACGAGAAGATGGTGGCAGAGATCCGAAAGGAATCATGATGAGCATCGTGTCACGTCTGGATCCTCCGGGCTGGGACCTTGTAACTGCCTAGGTAGTTAGCAGGTTGAAACGCAGTCGAGCCAACATCCAGACAGAGTAATTACTGTTGGACAACAGAACAGCAGCGATGGGGGATGGGAAGCACGTGGCATGCCAAATTCCATTCAACTGCATGGCATCGCAAAACGAAATAAAACAAACGCATAACCAGCCAGTTTCCCAGTGCCCGACTTCTTATTTGCCCGTTCCCCTTTCCTCCTCTCCCCTGGTCTGGTCACCCTGGCTCAGCCGCCCGAGACACGCCCGCCAATTGACGACGCCTCCAGGTCTCCACTTCTTCTCCTTAAAAGGTTCTACACATGTCAACCAGCTGCGACGTATCACCAAGTCCCTTGGGTCCAACCGCGTCCATCGCTCAGCAGCTACACAACATCCTCTTCGCGTACACATCGCCAGCTTCATCTTTGTACGCGGTCGGTCGGAGCATGCATAGGCGTAGGCCAAGGCCCTTCCCTTTTTCGTCCGGCCAGCCCACCACCGTCGCTCCCGGCTGACCTGCCGTCCATGTTCATCTTCATGTCCATGCCCTTGTCCATGTCGTCAAAATGGCGTCCCTCCAACCGCGTCTGACGGACATGTCCGCCACCAGGCAAAAGGCCTTTGAGGATGCCAAGAAGATGCAGAAAGCCGTCGTCGAGACGTGCACAAAGTCCGGAAGGGACATTCCCCGGTACCAGCTCTCGGAACTGATTGGCAAGGGAAGCTTTGGCCGCGTCTACAAGGCAACGTCTCAGACTACTGGCAAGCTCGTTGCCGTCAAGATCATCGACATCGAGGAGAGCGACACTGTCAACCCCAAGCTGGCCGACACCTACAGCGACCTCCTCAAGGAGATCAATGCCCTGCAGCTGCTAAGCGAAAGCGGCGCCAGGAATATCAACCATGTCATCGAGGCACTGCCCGTCGGTCAGTCCATGTGGATGATCACCGAGTACTGCGCCGGCGGCAGCGTCGCAACTCTCATGAGGCCGACCGCCCCCGGTGGACTGCAGGAGAAATGGATCATTCCCATCCTGCGCGAAGTCGCAGAGGCTCTGCGCTGGGTTCACGGCCAGGGCATCATCCATCGAGACATCAAGTGCGCCAACGTCCTCATCACCGAGGTCGGCAACGTGCAGCTCTGCGATTTTGGCGTTGCTGGCGTCATTGAGACCAAATTCGACAAGCGAAGCACATTCATCGGCACCCCGCACTGGATGGCCCCCGAGCTTTTTGACCAGTCAACTTCGTACGGTACTGAGGTCGACATCTGGGCCTTTGGCTCCTTGGTCTATGAGATTGCCTCGGGACTGCCGCCCAATGTAACGGACGGCATCGACTTTTCCAGACTGGGCACCCATCTGAAGCAGCACACGCCGCGTCTTGAAGGGGATAGGTACTCTACCGGCTTAAAGGATCTGGCCGCCTACTGCATGCAGCACGAGGCCGCAAAACGTCCAACCATTGAGCAGGTCCAGCACCACAAGTACATATTCAAAACGGAAGATGTCTATCCTTCCTCGTCACTAGCTCACCTCGTACGCGCGTTCAAGTTCTGGGAGGCACAAGGAGGAGATCGGCGCTCTCTGTTTTCACTAGGCGGCGCACAGGGCTTTTCGGACCTTTCCTCCACCGCAATGGACAGTGATGAGTGGAACTTTAGCACCACGGCTGCCTTTGACCAGCAAGTCTTTGACCATGGGGATGCCCAGGACGTGTACGATGTTTACGGTACAGAGGTTGATTTTAGCCAGCAAGCGTTTGAGGAGACGTCAAAGCCGCAGAAGGGCAAGTCCAGGCGACGGCCACCTCCGCATTTGCCCTCTGTCAAGGCACCTCTGGAAAAGGTATTTGACCCAAATACCATGTCCAACTACGAAGACAATTCAAGAGCATACTACGGGAGACCATTCCCGACTCCGGCTCCGGCTCCCACTCCCGCTTCAGACCTGCCACTCCGAGATGAGTCCTCCGCACCGGCCGACGTTCGGGAGTCCCTAATCGACCTCGATGCGTCACTGCATGGCGGCGATATATCCCAATTCGTCGATCTGGGAACCATGAAAGCTGGCGACTCTCAGGTCTCGATAGACTACGACCTCGGCGACTCGCCCTACCCAAGACCACCGTTGAGTGACCCTGCTGACTTGAGCAACAACCGACGTACCCAGGACTGGAAGTTTCCCACCATGGCACCGCCTGCGTCCGCGAACCCGGAAATGTTTCGGTTCCCTCTTACCGAGGAAGGACCGGCCCCCAACTCGGTAAGACCAACGTTGGTGCATCACCCGACAGAGCCGTATCAGGCATCCACGGGCTTCTGCGAGCTTGCGCCCTCCAACGCAGGCACAGTGGACAACCGCGCCTCTGTTGGGAGCTTGATCGACCTGGACATGGGTCTCGCAGACTCAACCGACTATGCCCGACCCTCGACGTCTCACTCGGATGTGGCTTCCATGAGCGGCTCAGAAATTGGCGGCGCAAACCCCTTCGAGCTTGAAAAGCACGCATCACTCTATGAGCTGCCAACTACAGTTCGAGAACCCTCCATCTACGTGTCGGACGAATCCGAGTTTTCCAACGCCCTCACCGACTATTCCGACCCCCCCTCGGACAGCGAGCAGCCCCATCAGGATGATCAAGGCCCGCAGCAAAGCTCTTCCTCTTCAAGGCCATATTCTCTCAGCGAGTTTGCAGACATGGACCCAGAAGACATCACTCCTCAGCAAACAGTCGGACCCGGCGCTTCCATTTTTCCCTCTACCTATCAAGCTCACCCCCCTCACCCAGAACCAGCCCCAGGTCAACCGCGCGAAACAGACCATCCAGATACGGCCCTACCCCCCTTACCTGCGGCTCCTTCACCATATGTCATGCAGGGGCAGGCATCGGCAGAGATTGTCAAGAATGAGCTGCGTCGACTGGCAATGAGCCTGGGGGACCACCTGAGTTACGCCAATGCCTATTTGGACAGCTTGCCCGTCGGGCGGGGTGGCATGGCGCGTATGGAGTCTGTCAGCGACGGAAGCTGAATGACTCTTCTTGAGCGGTAAAAGGGGTTACGGGGCTGGGGCTGAATGACTCTTCTTGAGCGGTAAAAGGGGTCACGGGGCTGGAACAGCATGGACCATGTAGCACGATGCATGAGATTGCCGGGAGGGGGCGAGTACACTTTGCTATTTTATATGCTTTCGCACGGAGTCTGATGTCTTCCTCGGAAGGATTGTACTTGGGGTGTAGCTAGGCGTTTTCCATTGTGATGAGCGTAGCTCTGGGAGCACTTCTTCATGGCATGAACAAAATCTTGCCCATCTCCTTTTGTCTGCTACTTTATCGCAGTGTGTAACCGAGATTGGTTCAGCCGTATCCAAGAAGGTCCCCCAGCAGTAGGGCCTGATACTGCTCAATAGCCTCGCTCAGCTTGATCAAGACCCCCGCCGCCAGCATCTTGACGTCATTCTCCTCGCCACCATCATCTCCGTGCGTCTGCTCAAATACGCCTGATACCCATTCACGCGACTCTACAACCTCCCTGCCTTGCTCCTCGCATATTCGCCGCATATTGTCCGCATTTACCTCCAGCAGTACCGACAAGGCTAGCAGCCAGCCCTTAAGGGCGCCCAGGTCCCCTAACACATGGACTCTTGTCCGCAATAGCAAGTCCCATAGTTCAGAGGTAAGCTGCGGCAGGGGCAGTGTCGACGGACCGGCGGCATTCACGATAATACCCAGAGTCTGGAGATAGAGCGCAAGCATGGAGGGATTGAGAACGACGGGTTTGGAGTAGCGCAGCGCAAATTGAAAGTGTGCCGTAAGCGGGGAGAAGAAGTACGTCGCTAGAATAGCGGCGGTGGTATTTGGTATCGCACGAATGCGAGGTCTGTTCCGGGACCTGGACTTGTACCGCGCGGCGCAGGTTTCAAGCTTCAGAGCGTCGGGTCCAGTGTTCGCGTCGGCGGCTTCGGCGGCAAGGGGGGCGAGGAAAGTGGCTGTGAGGGACTGGGCAATCCTGTTGATGGCATTGAGGGGGAGCGCTTTGATATTGGATGAGGACGGCTGACCAGAGGGAGTTGCGGACTCTAGGTAAAGTTGTTCAAGCTTTTCGGGGAGTCGTTTTGAGGGGAATGACGATGACGACTTATACTCCGAGGTTTCGAGACCAGCCAGTTCGCGTGCCGATAGTCCCAGTGTGACAAGAACTGAGCTTCGTTGTGAGAGGGAATAGTCGCCTTCGAAGAAAGTGCGAGCGAACCACGGTGCCATGGATTTGGGCTGAGCAATCACCAGGGCGATCATGCTCTGAAGACGCAGGTCTTCAAAGTTTGCAATTTCGAATTTATCCTGGAGGCCGACCAGGAGTCGTGCAATCTCTTCAGCGTGGGAGCTAACTTCAGCGCCGTAATCGGCTTTCCGGCGAATTAGCGCGGGCGCTGTTTGCACTGCGAGTTTCTGTTTGTCGTATGATTCCGAGTCTCGAAGGAAAGCGATGAGGTCACGGACATAGACTGGAGGTTTAGGCTTGTTCCGTTGGATCAAGGTTGGATCGTCGTCCGAATCTTCGTCATCTGAAGACTTGGCTGCAGTCGGGAGATTATCAACTTCGTCGTCGGACGAGTCAACTTCTTCAATTATGGCTTTTGGGACTGGCTCGCTAACAGTGGGTTTGTGTCTTTGTTTCTTCTTGAATTGCTGTTTCTGAAATGGCTGTTGGGGCGGTTTCGTTGGCTTTTGTGAGAGCGGCAGGCTAGACAAGAGCGACTGAACAGGCCCAACAGGGTCTGAGACTTGACTAAGGCCTTTAAGCCATTGTGCTTCTGCGGATTCCATTTCATCCATGTGAAAATCGAGCTTCTTCGTGTTGTTGTCTACCAGGGCGGACAGGGCTTCTCCCACGCACATGCCCAAAAAGCGGGCTCTCGCATTGGTGGAGGCAATCCGATTAGATATTGTTCGTAAATAGCTTCCCGAGCGGAGAAGCTTGGTAAATTTTATGGGACAGAACTTTGCTACATATGAAGCACTGAGCAGCAATACTTGGGCGTGGGCTGCGGTAACAGTCAGCGCACCGTGAACTGAGCGTGGTTTGGGCCATGGGAGGCTCACCCTCTTGCTGCAGAATTGCAGTGTGTTTGATGTAAAGTTCGTCTCCGAACTGGTTCAAGCTCTTCTCCAGAAGTGAAGTAATTCCCCCTTTGTCCTTTGCCAAAACAGCCACCACAGCTCGACGAATACCGATCCCATAGCCTAGCCCAGCCCCAGACGGACTGCAGCACCAAGTCAAGAGGTGAGTTTTGCGGCCGGCGTCATTCTGTATGACAGCATCGAGTACGCCAGCAACAGCAGAGATCTCCTCAACCGGTTTCGTATCTTCCAGAACCAACTGATTCAAGAACTTCTGTGACAGATGTTCCAGGAGTGTGTATATTACTTTCTTGGATGTCTGTGGTTTGTGAAAACAAACTTGGGAGAATGCTCCAACAGATGGGGCTTCAGACAGCAGAAGCTCATCGATGATGACAGCAACCAAGGTCTCTATACAGCGTTAGGCAGGACATTCATTGTCGTGGTGAAGAGAGGACTTCTTGCCTGCATATCCCAAGGACAAGGATCTTTGAAACACTTCAAGACAAGCCTGGAGCTCAGCACCGTCCAATGGAACACTGACCCATGTTGTAATGTTTCGGCCTATCCATTTGCTATACTCAACACCGCTTACGAGCCATCGACCACGGATAGGGCTGCCTTGGTCGGCAATGATATCCGAAGCCTCGGCGCAAATGGAGATGATTCTGCCACTAGATACCAAGGAGATCAGAGTTTGGGACTGAACTTTCTTCGAAACTGCATCCGCTAAACCAGCCGTTGAAGATTGCCAAAGTCGTCGAATCGAGTCGTCTCCGTCCAACAGCACGGACAAGAGATGCAAAAACAGCTGAAGGTTCAGGTCAATATCAGGCCGCTTGATATCTCTCTTGGCGAGTTTGAATTCCTGAACCAGGGCTTTAATGTGTCCTACTACTGCGTTGATGCCAGCGACACTCTGCAGACTCGAAGTCAGGAACGCAGCGTCAGCGGGTGTCGAAGCAAATGATTCCCCCTCCTTTGCTGACGGACCTTGCTGTAGTAAAGTCCAGTAGTTCGGCACGATTTCCGATACCAGGACATGGATGATGGCAGCACTCTTGGGACCGGGCACGTGAATACTAAACTCGGAAGACACGTCCTTCTCGGTGAGAAATCGAAGGACGGCAATCAACGAATCATAGTCTGGCTGACTCTTCAGGACTGACAAAGCATCGTCCGCAGAGAGGGCTTTGGGGGATTTCAAAACCGCGCGTGCCTCCGTAGCTGGTCGAGCTTGTACTGGTGGCGACTCGCCATCCTTCCTCGTGCGCAAGTACGTCGTCCTCACCGGGGTGAGTAGCTCAGCCATGCTGGCTGACCAGCTTGTCCGGTCCGAAGTTACAAGCCGGAGATCATTAGAGAGTACGAGGCGTGTATCGTCATGTGCTGCGTTTTACGATGGCTTTCAAAGTTCAAGGTGTGCTTGATGGTCCGGAGCGAGCATGGGAAGTGCAGAGGTGAAAGTTCATGTTGCGTGCCCCACCCTGCGCCGACAAGTCAACGACCAACTGACCGAGGTACCTACTCCGTACTCCGTGCTTAACGTAGGTACCTCTGAGTGACTGCTCACTGCTCAGTGCACCACCCAGCGCGGCTCTCTCTCTCTCACTCTCTCTCCCTCCCCTCTTCCTCTTCGTCTCTCTGTTCTGTTCCTTCTCCTCCCCTGCCTGTAGGGCCAAAATCCTACGAGGCGACGTATGGCAAGTGAATGATAAGATGAGCGTATCTGCTCAGTCCACGCCAGGTGCTAGTACCGTAAATGAGGAGGCAAGATGGTGCGTAAATTTCGAGCAAGCTTCAAGTCCCAGAGCTCCCGAGTCCTGACAACATGAATAGGAAGTACCTCGATCATATTCGACGAACCCCAGGGCCGTTTACTGATCCAGAGGCCACATCGGAGGAGTTCTTGGCGCAATTTGAAAAGATCAAAGTCCTGTGAGTCGCGCTTTGAATCTTGATACATCGACACACCCAAGAGTCACAGCTAACGTTGCTCGCACACCAGCGTCATGTACGTTTTACTCAGCCACGAGCACACATCATGTCTGTCACTCACCAGTACCGTCCCAGAGGCGCAGGAGGCTTAGGATGCGAAATCCTCAAAAACCTCGCCATGTCCAAATTCAAAGACATTCACGTAATAGACATGGGTATTACACACAACTCCCTCCTCGTCCGCCTTTATCACTCTCCAACTCCCCCCACACTGACCAGCCTTCACGCCAGACACAATCGACATCTCCAACCTGAATAGACAATTCCTCTTCCGCAGCTCAGACGTAGGCAAGTACAAGGCCGAAGTGGCGGCCAGGTTCGTACAAAACCGCGTAAAGGGCGTCAGCATCACCGCCCACAACAACAGGATCCAAGACTTTGACGACACCTTCTACAAGCAATTCCAGCTCGTCATCTGCGGCCTCGACTCCATCGAAGCACGCAGGTGGATCAACGCCATGCTTGTCTCCATCGCAGAGGAACACGAAGCCGACCCAGACTCGATCAAGCCGCTCATCGACGGCGGCACAGAAGGATTCAAGGGTCAGACCCGCGTGATTTTGCCCTCCATCACATCCTGCATAGAATGCCAACTCGACATGCACGCGCCCCGCCCCGCCGTCCCCCTCTGCACCATCGCCTCCATCCCGCGCCAGCCAGAGCACTGCATCGAGTGGGCGCACGTCATCGCGTGGGAGGAGGAGAAGCCGTTCCCCAGCCTGGACAAGGACGACCCGGAGCACGTTACCTGGCTGTACCAGAAGGCGCTCACTCGCGCCGAGGAGTATGGCATATCGGGCGTGACATACTCCCTCACGCAGGGCACCATCAAAAACATCATCCCCGCAATAGCATCGACAAATGCCATCATTGCGGCGTCCTGCTGCAATGAAGCGTTCAAAATCGCTACCAACTCCGCCCCGTGCCTGGGCTTCGAGAACAACTACATGATGTATTCTGGCAACGACGGCATCTACACATATACATTCAAGCACGAGAAGAAAGAGGACTGTCCTGTTTGTGGCAGAAAGGCCCGTCCACTGGAAGTTGATCCCAAGGTCACTCTACTCGAGCTCTTGGACTCGTTTTCCACGAGGCCCGAGGCGCAGCTAAAGAAGCCATCTATTCGGGCCGAAGGCAGGACGTTGTACATGCAGTTTCCGCCGGGGCTGGAGGAGCAGACACGACCAAATCTGGGCAAGTCAATCATCGAGTTGGGGCTGATAGATGGGCAGCAGGTCGTTGTCACTGATCCGGCTTTCCCACTCGAGTTTAACTTTTACTTGAAGTTCAAGGAGGCGTAGACCTGTTTTGGATCATTACAAAATGCATTGTCGTGACCAAGAGAGAGTGGGGAAAAGGAACGAGTATATCGGGGTCTATACTTGTCGAATATGCCAGGACTACGCGTGCTCCAGACACGGATCACATAACGCTAGACATTTGGTGCAGATATATCATTGTTATAAATATCGGCGCCAGGGCTTCACACACAATGGGACATGATGAAACTGTGTATACCGATGTTTTTTGGCAATATCTTCTGACCGCTAATATATTCCTAGGAAACGCGGTGCAGGTGCAGAAATTCAACACCATGGTATCTTGCCACTCTCTCTACCCATGACACGAGGGCCAAAGACTGCAGCGCAGTTCACAAACCAAAAAAGGAAAAAAAAAAAAGCCAGCCATAATATACAGAAACTCCAGTCATGATGCCTGCATTCGGACCCTTTGCTCCCATACAAAATCAAAATCTCACCGTGCCATGTTAACGACCTGCTGCTCCAGCTTCTTACACTTCATCTTCATGTGCTTTACCGCCTCCACGAACAGCTCGTCACTATCCCACTGACCAGTGCTCTCGATGGAAAAGATAAAGTGGTCCCGCCTCCTGCCGAGCTTCACCTTGCCCTCGAACTCGGCATGTCGCAGACACTCCCTGCTCACGGTATCCTTCATGGCGTCCTTGACCACGGCCTTCTTCTCACCGGCGTGGCCCTCGTAGCCACTCCCGGCCCTCTTGGCTTCTGCCTGCGTGACCTTTTCCAGGCCAATGACCCCCTGCGGGAAGCACCTGGCGAACTTGTCGGCGTCGGCGCCCAAAATAGGCTTGAGGATCTTGATCGTCGGCATGAGACGGTACGAGGCGGTGGCGACGGGGGAGAACTTGGCATGGTCCGCGCCGATACCCTTGTGCATGTGCATCGACAAGTTGATGGCCTGCCTCGGCCGCAGCTTGGCAATGAGAACGTCCGGGTTGACAGGGGCGATGGCGTCCTCGCCGCCGAAGAACTCGACCTGCCTGCCCGTGGGGACAAACTTAATGTCCCTCGCGTAGACGTGCGCGTTGCGGAACGCCCTGAGGGGGTCGCGCTCGTCGGGCGCGGCGTCCGGATCCACGGTACAGGCGACGTTGAGCTCCAGGCGCACCGTGTTCCAGTCGAAGCAGCCGGCGTAGGGGTCCTCTCCCGGCTCCGGCTTCTTGTGCCACCTGAGAAAGTTCCTGAGGCCGTCGCGGCCGCCGTTGAAGGGGATCAGGCCCAGCCGATGGGCGAGCACCTCGTCCTGTATCACCGACGTGTTGTTCTCGATGTATACGTTTTCGATGGCTAGGGTAGGGATCTCGGCGATGAGGATGCGACGAAAGGCATTGGCTAGGGAGGCGTCGAGGCCCACGAGGGAGAAGGAAGCGTCGTTGGCGTCGTTGTGGTGGAACTTGACGGAGAAGCCGGCTCGGAAGCGGTCGAGAGAATAGGCGTGGTCCTCGCCGGGGAAGTGGCCCGGGTAATCGACAGAGGTCACGTCGGTCACAGTCTCGAGGTTGATACCCACGGTCTATCTCGGCAGGCGGCCTGGTTAGCTCGAGTTTGGAAACGACGTGGTTCCCGTCATCTTGAGCTTCAAAGAGCGGCTAGATGCCGCCAAGATGAACGTTACAGAGGGAAAACATACGTTGCGTCGCTCTTTCTCCTCAGCACTTGGCGTGCTTCGCCAGCTGGCCATCTTTCCCGGAGCCATGACTGGGTATCATGCGTCAATGGCAAGTTTTCCGAGGATGTTGGTTGTACGTCCTGAGCGTGCGTGTGGAAATTTTCGTATCCCCTCCTAGTCGTCGGGCCAGGGTTCGGGTTAAAGAGAAAAAAAAGGTGAGTGCAGCCAAAGCTCGCTGGGCCCCACCTCCCGACCAAACCAGGCGGGGACTGAATTCACCGCCCCACAAGCTTGAACTTGTCATTAGTAGTATAAACAAGGCGGCAGGCATACCCACATAAAATAGTGACACAACTTCCCACGGCGGATCCCACCAGTTTCTCACTCAACCTCTCTGCAAAGTATTTGCGGTAATGAAATAGTCTTAGTATCATACATTATCGTTATACTCCTAAAATACATTTGTGGTCCTTCATGCTCCTTAAAATAGCTTCGCCGACAAGTCTCAGTGGCCGCTTATTCAATATCTTCCATGTTCCATACGTTAACGCCTCGTTTGCCTATACTGTCTTTCAACTTTGCCAATACGGCCTGGCGCCTGGCCCGAGTCTCCATTAAATCCTTCTTCTCTTCCTTGCTGAACCCGCTTAGCTTCTTTCTTGGCGGCGTGCCCTTCGTCGCCGCGTGCAGTGACACAGCGCCAGATGACATCGTGAGGCTTTGACGCACGTTGCGAGACGGAGTTGAGTCTGGGGACATTATGATGCTTTTCCTTGCTTGTGGCGTCACCATTGGAGATGCCTCACGACTTGCTGATCCGAGTCTCATCCTACGCAGCTGCGTTTCCAACACGTCGATATCTCCGCTTCGCTTTTCTGCCATGGAGGTCATTTTGCAAATGGTGCGCATAACCGCTTCGACTGTGGGCACATTGGTGATTCCCCTGCCTGACGAGCTTGATACAGCTGTGATTCTGGTCTTCAGAAGAGTCAATGCCTCCTCTGCTTCTGTCAGAAGCGTCGTAAAGTTGGTAAACTCCCTCCGTAATTCGTTCTGCTGAGCAGCTTGTTCGGAGCTTAGGGGCAACGTCCGTGCTTGTTCGACTTGTTCTGGGTCCATTCGAGTCATGATGACTCTTTTGAGGTCTTCTTGCTTGGCTCGTAGTCGTTGCATATCTCGCAACAAGTCCTGACAAGCGTCCAACTTGTCGTCCAGGTCTAGCACGCGACCATTCTCGAGATCTGCATGCAACTCGTTGTCGAGGACCTCGCCCAGCTCATTAATCTCGCAAAGAACCCAGTCATCCGGAATCTCAAGATCTTGTTTACTCCGCCCAGCCTCCGCCGCATTCTCAGTGTGGCCTTTTGTGAATGCCTTGACCGCCCGCGCGTTGAGTCCTAGTGTATCAATCATAGAGTTAATATCACGATACACAGCTTCCACTTGAGAAGGAACACTCTCTTTCGCAGGCGGGGCAACATTCGAATGCGCAATGAATTCATCAAGTTGCAAGGTGCCTTCAACATCTGAAGAGAGCACCTTTTGCATTTCGTCATCCTCATCGTCGACCAGAAGCTGAGTCTCTTCCGCCTCTTGCCGCTCTCTCATGCGTCTATGCTGGAGCATGAATGGATCCTGGCTTCGCGGCTGTTTCTCCCTGTCGCTGATTATGGAGCTGCCAGGGTGCATCTGAGACTGCTTCGGTCCAAGAATCTGTGATGCCATCCCCGGTGCACTAACCGACCGTGTGGCATCGGATCGAATCACTCTCTGGGGAACAGTACCACGCACAGGACTAGGCGAGCGAGGGCTCGCCTGACTTGGCTTGGGAAAGACGGGCGCACCGCGACTGAGACCGATTTCTCCGAAAAGTGGACGAGATCTGCCTTCTGGTCGGGCAGTGGCCGGAGTCGCCCCTGCAATGCCGCCGAACGAGCTTTGGGGGGTGAAGCCAGGCGTGACAACCACACCACTGGTGACGGGACTTAAATCCTTTGCAACATCGACGCCGCTTCCTTCCGAGGCCTCATCCTCACCCAATTCACTCTGGTCCTCATCGGTAGTCTCCGGGAGAGAGGGTACACTCGATGGCCCCTTCGAAGGTGCCTTTGGCAGGACGAACCCTGATGCCGCAGGCGCATCAATGTCCTTGGCTGAGTCAGCAGGAAGTGAGGTCTGAGTTGAAGACTTCCTGGTGAAGTCGGGTGGCAGTGGAGCATCCTCAACGACTGTAGGGTTTTCGACAGACTCGGTAGCCTTTACGTCAGTCATGGAGCGGAGTTGCGATTGTTTGATCGTTTTGGGAAAGGTTGACGTGGCAGAAACATCTACTGGGGCTAAGGAGGGTTTCGGGGTTGTAGAACCGGATGACGGAAGATTGATATCTGGCTTCGAACGCGCAGCAGTTGATCCAAATAGCTGGCTAGGATTAGATGTTGCCGAGGAAGATGAGGAGCCGCCCATAGCAAACGAAGCCTTGCTTGTTGTGTCAGGTGGCAGGGGGGGCTCCTCTTGCCCTTCGATTTTGACCTTCGGTTCCGTCACAGTTGAATCAGTAGCTGTGGACGAACCAAACAGAGAAAACCCGCCAGGCTTGGGTGTATCTTTGGGCGTGCCAAATAAGCCGGTAGAGGGTGTTTCCGTTTTAGTCGCTGGTCCAAACAGTGAGGTTCCTGGAGTTGACGTAGTAGCGAAGCTAAATCTGGCAGGTGCGGGAGTTGTTGTTGGAGTAGTAGATTCTTGGGGTTGTTGGGAGGCGAAGATCGACCGTGGCTTGATCTGAGAAGTCTCATCAGTGGTTTCAGCAGTGTCCATGTCTTCATCCTTGGCCAAAGGTGTGGCTTCACTGGGCTTGCTGGCGGCGGCATCCCCCAGAGCCGATCCGAATGCGCTTCCAAACATCGACCCGCCAAAGGTAGTAGAAGCCATCTCGATCTCGTTCGAATCCTTTTGGAACGGGTCGGGCTTGAAAGACGATTCTAGCTTGAACGGTGTAGATGACGCAAATGGGTTTGCGAGTGGCTTGTCATCTTGTTTAGCAGGAAAAGCGGTGTCTGCTGAGGTACTCGATTTGGTTGGGGTGCCAAAAGCGCCTGTGCCAAACATACTGCCCTTCCCGAATCCGCCTGGGCTGCTGTTGTTGCCACCCAATGATAAAAAGCCACCCTGGGAAGAGAATGCTGAGAAGCCGCCGGTTGACATTGCTGTGGATGGTTCTGCAGATGATTCTGCATTGGTGTTGGTGGAAGTGGATATGGCAGCGCCGAAGGGACTTTGACTGTTGCCACCACTGGCTAGGCTAGAGAAACCTGACTGTCCAAAAGCAGGCTTCGAACCAGCGCCAGAGGCCCAGGGCGACGTTCTCATGCCCAATTGCGAGGATTGACCAAAGCCCAAGGAGCTGGTTCTACCAAATGCTGGGCCTGTGCCAGACGGCGAGCTGCCAAAAGTGCTGGAGCCAAATGTAGCGCCGCCTGTGGGAGCTGTTGGTGTCGTCGCTGCGGCCCCCCACGGCGAAGATTTCTGTCCCAGCTGCGAGGAAGTTCCGAAGGCAGAAGTTGCGGTTGGTGTCGCAGACGAACCAAAAGGAGTTGAGGCAGCGGCAAAAGGAGAGGCAGAAGCTGTTGATGCAGCAGGCGTCGCGCTTAGTTCAGGTTGCGATGTACTATCCATGATTGCCAGACCAGGATAGTTTTTCCCCTTCTTAACTGCTTCGTTATAGACTATCCACCATGAACAAAGAACACCTTCATTAGTAAGAGCCCAGAACCCGGGTAGAGGTCCTGGGGACTGGTCTAGTTCTTCGTTTGATGGGATAGGCTTGTAAACCTGATCCCTGCTGGAAAGATCCAAAGCTACGCCAACAGACACTGAGTCATACATGGCATTTGTCATAGGTAATGTTGGTCGTCTTGTATCCTCCAAGAATTCAGTGGTAGTAAATACATTTGTGATGGAGTCTGCAGGCTTGTCGTTGGCCAACGGCGTCTTCGACCTTGTCAAAATACCGACTTCTGTTGTGGCAGTAGAGGATACGATAAGAAGGTCTTGCAGGTCTAAGAAGTCCCTTAATCGCAAGATGGAGTGGTGAGCGGTTTCGGCCTTGCCAAAGGGCTCCACGGGATCCGTCAGTTTCTGAAAGGTAAATGACGATGGCGCTTGGCGACTGATAATATGATATACAGCGCTAGCCAGTGACTCGTTTGTGGTGGTGTGGATGACAAGGAACAAATTATTCTCCAACCATACGAGGGAAGATACTGGAAATTCGATGTCAGTTGCATATGTTGTAGAAGAGAGGACGTTCAACATCATGTCCATACCATGAGAGTCCTTTATGTCTGGAGGCTTGGGAATATTTCCCTTCCCTTCGCCCTCAGGAGTCATCTGAGAGATTGTCCCATCAGCCATACCAGCGCAAAGCTGCTTGCCCTTGGCGCTCCAGCTGAGACAAGTGACTTGAGTTTTCAGGGGACCACTCAACTTCCGCTCTTTGAAATTTGCCATGTACAAATTTCCATTGCTGGTCACGACGGCACAGAGCTCGGATTTCTCCGACACGGGATTGGGAACCATGTACCTCAGTGACTCGCCATTCGTGGACAGCTCAAAAGCGGAATTAGGTGACCGCTGGAGCAGGCTCTGCACCTCATAAACCGCAAGGCCGCCACCTGTCTCTGCCGACAATATTAAATAATTCTCGTCTGCAGTAAAAGCAAGATGCGAAATCCGCATAGACATGGGGATTCTGAGTTGCGCTTCGAAGGCGCGAACTTCAGAGTTGCCTTCCTTTGGGGAGCTGAAAGCCTTTCGAACGGACTCGGTCGTAGCAATAATCACTTCGTCAGGGCCGGCGGCAGCCACAAGGCCCTTTCGGGAGGCGATACTGAGCAGGCTCGACGTCGCAACTGGTAAAGTAATCCATGGTGAGGTCAGGCGAACCTTGGCCTCGCCAGCCAGAGGCAGGAATCCAAGACCCTGCAGCCGCAAAGCATCAGTCGGCCATCCTCGCGATCGTTGCACAAGGACCGGTATGTCCTATGTTATAAGAGAAAAAAACAAAAAATAAGCTCTTACCTCGGTCTGTATAGTCTCCAACTCGGGCCCCAGAGATACCTCTCCTGCTCCAGCTGCACCACTACCAAGAGTATTTGCAGTATTTCCAAAGCCAAAAGACATGCTTGCGGCGCAGATAGTAGCCTGTTCGAGAGTGCTCGTAGTTCAGCAAATCCAGTATGTGCACGAGCAACGTTGTTTCGATATCGAATTCGTATTAGAACAATCCCTCGTGGGCGGGAATGTATTCGCTCTCCAAAGCATCAAAGTGGGCTGCAAAAAGCATGGCAGTGTCACAGAGACACAGGTGCGAGGCCGCGGCACGGCAAGTAACGCGACCACTTCCTACCAACCGTCTGACCTAGTGTCTGCAGCCACTAAAGTAGAATCAATCGCGGTGTTGGTGCACGCGGGAAGATGGTCGGTAGTAAAGCAACGGATGAAAAGCAAGAAAGGACAGCGCACCGGCGGCAACTCTGTCGCGACGACCTTTGAAGCCAACTTTTTGATAGCTCCAAGTTGAAGAAGTTGGGTGGTAGGCACTAGCCACGTGATCGTGGGAGGACAAGTGCAGGAGCTTGGATCAGTCAGCTACGCCGCGCCACACGTTCGTTCGCTCACTTGCTCGCACGCCCATTACGGAGTAGAGATTGGCGGTACCTGGGAAGGCAGCTCTTAGCCTCGTCATCCAAGTCTCTCTCTACCTTCGCAATCGCCCATCTCCCTCTACGCCAACCACATCCAGCGACGTCGAACCTCCATCACTCTGGCAAACCCCGTCTCCCCAGCTCGACCGGCCCCAAAGCAGCTTCAGAGACACGATACGAACCGTCAATCGGTGTAGCAGCCGAAACACTGCAGACCGAACAGGGAGACGGCCATCCACCATGCCGGGCTTCGACTTCTCCAACTACAACCGCAACGCGGCCCTGCATGACAGGGGCGTGCCTCTCCCCAAGGCCACCAGCACGGGCACAACCATTGTAGGCTGCATATTCGACGGCGGCGTTGTCGTACGTATCTGCCCGGAGCCAAACCAACCACCCCTCTCACGCCGGCCCCCAGCTCCTCCTTCACACGCAGAGACCAAACTCCCCATTCTAACAAGTGGCAATCTGTCCCCAGATCGCGGCCGACACCCGAGCCACATCAGGTCCCATTGTCGCCGACAAAAACTGCGAAAAACTGCACTACATCTCGCCGCAGATCTGGTGCGCGGGCGCCGGCACCGCCGCCGACACCGAGTTCACCACGGCCCTCATCTCGTCACAGCTGGAGCTGCACTCGCTCTCCACAGGACGCAAGCCCCGCGTCGTCACCTGCATGACGCTTCTGAAGCAGCACCTCTTCCGCTACCAGGGCTACATTGGTGCGTACCTGGTCGTCGCGGGCTGCGACCCCACGGGCACTCACCTCTTCACCGTCCACGCCCACGGCAGCACCGACAAGCTTCCGTACGTCACAATGGGCAGCGGTAGCCTGGCCGCCATGAGTGTCTTCGAGACCCAGTGGAAGCCGCGCCTGACGCAAGAGGACGCCGTGAAGCTGGCGAGCGACGCCATCTTGGCCGGCATCTTCAACGACTTGGGCTCCGGCTCCAACGTCGATGTTGCCATCATTACCAAGGACAAGACGACGCTAAAGAGGAACTACATCAAGCCCAACGAGAAGAGCGCCAAGTTGCAGAGCTATGCGTACCCCAAGGGTACGACGGCTGTGCTCAACGAGAAGATTATCAAGAAGAATGAGATTGGCCGCTACGTGACCGTTACGGAAGTGCCACTCGAGGGAGAGAAGATGGACGTCGACTCTTGAAGATTATGTTCGATGGTGCGTTAGAAAATTAGAAGCAGTAGCAATCTGAGGTAGACGCGTGTAACAGTACGAACACGACTTGTTTTTCCCTTCGGTGACGGACGCCTCGCGGTACAGTGCCTGTAGTCCTCCTGGTTTGGTAGGTGAGACAAATGCGAGGATCAAAAGACAATCAAGCGAATCTTGGCAAAGGTTAAATAATGTGCAATATTTTCAATTCATCTTCCAATACTGTGCATTCCGCCACAGGGTATATAAACAAATGCCCTTGCTTCTCCGACCGGAGCCACGTTCCAGGAACGAGTCAAGACAGACAAAACATGATGAAGAAGAAGAAAATTCGTTCCCCAGGAACAATATCGCTAAAGTGACAGCAACAGTGCTCGTCCTACACGAACTACGAAGGGACAAGGCAGACTTCGCAAAAAAGCCGGTAGTCCCGACTATCCATTCCCAGAACGATGATGTAAACGACAAAGGGAATGTTATTTTTATTTCTCGAAAGGATTCCGACAAAAAGTGGTGAAAAATTTCCACGAAGCTTCGGAAGTAAATTCCACGAGTGGAAGATTCAAGTTACTTGGCGTGCTTTCAAGGTTCGTCACCGAACCGACCATGAGAGCCCAGGTACAACGTGAAAGAAAAGGGGTAGACGAAAAGGAATCCGCTCGCTTGAATGCCGACTCTAGAAACAATGACAGATAACCCCGTAAAGACATGCTAGACAGAGCTGCTGATCCGCAAGAGAAAAAAAATATACATAAATATGGGAGAAAATTGAACTCCGGAGTAGATGGATATGTGATGGGCGTGGGGAAAACGTCATGGTAAGGTCATTAGAGATTGCACGACTAGCTTTTGTCGAGGTCGAGGTCGGTTGTTGTCGTCTACATGCTGATCAAGACTTGAGGCCAAACATAGTGCGTGTGCGGGATTTGCTGCGTGTCTTTCTCCTGTCTTTGCTTGGTGACGGCTGGTCATCGTCGTTATACTTGGCTTTATGGATCCTGCGGTAGGTGTCAGCATCCAAGTGCAATGAAAGAGCGGCGCTTGCTACAAAAATTGGCAAACTTACCAGCTATTTCCCACCATGCTCATCCCCTTTGCCTCAGCCATGCGATAAAACTTGGCGCTCTTCTTCAGGTTCTTCTTGCATCCAATCCCTTGGGCGTAGCAGAATCCGGCTTCGGCAAGGGCATCGACATCGCCCCAATCTAAAGAAATTTGGGTCAACAAGGACATGTCGCAAAGCACGTCTTCTGTTTGTGGAAACTTACTTCCAGCAATCTCAAAGCATCGGAGGGCAAGAGATTTGTCTTGTTCGATACCCCATCCATTCATGTGAGAGACACCGAGCTCGTAGATGCTCAAGGCAAACTGGGCCTTGCGCGCCTTTCTCTCAACCACAGAAGCTGGGGCAGCACGACCCTCCTTTAGTTGATCCTCATCATCCGCAATCTCGATGCTCGCATGCTCGGCTGCCTTTCTCAGCCATTCGACACCTTCGCGCTGATTAGCCCGCATGCCCCAGCCATGTCGGCATGCAAGGGCATAAAGAAGCATGGCAGTTGGTAAATTCTGCCTCGCAGCTAGTCTGAGATGGTATGTTGACTCCTTCAAAGAGCCCTTCTCATGGCACTCGATGCCCTTGGCCAAATGTTCCTCTGCCGAGATATCGGAGGCGGTTGGAGCCAGGGATCTAGCCGAAGGTGGCGGCCGAACTGTGCTGGCCGAGTCGCTGGTGTTCGTAGACGCCGGCGTCCTGCCCCGGAGTTGCTCGTGCAGCGCTGATGTCAGGGCTCGCCCCCTGGGACCGTCGTCAGACTTCCGCGTCGCGTCGACTGACGGCCGTGGAGGATAAGTCAACAGTCCAGTGACTCCCAGTCTCGAGTTCTCCATGCTTACTCGACCAACGTCCACGGACGGCCTAGTCATTGAGCTAACCGTGCTAATCGCATCATCGGGAACAGTTCTAGCAGATGAACTAGATGGTCGCGTCGGAGGTGACGGAGGTGCACCATTATAATTGAATTGAATATTGCTGAGTGGTAGCAGGGGCTGTTCCCAATGGATCGCATTTGGTTCTTCTCGCTGAAGCGCTTTGCCTCTTGGAAGAGAAAATTTGGAGTAAATGTATGATGGAGCACCTTTACCTTCGTCCGTCTGCTGGTCCATGAAGGCTTCACTGTGCATGCTCACAGGAGTATGAGCAGTATCATCAGCCAGAATGAATGATGGCTGGCTGTCTGATGAAGCCTGGCGAGTTGGTACGTCAAATCCAGGTGCGTCAGCTCTACTTAGAGGTCGCGAGAAATTGAAAGATGGTCGTGGGAGAGCGGATGAATCAGACGCAGCAGACGGAGACCTCTTGAAGGATAAACTCATGGCAGGTGAATGCGCAGAGCTTGCCAGGGCGGCACTGCCAGAGGACATTTTGCGTGGCGAGGACTGGAGCGAACTGCCCATGTTGCTCGAATTCTCGCCGTCTTCGAGAACGGGGGAGGAGAGAATGCTTGATGAGCGCCTCGTGAAGAGAGACGGCGGCGGCACAAGGCCCAATTCATCAAAGCTGTCTTGCTTCGTCCTCTCCGTGGAGGCTGCAGAGACGGGGGCGGGCCGTGGAGAAGTGGATTGTAGGCTATTGTTCTTGCAAGCGGGCGATGGCTCGGAGTGATTTTCGCATTGTGACTGGCTGTCACTCTGGATGGGTGATGGTGAACGCTCATGGCGAGCGCCGAAAATATCTTCTCGTCCCCGGACAGGGCCCATTTGTCGTCCCCGTGGAGTATCTGGAAGTGGTCCGAGTAAGGCTGGTACGTCAACATTGGAGGGAGGCCGTATCCGGCTCATACGCGGGTGCATCGATCTCGGCCGCTTGTCACTTGAAAATGCGTCCTCGATTTCAGTTTTGAGAGCGAATCCAGCCGGGAGTTCTGGAGATTCGGGATCTGATGCAGAGTCTGCTGGCATTGAACGAAAGTACTCTGATCGGCCTTGGACGATTAAAGGCGATTGCATGGTAAGGGGAGGTAGTCGGCTCATTCTGTTCCCATCCCTGTTGCTTTCTTGCAGCTGCTTGGCCAGCAGGCGACTCTGAAGGGCAAATGCATCGAGAGGAGACAGCTCTGGCGGCGCTTCACCAACCATGTGCATGCGCGGGGATCGTAAAGGCCTCGAGCTCGACGACATGGCAGACGAGTGCGAATCGGTCCGCAGGTCAAGCAAATTCAGGCGCTCGGGCATCTTGGATTCGTCGTGCACCGTCAAACGGTGCATTTTGCCCGCATCCAGGATCTGATTAGATGGCCCGGCCTGCGGTAGCGAGAGTGAGTGGAGGATAGAATGGTTGCGAGGTCTACTCTGTTGAAGTCGCAGGCTTGCGGTGGCCAACGTTTAACGGGGACTATGTCGGTCGCTAGCTCTGTTTGTTCTACTCCATAACCACGGGGCTGTGCCGATAGGATCTTGGTGGTTATCTAATTCGATCGCACATGCATTCGAGAAATGAGATATACACGGTGTTGCGTCGTTGGTTAGTGTATGGGGGCGTAAAGGAGGCGCAGCGTTGGTGATGAGCCGGGCGTGCGACAAAAAAAAAAGCAGCGTCGGCGATGTTGTTGCTGCATATGGTACTCGGCGACGTGAGAAACTGGCAGGAACGGTACGTGTCGTCGTCAATGCCGCCAGAACGAGAAGGAGAAGGAGAGGAGAGTTGGCCAGAAGACAACGAATGGCGACGTCTCGCGGGCTGTGTGTCGTCGCGGCGCAGCAAAAGTATAAAGTCAGTCGAAGCGTGCAGAGGAAGGTCGCCCGGGGGGGATCAGGCGTCTGGGTCAAATGTTGATTTATTGTTCGAGGACCCAGTCCAGATGTCCCTTATTCACGGACACTGGCGTCCCGTCGGCCAGGCTCGCTGGCTGCAAATACGCGTGATGGCGAAAGAGGAGAAGAGAAGATCGAGGAAGGGACTCGGAGCGACATGGGAGCAAAGGCACAATATTGCTCGCGCCTGAGGAGGAGGCACTGCGGCGGCTGGTTGGGACAAAGAGGCCCTGCTCTGCTGCTGGCCGTCGGACGTTGGACGTTGGACGTTTGGACGTTTGGACTAGGGCCCAGGGGCGCGCGAGGGCGATACCGTCCGTATACGAGGGCCAGCACCAGCTGCCCCCAATGCGTCGCTGGGAGCTAACGTTGAACGGCCCTGCTGGCGGGCGCTTCAGCCACTGGACTCTGACCAGGAACTGGGCTGGGCTGTTTTGGCACTCTGGTTGCTCAGGCCGCCTGCATGATGGTGACGGGACATGGGGAGGCGCCTTTCAGCCCGCCGGTCGGTCAACTGTAAAGAAGTACCTAGGTTAAGTAAGTAGGTACTTGTTAGTCGAGTAAGAGGTACCTACCTACTTAAGTGCCTAGTAGTGACTAGTAGTAGTCCTAGCACCTGCACGTCCGGCGTCCGGTGTCTGGTACCCTTCCTCGACAATCAATGCTCTCGTCTCATTCCTGCAATCCCCCGTCCCTCCCTCCTTCCAGTCGTGCCCCTTCCTCCCCCTTTTTGGCGGCTCGTGGCCCATCCACGCTAGCCCCTTTAGGCCAACTGGTGTCTCAGGGACCTGCAGCATAATTGGCAATGGAGGCAGCTTCGGTCTGGGGTACATTTTATAAACTACCCTAGCGACTTCATTAATAAGAAGTTTGATACTAGTAGTTCTAGTTGTCACATCCTGCGGAGTACTTCGTACGTCGCACTCCAACCCATGTGGTACATTATTAATAAGGTTGACTGTTTCTTGTCGGCGCGTGGAGTATTTACAATGCGGAGCGAGCTCAGCCAAGTTTTTGTCCACAATGACATCGGAGCATGGGCGTGTCCCGACTTGCCATTGGTTCCTGGTGCTGGCGGCAGCCGCAGCACACAAACAGGTGGCGAATCTGAGCTACGTAAGTACGGAGTACGTACCACTGACCGCGCAGTACGTACTCTATAAGCAGGGGAAAATAAATCAGGTCGCGTGACAAGGTCTCCTCTTTTTGCATTTATTTTTATCTCTCGCCATCTCGCATCTCCATCTGGTCGTCCACAAGCCCACGTTGCTATTCCACAGTTTCTTTGTCCCAGCAGAGAGTGTAGATGACCCGACCATTGCTCGCCTACCTGAGCTGACCTAACCACTATAGTTGACCTGACCTAACTATTGCTATAGAGGGACAAGGGGGCATAATAGATTTTAATTAGTTAAATTTTCTTTAAGGAATCTATTCTTAGTAGAGTAAAAAATAAAGCAAAATAAGTTTTAATTAGGCAGAAAATTATTATAAAATGTAATTAAATTATATAGAATATTTATAAGAAGTAAGTCTAGAAATTTTAATATATTAGCTATAGCTCTCTCCTAAAATTTTTTTTTCCTCTATACCTTGCTCTCTTATTAAACTAAGGCTGTACTATTAAAATAATATTACATTATAGAGAATCTATAAGTATTCCCTTTAGAATTTATTCTAAATACACTTAGAATTAACTCTAATTAAATTCTAAACTAGAAAGCATTTTAGTAGTATATAAGCAGAGAGAAAGGCAGGCGTTAGCCTAGTCTCTCTAACTATAAATTTAATATATAGAGTAATTTTATTATTAAAGTTAGTAAGATTTTTTGCTATATAGATATAGAGGACAGCTATATATATTATATTATAAGTTAGAATTTAATTAAAATTAATTGTTATTTAATTTAGGTTTAATACTAATACTTTATAGAATATATACTTTTTTTTAACTTATCTATTAAAGAAACATCTTATTATAGTATATAAAGTAGAGGTATTATAGTTAAGTGCTAGTGCTCTCTCTTCTGCTAATAACTAAGCAGCTGTTTATATATTAATTAATAATTAATTTGTATTAAATTTTAACTCTATACTAATTAACTTATATATAGAGTTCTACTAAAACTTAAAGAAACTAGTACTTGGTAAAAATATAAATCTCTATATATCTATAAAGTTATCTTAAAATTGCTAGACATTAGTTAAGCCTAAAGTGCTTTATAAAGAGAATAGTAGAGTAAGTAATTTATAATTAAATTATAATTTATTCTAGCTAGATTTTAATAGAATTTTATAATAGTTTAATATTAATGCTATATAAGTTGCTACTTACTTTATAAAAAGCATAAAGTATAACTATTATAATATATAGTTAAGCTCTTACTTACTACTAAAATAGCAGAAAGACTACTAAGTTTATGCTTTTTATAAAGAGTTTAATATTAATGCTATATAGATTGCTGCTTGCCTTATATAAGGCATAAAGTATAACTATTATAATATATAGTTAGGCTCTTGCTTGCTACTAAAATAGCAGGAAGGCTGCTAAGTTTAGAATTAGTACTACTACCTAGAGGCAGGCAAAAAGGCTATAGTATATTATAAGTAGTATTTAAAACTAATTTAGAATTAATTATTGCTAAATTCTAACTATCTTTAGATGTAAAATCTTCCTAGAGTAAGATTAACCTAAAAAATATTATTAATAAGACTTATCTATATACTTCTCCTTCTAGTAATATAGATAGAAGGCTTAGTAGCAGTACTTATAATAATATCTTATAACTTAGCAAATTTTTTTTTTAAAAAAAAATTAGCATTATAGAATAAATAAATACTCTAGGAATATTACTAGTTTTTTTTAGTTAATAAAATAAAATTTTTATTTAAAGTATAAATATTTAATTAAACTCTTATAATTATAATTAAATTTAGTAAAATAAATTTATTATTTAATATATAACTATATATAAATAAATTTAGTGAAATAAATTTATTGTTTAATGCATATATATTAAATACTCTAGATAGCTATAAAGCTATATAACTAGTATATCTTCTTCTTATATTAAGCCTAGAAAACTCTTTAGTAGAAAGAAAAACTCTACCTGCTTTTGTTTTTGCTCTCTAGAGCAGCTCTAGCTCTATGCCGGCTAGGATCTGCCTGTCTTCTGTATATATATAAATATTGCTAGCTTTACTAGCTATATTCTAAAGGAGCTAATATTCTAAAAAACTAAGTTTACCTCTAGCTCTACGCTAAAGCTATACTGCTTCTGTCTATTCTTCTGCTATATTCTCTAGCCTTTAATTGTTCTCTCTCTCTAGAGATATAACTTATCTTTATGTAGTATATTATTTATTGCTATCTTAAAGGTAGGCTAGTCTAGCTCTAGGCTGTTATATAACTATTAGTATAAATATCTAGTATTTAGTTGTAATAGCTTATATAGTTAGATTTACCTTACTTCTATTTTATATATAAATTACCTCTTAGCTTTACAGCTAGCTATAGCCTAACTCTAGCTTTATACTAGAGCTGTTCTACGCCTACTTAATTCTTTATTCTATCTATTAGTCCCTAATTATCTCTACTCTCTAGGGATATAGACTATCTTAGTGCAGTATAATATTTATTGCTCTCTTAGAGGTAGGCTAGCTTAGTTCTATACTATTATATAGCTGCTAGCATAAATATCTAGTGTTTAGCTATAATAGCTTATATATTTAGATTTACTTTACTTTTGTTTTATATATAAATTACCTCCTAGCCTTATAGCTAGCTACAGCTAGCGCAGCTGCTATACTAAACTTAAGCTTCTATTAAATATAAAGCTAGCTAGACTCTCTCTAACTTCCTTCTCTTTTTTCTTTCTCTTTTAACCTCTTGCCTTTAATATATACTAAAGCTAAATCTTACTAATATACTAGCCTTACCTACTGTCTAGCTAAGCTTAAGCTAGTCTTTATATAGATTCTAGCTAACTTCTTGCTAGAACTATTCTTATTGCCTCTACTGCTGCTGCTATTGCTTTTAAATATAGTTAGAACCTACTATTTATATATATATACTTTATATCTACTTTATATTAAGCCTAACTCTAGAAAATTGCTAATTATTATTAGTAGCTATTATTATATCTACTTTCTAATTTAATAATATAGAGAAAGTTATAGTAAGTTTAAGTTAGCGCTAGCTTATTCTCTGCCTAGAGGCTAACTATAGTAAAGACCTCTAGTGCCTTTAAGAGCAAAATAATAACTAAGTCCTAGTCCTAGAAAGTTACTAGTAAGTCTATATATATCTCTATTTCTGCCTTTATTCTAGCTCTAACTCTATATATAGCTTAGTTCTACCTATAAAGTTATATATATCTTATATATTACTTAGATCTTAGCTACTGCTACTGCTACTAGCTTAAAGCTAAATAGGCTTTAGGCCTATTTATACT